ATATGCGACATCTCCATGCCATCCAACTTTGAACTTGGAGCTATCTCTGCTGTCTGCCACCCATTTCGGTAAACCCAACGCGTTACATTATGTAGAGTACAACAGGCCAGTGATTGAATGATTGAATGAGTGCAAAACAAGAACATTGAAGGATATAAATACATCAGAGATATATTCAGCTTATTTACCTACATATGCGGAGGGAAAGTAACGCTCCGCCAAGGGCTGACGCGCTAGAATAACCCTTGAAAATACCACAGGGAACAATTTCATGACATGAGTAGTCAAGGAGGAGCACTGAAGATGTTTTGATCTCCCTTCAGGGAGTTTACCAAGGAGTACCCCTTATATGGTGCCCGGTCCTATATACATATAGGTCTTGGGTGGAATCCACATATTATAAACGGGTCTCACCCTTTTAACATTTAGTTAGTCCCAATCTAGTCCAAGGTTGAGCTTTGCTTGCTACCTGGGATTCGCAACTTGATTATACCGAGACATGCTAATGTCCAAGTTCGAATAAGACCAGACTGAATAGGAAAATCTATCCTTGGTCTGAGACATGGTGTTCGTTGAATCAATAGTGCCTTTCAAGGTTCAGCCTATTCCAACGGTCATATAATGTGGGGAAGATGAGCACAGATGGTGTCTGGTAATTTTTATCTCAGTGTTCCCGCTGTCTCATTCCAAAAGGATGCTCTGCCCACAGACGGCCCCTGCTTTACTTTGGATTACGTCGGCTGTGGAGGTTGCAGTTTGCCAACAGATCTTAGGCGAAGCGTTGGGCATCGTCACGTTAAGTCCTAGTGGCCGGTTACTTTTGGATTGTCTCATGACGATGGGAATCCGCATATAGCTATCCTATACTTCACAGGATGAGATCAGATATAAACACCGTGGTGTCAAGGTGAGAATCTCCAAAACCGCTAGCTCATTGATATGCTATGACAGACAACAAACAAAGCAATTTACATTGTCAGAGACACCATCTCCCCACTACATTCTTTCTGGACGTGGGTTCAAGGTGCAAGGCCAAGTAAGGCAGTTGGAGCGCAGCCCCAGATTCGGAAATATCCATACATGCTGTGGAGGCGGGGAAGCCCGGCTTCCCAGACTCATGATTGGTTTCCTCCCCGGTTTCCTGGGGACGGCATTGTCGGTGGGGACCTACCTAGGTACCCTATGCACGCCTTAGTGCAACTTTCAAGGTTAATTATCTGGACAGGGATCTTTCCAAGACAAACTGCTTCTGGGGGGAAGTGGAGTCGGTCTATGTACTCCACACATACTGGATAGATCCGGGGTGCGCTTTGTCCCCAGTATGACATACGTGCAGATCCGGAGTGAGGCCATTCAAGGAAAGTGCAGGTTGATAACCGGAGACACTGGTCTCCATTATAAGAACCACGGAGCTTTGACCATCATCGCTGGGGAACTTGCCCGTTCTCCTCCTTCTATATCCTCCCAGGCCAAGCTCTTGCCTCGGGGACGCAACCACTGAAGAATAGAAACTTCCTGAGCACGAGGTCTCGCTTATTGCAAGGTTGTCGATGGACCCAATCATACGAAGTATACGAAGTTGGAGGAATGCGAATGTCCGCCTCTTTGTTTCCCAAATAGGTCTAGTCTCCGCCTCTTCCAAAGAAGGGACTGACGGCGAATGCTCGGCGTTTTCCTCAGAAGATCTCGGGAGAGATCCACCAACATGAAATTCAAAAGTTACAAGAAAATCACTTAAGCGGAACTAGCTCGACCCTCGACCCACCTCCTAACGGATTTACGCGTGTTCATGTGCATCCACATATGCATACGCAGTTGCGATCAATTGTAAAAGTGGATTTGGGCCACAGAGGCCAGGTTATTCATTGGAGGATATCTACTCCGTATGCTGCACGTTGAAACAACTGTTTCTCGTAAGAAGTATATTTTGAACATTCGTATCAAGTAACGTCTTAGGGGCAGAAATGGAAAGTTTCCCCTGATACATCGGGTCTCCCCGCATTCGCAGGATGTCGGGAGTTAAAACGGTCCGATGCATACGTGAAATCATACAACATACAAGGGTAGCCCTTCAGTCCCCACACTTCCTTTATCTTTTTCCATCTCACCTTTTTTTCATATGGCACATCGAATTTTACCCCACATCTGATTGTTCTTCTATTCTCAATATCCCTCTGAGTCATGTTTATCGCGTTCAAAGCTCAGAACGAGGAGGGATTGCGTAACCCAAAACATAAAAGGCGAAGTGAACGACTCAGCCGGCGAGGGTCTACACCGCGAGCATGCACTTCATGTCGTCGTCGCAAAATCAAATGCGATGGTGAGAAGCCCTGTGAAGCATGTCGATGGTACAAGAAGCCTGAGCTGTGTGCCTATACAGAACCGCGATCCTCGCAGCAAAGGTAAAAAGGAAAACTGGTAACACCCAGGCTCTAGCGATGAGGACGAAAAACTGATCAAACTAGCCAGCCGGAGAAACTGTCAATACCCTCGCCCGACTACAAAAGCACACTTGAACGCCTTTTTCCGGACAATGCCCCCGAGAACATCGCCCATTTTTCACGCGATAAATTGTTAGAGTTGGTGACCGCAGGCGGAACCCCATATTCTCACCATCAGGACTCATCGATCGCTGCCGGGTCTCTAGACACTCATAACTCTGCATTGTCGGGAGAGATGCCCGGCCTTGAATCACTGCATACAATACCCGGAGAGCAGCTCGATGAAAATCAATGTGCTAGTGCCTCGGAATCGGTAGGACATATCTCAGACGACGTCAACGCATTATCCCTATCGGCTCGGCACCCGACTTCCTACCTAGGTGTTTCGTCAATTCAGGCTGCACTGAAGGTCATCGCGTGGCTCCATCCAGCAGTTAACACATACTTCGCCCAATCCTTGTCGAAAGACCAATGTTCACAGCCAGCCAATGCGTTGGCCCCGTCGCAGGCTGCACCCCAGCCTGACCCCCCACCCACGGAGACTCAAATGCTAGACGCGTACTTTGTCAACTTCCAGCCATTTGCACCACTCATAGACGAAGAAGCCTTTCGCACAACTTACTTACTTGGCCGTCGGAAGGATGATCGATGGCTTGCACTTCTCAACATAGTTCTCGCACTGGGAAATATTACAGCCGCAGGCGCAGATAACAATACCCACCGAGCGTATTTTGAGCGTTCAATGAGTCACTTAAATCTACGTTCGCTGGGGAATCCTAGCCTTGAAGTCGTTCAGGCCTTAGGACTTATGGGTGGCTGGTACTGTCACTATACTAGCCAACCGAATCTGGCATACTCCCTTATGGGCGCGTCCCTGCGGATGGCGGTTACGTTAGGTTTGCAGCGCGAACCTTCCGATATTCATTCGATGCTCGACCCCAAGAAGTCCGGAATTCAGGAATTCAAACGTCGCGTCTGGTGGTCCCTTTGCTGTTTGGAGACCTGGGGCCACGAAACGCTCGGCCGGCCAAGTATGGATTACTTTGGCCCGAGTATCACTGTTAATTTGCCTAGCCGGCTTGACAAGGTGCACATCCCTAACCCCCTTTTTCCCTGGTGAAAGACCCAGGGTTCATTTCTAAATTGACTCTTGACAGGAATCATATTTCGAAGTCCTCCCCTTGACAGAAAACGTCCAATTTGTGAAAATCGCGTTAAAAATTCAAGAATCGCTAGCTGCGCTACCAACCCTATCGCACGCGGAGATGTTCGATCTAGACGCGCAGCTTGTCCGGTGGTGGAATGACCTGCCGCCGGTCCTTAAAGATTACGAACCCTGTCCCGAATCACTATACGCAGTGCGTACCGTCATGCGTTGGCGATTCTACAATCATCGCATGTTACTATACCGCCCGACTCTACTGAACTACGCAATGCGACGAATACCCTTCATGGCCATCCGGGTTGAAGAACGCACTGCCATTCAGAAATGCCAGGAAATCGCAGCGATTTCCATCCAAGACATCTTCTCAACGACCAAATTGAATCAGATGGTCGGCTGGAACGCTGTTTGGATGTTATTCCAGGCCACTATGGTTCCGCTGATTTGCTTGTCGGCTGGCGTCGCAGATCACGATTCCGCTGCTTCATTCGAAGCTTGTAAGACGCTGGTTGAAACAGCTATGTTGACACTCGGCCGCATGAAGCCATACGGACACACCGCAGGGCGCTCCCTTGAGGTTATCTCGGGCATTCTCGAGTCGAACCTTCGTGGGCCCATGGCGGCGCCGGTTGATGCAAGTGGAGATAGTCTCGACCCTCAAAATCCGCAAAACCCGCAAAACCCGCAGAATTTTCTTCCTCCCAATGCTTTCAACACTGGTCAGCAGATCTCTCGCGATCGTGTTGCCGATTGGACTGCTACTTCCTTTGAAACGCTTTCGTCTCAGTACATGTGGGAGTATCTGAGCTGGGATCATAGCAATCTCTGGCCTGAGGTTTTTGACCTCAATACTCAGAATGATAATGTGGAAATGTCTTTCCTAAACTCTCCCGGAGGAAATAGGTGAGATTTTGTTGCATTGTCTAATGTATATAAGTTATATTTCGCAAACAGTACATACCGTGTGTGCGATTCTGGTTGGTTTGATTAGACCAAGTCAATATTTGCATCTAGCAACTCTTTCCTGGGACCCTCTGCGTCAATGGACAGATAGGCCGCGTTGAATTGCATAGTGGAAGGCAAATCAAAATAGGAATTTGCCAGCTATATAGGATCTAGGCGTGAGAGAAAGCTGTGATATCAACAATTGGATCCACAAGGAAAAGACGGTCTATTCATTCCAAAGTTCTCTTCTAGAATATCCTTCCCGTTTTCAAATATGTGGTTTAGGCAGGAGTCGTATCAGACTAGCATATATTTCCATCTAGTCTAAATAACAATGAACACAGCTGGTATAAAACCCGATGAACAAGACACCGAGCAATCTCATAACACGACTAAGGTAGAATATGTACTCATGGCAATGAAAAAGCACACCATGAACTGACCTGAATAACCTATGCACCCTTAACCTCCACCACCTGGTTCTCATTCTCAGAGACCAAGACCTGTCGTGCTTCAGTACTCTTCTTCTGGGGTTGGGAGCATCAAAGATTTCCGTGAGCTCTTCAAGAGTCCGGTTGTTTGTCTCAACAGCGAAGAAGTAGATGAACACTCCCTGGACAATGTTCCACCCAGCCAAAATGATATACGTATGCCAGCCAATGACGTCGATGGCATTTCCGACTCCGAACTGATTCACCAGCAAGGCAATATTGGTGAAGACGGAGTACATGGCCATACCCTTGGCGCGAGTTTCATATGAAAGACATTCGACGGCGTACATGGCTTGCAAAGGGGTCCAGGCAAAGCTGAAACAAGCGCCAATCAAGAAGATGAACACGATAGAGGCAGTGGCCGCTCCTGCATCCTCTGACTTCGCGAACACCCCGGTTGTGGCGGAAAAACACGCAAAGCAGATCTTCATATCCAAAAAGGGTTAGCTTCGAACATTGATTAAAGGGGGCAAAAACCACGCGGGACATGTACGTACACAGCAAGCAACCGACGCGCCCATCATCATAGGTCTGCGTTGGATTTTCGGGCCCAGATAACTTCCCAAATAGGCGAGACCAGCGGAAAGGACTGTATTTCCAAGATTGACGTTCAGCACTTGCGCGGTATCAGTCATACCAGCTGACGCCAAAAGCCCGCCGATGTAGTAGGTTGTGACACCAGCCTGTGCCCACTGACTCATGAAAGATGCAATAGCCACACACATGAGGCGCCATCTCGCGGCCTTTGTGCCAATGAGAGATCTGAAGTCGAATGCATTCTTATCCGCGCCTTCAAGGTTGATCGCCTCTTCATATTCTCGGACCTGCAGATGGACATAGGCATTATCCCGGGAGCCCTCGCCGTGATACCTGGTAATAACATCCCAGGCTTTCTCGCGGTGTCCATGGCTGTAGAGCCATCGGGGTGACTCCGGGATGAACCAGACACTCAATACCACCATGCTGGACGAGATCAACTGACACCAGATGGGGATGCGCCACGCGAGAGAACTCTGGTATTTCAGACATCCTCGACAGGCGCCAGCAGCGGCAATAGCGCCGACAAAGTACTGGCAATTGTATAGACCGGTCAGGATGTCACGGTAGGCGGGGTGACTCATCTCGACGACGTAGGCGGGTGCGGCAGCGGAGGCCAAGGAGTATCCCCGACCTGAGATATTTTGTTAGCAGAGTGTTCCTAGATGGGCGATGTCCAGATACGTACCGAGGAAGAATCGACTGGCGAGCAATTGATCCATTTTGTTGGCAGTGCCACCAAGAATAGTACCGACGATGACGGCGGCGGATCCAAGGAACATGCCAGATCGTCGACCCCAAGTATCGAGGATAATTCCGACAAATGGCAGTGCGGAGACACCTCCAATCGTATACATTCCCTGGATCAAGAGGCTTTGGCACCGACCAAGCCAGCGCCGAAAGTGTCACGAAACTGCGGGATGGGAAGCAGAGCACCCATGAGCGAGCCGTCAAAGCCTGAACCAGTTAGTGATGGGGTTTTCCTTAGCTATCAAGTGTCTCTGTCTCGTACCGTTTAAGGCTGAGCAAAGATATGCCACAGCCATGAATAAATATAGCTTCCTCATTTGAGCGCTCCAGGGATTCGGCGGATCGGTGCGCCTGGCAATGTCGAGAGCCACTGAACCCTGAACAGTCTCTACCTTGATGCCCTCCTTGACGCCCTCATTGAGGCCCTCCTTGTGTTCCTGATGCATGGCGTCGCTGGCACCTTCTTTCTCGACTAACTGGACTGGCTGTGTATTATCTGCCATGATAGTGGGAAAGTCGTGTTCTCCACGCGGATGTAATCCACAAAATAATGAGTCAATGCATTGGGGAAGAGGTGTGGGTGATATTTATGTCGGGAGTTGCTTTTCTCCCGTGCTTCGTACCGGGGTGAAATAGCACGTTGAAATGTCTCGGATGTCCTTAGCTGAAACGGACTCTGGTTAGATTCCCTGGACTGTATTTGTCCAATCACGGAAGAGTCTTCGGCTCCTCGGTGGGATGGAAATTGTCCCGAACGGACCATCCAGGCCGATCGCTACCTAAAAAACCGGGGAAGCTGGAGGCTAACTGGGCCGTAACTGGCCGGCAACTCGCTCTCGGAAAAGGGTTCAGCTTTTCTCCGCCTACTCCTCACCCAAAAGGGTAATCCTCCGCCTTTTCAACCCCGGATTTTGACCTCCGGACTTTCGGCTCCAACATTATGGCTCTCCACTCATCTTTGTGGGTATAGACTAGGTCATTCCCATGTGACTACTTGCTTTTTAGTCCCTTTACTTCTATAATCTTAAGGTGAACGCTGGCCGCTATCCTAAATGGCTTCGATATTCGTTTATTTCGTCTAACCATTGACTGTATTATAAGCGAAGGAGAAAGCATTGCGCTAGGCTAGGAATACAGAGGAAGAGATAACCCTAGAGCATAGATCCTTTCGGCCCCGGGCTGACACCTCAACAAGCATTAAATTTAAGCAGCAAATGATTGCAGTGGAGTCAAATCAAATCAATTACCAATTAAAACAAGTAGAAGATGTAGACTAAGTCTGCATGAAAAGTACGATGCGACCTTAGAGGCCATTTCTCTCCAAGTAGGTATGATTTTCTCCACCAGTGAGATAACCTTACAAGCCTACAAACTATTCCATTTCCGGACTGTCGCCGTGTCACAACTAGAAACTCCGATTGCATCATGTCCCTAGCTCTAGAGTAATGAAAAGAGACTATTGACCGAGGTAACGATAGCCCAACGGTGGGTCGCTGTCGCTTAGGCCCGTAATCTCCACTATCTGCTCATCTCCCGGGACAAGATCGATAGCACTGTCGCTGATCCTCACATTCTCCCGCTCCTCAAAGACAAGACATTTCACCGGCTTCCGTGAGCTGATTACCAGGAGCCGTTGTCCAGCTGAAGATCCTGGCTGCGTCTTCACTTCTAGTCCGCGATCAGCAAAATCGAGATACTTCAACGGCTGTGGCCAGTCAACCTCCCTAGCCACAATCTGGCCGTCTATCCAAAGCCGCGCGGCTAGAACATGTGGCTCGGGCTGGGTGACATGGTCAAGGATGCCGCTTGTGATCTCGGAAGTACCATTAGCTGAAATAGTCACGTTTTCAAAGACAGCCGGGGCGCGCAGGTCCTTTCCAGTCTCCACGGACAAGAATCGTAGCTCGACAGTTCCACGTAGGACTTCCTGTTGGCTGCTAGCAACCCACACCTCGTACTTGCTCTGTTTCGCGGGTTCTGCGTGCACCACGCTCCAGTCGTGATGGGCACGTTGTACGCCGATCGTAACCGGCTGCATCACGCGCTTAACTGTGTAATACGCGGGCTTTGGCTGCAGGAAGTAGTCCACAATGGCCCATGAGATCGTGGGCCAGCAGTCGTTTAACTGCCATAGGAGCGCTCCACCACATTTTCGGTCATCGCCCCATTGGCGGCGCCACCCACGATATCCGAACATCATCGTCTCGGCCTGGACGACCTGCGTGAGGTAGACGTATGTCTAAGTAGAGTGTAAGTATCTTCTTCCTTATATTCGAGTCGACAGGGATAAATAACAGACCTCCAGATCAGTAGCCATGCGTAAGTTTTCCACCAAATATATCGCCAGTCGCCTCTCGTGGCCATCGGCCTTGTTATGGAAGTCCATAACCTGTGACTGTGGGTGCTTGTCTTTCTCGTTTTGCACAAAGTACTCGATTGTCGACATGTGCGGGAAGCCTACCATCCCAAACTCGCTGTTAAAGCGGCCTCCCATAGTGTCAAAGATCTGGTATTTCTCCTGAGTTCCATGCCACACTATAGGTCTGTCAGCCAGAAGATTCGACTAGAAAGCCCATCGGGATTCCCATTAGGGATCAGATGATTACTGACCATTCCACTGATGGATATCTCCCACGGTAGGATCGGTTGTGACTTTTCCATCTCCCCATGGGCTTCCAGGGTGGTAGAAAATACTCGGCGAGTACTCTGCTACCACTTCTGGAAGTATTTTTTTCGTAAATGTAGCGCGCTGGGAAGTCATACTTCAGCCAGCTTTCCGGATCCTTATCTTCGTAGTTGTAAGTGAGTCCCGACATCTCCTGGAATTGATAATCTTCGTTGTTGCCAACGTAGATCACAATTGAAGGACGATGTCTCAATCGGCGTATGTTATATGCCGCCTCCTGTCGTACAGAATCTAGTAGCTCAGGCCATACTGGGTAGTTGCCGCAAGCGAACATGAAGTCTTGCCATACTAGCACGCCGAGCTCATCGCAAGCGTCATAGAAAGCATCATCTTCATAGATCCCGCCGCCCCATACTCTGTTTCAAACAATTATTAGACGTTCTCTAAAAGTGAGTTGAGTTCTATCATACCTGGTCATCACCTGGCCACCTGCCACCATGAGCTCGATCCATTTCTGGTATCGCTCTGCGCTGATACTAGAGAGCAGACTGTCGGCAGGGATCCAGCAAGAACCTCCACAGAAAATGTCCACTCCGTTGATTCGGAAAAAGAATGATTTTCCATGTTTATCCGGTTGCTGAATGACCTCTGCGGATCGAATGCCAATTTTCTTAGAGACCTGGTGTAGCTCGTTTCCGTTGCACGAAAGTGATACCGACACTTCATACAAGGTCTGAGGGCCGTAACCCTGTGGCCACCACAATTCTGGATTGCTGACCTCAAAAGTAGCATGGGCACTTTTGTCGGCGCTAACGGGGATATCCTGGCTGGCGATTTCTTGTCCACGCAGAGACAAATGGAAGCGAGCGACACAGCCTTCAGGATTACCCGCATCAATTGTAGCAGCTGCCGTAATACTCGCCGTTTTGTGGTCAGCAGCGAGGTTTGTCTGTGGCCATAGGTCTTCCACTCGTGCGGAATAGATTTCCAGTCGCACCTCACGCCAAATACCAGCTGTCATGATGACTGGACCCCAATCCCAACCCCAATGGTATTGGGCCTTGCGCACCGCTAAGCGGCCCATATCTCCAAACATGCCGCACCATTTATGGCCCGGGTCTTTGTTACGCATCTCGATTCCTTTGAGCAGGGCGCAATCGAATTCGATCTCCAGCACGTTTGTGCTGTTGGACAACCCCAGCGCCTCTGTGATGTCCACACGGTAGCCTAGGAACATATTGTTGGACTCGAGGATTGTCTCGCCGTTGAGCCTGACTGTGGCTAAAGTGTCCAGGCCGTCGAATACCAGCGCCACGGTCGCACCAGCCGGGATTTCCGGTCGTTGAAAAACGTGCCGATACACCCATGTCTTCTCGTTGACCCAGCGCGCCTTGAGTTCGTTCAAGCCTAGGTAAGGATCCTCGAGCCTGTATGATTACGACACGTCAAGTCAGTCGGATTCCAAGTTTACGAGGGATTTGGGTCGCCCACTTTTTGTTTTCGATGAGATCCTGCTGCACCGTGGAAGGCACTGCCCGCACGGGCATCCATGCCTCCGGTGTCTCGTCATCCCGATCCTTGAACGTCCAACCCGTAGACAGGGGTTGTTTGAAAAAAGCCATTTTCGTTTCAAACGGTGATCAAGTTACTTGCTGGCGTTTCACAGCACGTTGGATCGGGATCAGTTTCGGAGAGGATGAAATGGGTCAATTTATATCAGACACTGGAAAGAAACTGGGTCCATTTATGCCCAGGTTGAACCATTGAGGTTGGAATCTGCAGAGAACAAGCCAAGCATATCTGAACAGAACGTAAGTCCTGTCATCTCGACACAATATCTTGGGGGCAGACAACCTCTACTACCCCGCCTGCGATGTAAATCGGCCAAAAATGTCACGCTGGGAGCTCGTTTGTTCCGTCAAATTGCCTATTTGGGCAGACAATGGGCGGAGGGTCCGATCGAAACGAGTAGGACCGACGAACTCCGCCTTTGGATCTTTCACCTCTTTCCCAAGAAGGTTGTGTTCGCGTTCTCAACCTGACATGTCGGCTTTATTTTCACATGGAAAACCCTAGATTACTGATATTACTAACATATGCCTGGCAATTTGGCAACTCGAGCATCTTAGGTCTGGTCTCAAGGACTCCTTCGCACACTGTAAAGGGGTTCCACTGTTGATGAATCTTTCGCCAAGGGTGATTGAGGAAAGTCTAGTATGGCACTTTACAAACACCTTCGAGTGTTTTGTCGAATGCAACATCGGCCCGTGGGTTAGTGCAGTTGGCAGAGCTGTACATTCCTTCCCGACATGCACTCTCGGGTCTAAGGAATGTCATACTCAGCAAGCTCAACACGCAACAAGACTATACTCATACTCATCTATCATCTCCTCCCCTGCTAGTGTCCACTGGGTCACCATCGGAGCCGTCACCCCGTCCCGGTCAATATTCCGAGGATGCAATTCTTGATAGTCTTCAACTACATACCCGACAGTGATAATGAATGCGATACATGGAGATAATCAAAGAGACCTGGACGCTTCCCTTCCAAGGTTGCCACCGCCTTACATGTTAATATCCCCGCAAAATCCAAGTTGCTTATCGGCTGGTATTGAGTGGGAATATGCACAACTGCTTTCAAAAATAACCCGGGTTTCACGCAGTTTGTTCAAGACAACGAATCATGAAATAGTCCAAAAACAAAAACAAAAACACAAAAACATACAATAGTGAGGATTCGCTGGTGGTCACCCACCCAACTACTAACTCACCGGCGTGTGGCTTATATGCGGCCAGTAGTTGGGTGGGTGTGGCCTCGGTGAGAAATGGGTGAGCGCCGCTTTACGGTCGCGCGACCGCGGGTGATAAGGGTGAGTGCGCTATAGACTAGGTGAGAAGCTGGGTGAGAAGCGGGTGAGAGTCACTTGAGATAGCCTGACGCCTATACTAACCTCCTTAAGTGATATAGAGCGCGATATGATTAGATTACTAGTTTAACCTAAAACGCTTCGGCCCTTAGTATCTGTATATAGCCCTAAAATGAGATATATCTTTATTTTAATTCGTCGTTATAACTTTGTTGCCTTATAGACTCGCTACGGCCCTTCTAATATGTCTATACTAATATATATATCCTAGTGTAAATAGTATATATTAATTAAACTAATTAAATAGGCGAAACATACTCTCTTATAGTCCGAGCTTATCTTTGTTAGCCGTCGAGGAGTTGTGGTAAAGAAAAGGAGATAGAAGTAAGAATCTGCTAGGTTGGGGGGGGTACTAAGTTATGTGGCTATTAGCCTATAGGTACTAGTAAATAAATATCTATCTCTACCGCTAACCCTTCTATAATACTTGATTAGAAGGAAGAGCTATAGTAATAGGGTTGGGCCTAGAGACTGATAAGACGGTAATTGTGACTAAGCACTTACCTATACCCTTTCCTGGTATAGGTGAGTGCTTATTTAGATATAGTATAACTAGCTTAGTCTTTATAAAGTAGAACCCTATCCTTTCGGAGCTATATTTATTATACTCTATAATATAGAAAAAGAACTAGATTTAGTTAAATTTATATACTAAGCTATAAAGGATACTATTCTATATAGTATTATAAAAGATATTTTTAATAGTATATATAAGAAGCTTATTATCGAAGCTTATAATATACCTACTTTATCCTTATCTACCCTAAATATATTAGCTAATATAGCTTATAAGAACGATAATAACTAATATAGTAGAGATAGAGGCTATAGATATAGCGGTAAAGACTATAGAGGAGAATTATATCATTTTTAGTTAAATAATAAGATAGACTAAAATTAAAAGGATTAGTCTTAATTTAAAAATAGTCTATTAAAAGGTAAAGCTATTAATAAATAGGCTAAGTAGTAATATAAGAAGTAGCCCTAGTATATTAATAGGGGTAAATACTCCTATTATAAGTTAGATAGGTATCCTATAAAATTATACTATTATCTTATAGAAGATATTATTTTTAAAGGCGAAAAGCCTAATAATAATATATAAAGCTATATACTAGTAAATTAGGTACTTACTAATAAGGATAAAGATAAAAATAATAGTAAAGTTAAAGCTATTATCGCTTATATAAATACCGCTCGATCTATAGATAATATATAGATACTAGATAGTAATATTTTAAAGACTATTACTAGTTACTATAAGGATTTTTATAAATATATTAAGTATAAATCTAGAGAGGAACTATATAGCTATATAAACGCTAATAGTAATATCTAATTTATAATTATATATAGAAAAGCCCTAATTTAAATTAATACTTTAGTAGATAAATTAAAAATAATTCTCGTTACTATCTATTATAGTACTATAATCTAAAATAGACGACTTTTAATAAACGCTTTTAAAATAGATTATAGTATTTTCTATAATATAATTATATTAATACTTTTATATAAAAGCTATAAAAAAGTTAGCTTAATTAAGAAAGTTAGCGGATTTCTATATATCGATAGACCGCTTTATTATAATATAAAAAGGCAAGCTAAAGATAAAATCTAGATATAGAAATATATTTATATATAGAAAATATACTTCTATAAGTCTAATACTAGTTTTAATTAGATAATAAAAAAGAACTTAATAGAATTAATAAATTAGTTTTAATCTATAAGATTTATAAATATTTAGGCTATATTAGTAAACTATATATTAAAGTCTCTCTAAAAGATATAATCTTTCTAAATAAAAAAGACTAAATAGAGTTTTATAATTTTAACTATAAAGCCTACTAGCTTAGTAAAATAAAGAAGAAAATTTTAAAAGATAAATAATAATATATCGAAAAGCTAGTTATAAAATTTTATATAGATATCTAGATAATAAATCTCCCTAGTCTCTATAGTAAGAAATATTAGGTACTAATAGTTAATAACTATATTTAGTATACTAAAGGCCTCTATTTTTATAGTAAAGATAAGATTACTAATTATATAATTAAATTTTATAAATACTAAAAGCTTCTTTAAAGTCGATATCTAGCTATCTAATAGATTAATAGAGGATCTAAATTCTATAAATTCTAAATATAAATAGAGGATAAAGGTATAATTTTTAAGCTTATACCTACCTATATACTAGAATTAAATAGTATTATAGAGGATATAGGAAGTTATATTAACTAGATCTAGTATATAATAAATATAGATACTAAGTTTTTAAATAAACTTTAGCTATTTTATATAGATATTATAATCTATATCTATAATAGACTAATTAACCTAAAAACTAGTAAAACCCTAATCTTAATCTAATAAGAAAGCCTTAGTCTAAAAGAGATAAAAATTAATTTAAAGTATCTTTATATATAAGGATCTATTATATTTACCTATATTCTAAACGAGATTTATATATAGTTAGAGAAATTAAGAGTCTATATATTCCGAGTCTATCTAATTTGATATAAGAGAGAGAACAGTTATATCTTTAAGATATAGAATCTAGTTATAAAGGAGATTATTCGTTTATAAGATATTACCTTGCCTAATAAGCTCGACAAGAATAAAAGATCTGATAATAATTAAAAGGGGGGTATTATACTACCTAGTAAGCTAATATTAAAAGACCCTAATTTAGATAATAATAATACTAAAGCTCTCTATAAAGACAGAGGGCTAGTATTATAGAAAATAGAGAAAGGGAAATTCCTATTCGAAAGGCTAAAGCTAATATCCTAAGTTATTGTAAAGGGTAAGAATCTGGCACAAACCGCATTAACTAATCTAATTGGGAAAGCATTGAACGCTCTACTAAAAAGACCACTATGTCAACCCTAATGGTTGACACGCCAGATTACCAATTCATAGCCCCACTTCGTACCGGGTGCATCCGCATATATACACCGGTACGCTCTGAGATCTGGCTTTGCCAGTTTTATATGGATTTATCTATTACAGTTATAATTACTAATATGGGGCCTAAGCCTATAGTTTAAAACCTAATAAAGCCAATAATTTAATAGAAATAGGTATTAGTTAGACTAAATATACTAGGAAGAGTATAGACTATACTATCTATACTAAAGATATTATCTAAGATCTAAGAAATTGAGGATAAATCCCTAGTTTATTAACCTATTTTCTAGAAGCCTAAAATATAGGCTATATACTAGCTTAGATAATAGGCTACCTAACGTCCTATTCTCTAGCTATAAACTTATAAACTAATTAGATAATATATAAATTAAATTAATATAGAAGTCTTACTTCTTCTACTAGTACTATTATAGCTAAGGAAATAGGGTCCGAAGCCTATAGTACTAGACCTAATTCTAGAGTCTCTAATTATATTTACTAATTAATTAAAAGGGATAATAATAGCGAAGAAAAAGCCTTTCTATCTATTATACCTATAAATAAATAATAAAAACTTACTATACTAGTAATAGACTAGCTAGTCGCTTTTTAAAAAATATAATTTCGATAGTATATACTATTTTTATAGAGGGTAGTCTTACTTTAGGTACCCCTACTAATTTATTAGCTATAGATATAGATATAATAAAGGATAATATAAGCTTAGGAAGATAAGTATTAGATATAGTAAGCTACTTATAATATAGAAGATCCTATACTAGTAGTCTCTAAATCCCTATACTATTTACTAGAAGTTTTTAAAGAAAAGACTCTATAGATAGCTATTTCTTAGCTATATAAGGAGTTTTTTAATATTATAAATCTAATCCTAATTGAATCTAATTAATCTATAATCGAATATAATTAAACTATAATCGAACCTAAGGTAATAATAATAAATTATAAACTATCTATTATTATAATTAGTACTAACGATTCTATTACTAAGATAGAATCTATCCTATTAAAATAATTTATTCCCTACTATTTAAGCTATATTAGACGCTTATTGGAACGCTATAGCTTCTCTAATAACCCTATTAAACCCCCTAAACCTTCTAAGACTATATTAACTAAAGCGAGTTTATATAAGACTAGATATTCTATAGGATAATAATAGTACTAGTAAGGGATTAGGATAAGATTAGATATAAGAGTAGGATATATAATAAAAGAGACGTATAGTTTTAAAGGTTATTACTAAATAAAGTACTCTTTTTATTTATAATAGTAGACCGCTATATATTAAAGATATTAAAATCCTTTAGTACTATAAATAATCTCTAAAGTCGAAATATTTAAATAGGTAGTAAACTACTATAGAGAGCTAGATAGATAACCTATATATAAAAAGTATCTTCGATATTATATATAAACTACTAGATATTATACCCCTACCGAGTTAGTAGATATATAATCTTAAAGTAATAAAGGATAATAAGATCTATAGTTTTAAAATACGCTAGATAGTATATAGAAATTTCTAATAGAAAAAGGAGGATTCTCTCTTCTATATACTAATTATATAAAACACTTTTATAAAGATTATCTTTGTAATTACTACCTAATAGGATTATAAATAGAGATAGTTTAATATAGTTATAAAAGGATTATAAAATAGTCTATATAATTTAACTAGTCGGTTTCGAATACTAGGAACCTAATATTAGTATAAAAGGCTAGGTCTACTAGCTAAAATAAGCCTTATATAGACTTCGCGACTTAGTAGCTCTATAGAATAAAAAGCTTAATACTAGGCTAAATAAGATTAATTTTTATATACTTAACGATAATCTATATATATATATATATATATATATATATATACTAAAAAATATAGCGATTCTATATAGTTTTTACTTATATATATATATATATATATATAGATATTTTATATAGCGATTAATATAATACTAAATCTATAGAAAGTATAATTTAATTCTTTAAAAAAGCCCTAATATACTATATATTAGAAAATAGACTATTATAATACTATTATCGAGCGCTACTAAATAGTATATATTAGATAGACCTATATAAGATATATAATAGTTTTCGAAAATAGCTACTACTTTAAATCTATAGAACGCTAAAGAACTAATTATAATCTTAACTAATAATATTAATATCTAGTTATTAATAGGAAAGAGATCCTATAAGAATAGTCCCTATTAGCTTAATATAAGATAGTTTTTTTTTAATATAATTTTCTAAGATAAAATCGATCTATAGAGAATCGATATAAAGAATAACGTTACTAATAGATCTATAAAGCCGCTCGAGGGAGATCTATATAAGCGATTTATCTAGATACTAGGTCTTAATTAATCTATATATAAAATTCTAGGTAGAAAGGAGGTTCTATAAAAGCGTAGGAAAACGATAGAAAATAGTAAAAATAATAAGAGGCTTTTATATAGGGAGTCAAAAGGTTATATTATATTAGATAGTTAGTCAGTCCTAAAGGGGGGTGTTAGAGTAGTCACGTGATTAGTATATGATCTATCACGTGATAGCCCGGACCTAGGACTTCTAGTAGTTAGTGCAGATAGCTTCCTCTCTCTCTTCTTTTCCTCTCCAGAGTCCAATACAGTTTCCCCTGTATCATTTCATTCCTGCGTAGCCTTCTATCTCGCTAACAGAAGCGTTGTTCAAGAAGATCTCGGACAGGCGTGAGCTAGTGTCGCTCTCATCGGCAGACAGAGCAGGCCATGGAGATGGCATCGCAGCGGAACGCAGTGTGGGATTGAAGAGGGGCAAGACCAGCGAAAGACCAGCGAAGACGAGCACAAGCACGAGAGAATAGCCGAGAGTGGTATTATCTCACTTTGAGCAAGTCACCCGTTGGAAACCCAGGCCTGGGGCTGGATCGTCCAAAGTTGCCGTTCCACATTAGGTTATAGGCTTGCCCTAGGCCTCATTTTTCCGCTAAGAGCGCGCATTTCTCTACTGAGAAGTCGATCTCTTCAATCTTAGCCATAGTTTTTAGGCGGTCTGGTGGTACGTCTCGGTCTCAACAATCGTGGCGGTGACTTTTCGTGTTCGTTGCGGTCGGACGGTTCAGGGGATTCGCGTCTCGGCCCGTCCCGATATTTCTTAGGCAAATCGCAAATTGATACCGCAAATTGATCAAACAGAGTACGTCCCGAAACTCGCACTCGGGTACAGTCGGTCGCTCTAGATTATACAGGGCCGCTCGAAATCAGTTTCACCTCCCCTAAGCGTATACAGTCGTTAGCCAAGAAACTTTACAGTGATATTGGAAATTAGTTTTATCTGCAATCTCTCTCCCTTTGTTTCCACGGCCCCACTTCGAACGCATTAAACCATATTAGGAGGTAATTCCTCTGCCTGCGTTTGTCCATGTATCTTCAATGGGTGAGCGTAAACTACAGTAAGTTTCCATAGAATCTGATACAACGTTCTAGGCAGGGTCCTAAATCCCAGTTGGGGGGGTAGGGGACCTCGCGATTTGCTTTGGTACTGGACCCTGCCGTGTCTTTCATGTCGCCTTCTCGTTGTATATATATAGGCTCATATTTCCCTCTATAATGTTAACAATCAATTCATACCTCTGAACTACAACACGGTGTAACCACCTACAGTGATACAGCAAATATTTTAACACCCTGCTATCTATCGTACCGCCTGGTTCTCGGCTCTACCGCCTACCAAACACTCACCAAGATAAGGCGCCCAAAATATCTGAAGCACCCGTTAGAAATCTGCTCTAGAATTTGAAGATCAGTTTTTATTTACTAAAAGCAACAGTTGCTGACCATCTGACCTCTATTCGAGTGGAGCGAAAGGATATATCACCGAATGGTTGTAACAAGCATCACTAAACACAATAGTAAGATTTTCTAACTAAAATAATGAAGGTCCGGGTTTGACAATCTGGTCGGACATAATTAATAAGCAAAACCCAACGCATAGATAAAAGGTCACACGATTTGGCGGTAAAAAGATAGGTAAAAAGATAGTAATCAAAACAATATCTGGCTTCTTGACATGCACATTTGTATGCATGGTACAATTGGTCACATGATTTTCTGGATATTTTAGCCTGTCTCAAGCATGTTTTCGGTCGTGGTATTCGACAATTTACTCCATTGAACACCCTTTCATGTTGCCAATGTACCAATTGTGTGCTGCGAAATCAAGTGTGGTTTGGCCGAGGTTCCCAGATTTGTTATCAATGCCCGCAAACACCTTGATATCAGTGGTTGTGACTGGTGCACAGTTGGGTGAGGTAATCTAGTATTCTGGGGATGTTGTACTATACTGCCAAGTCTCGTTGACCATAGCGGTTGTAGATAGAAGCCTAGGCACCGGATCATCCGTATGAGTCACTCTCCATCCAGTGCCTAAAGTTCGACCACTGACAAATTCAGAAAAACTATAATTCCCCAGTTGAGGACACCCAAATGTATACTATTGTCTCATTAGCTCTTTGTCTGGATATATTTTCATATATTGACTTCGCTGTGATACTTACCAGATCGATTGGTCTGTTGGCACTTCCTTCAAGTACTGCCCCAAATGTAGCAAGGGCGCCTCCAAGACTGTGACCAGTAAAAACGATACTGTAGTCTGGGTATTCAGCAGCTACTTGGTCGATACCCGGCATTATGAATTGTGAGAAGTTCCCCCAGGCATAATAGAAACCACGATGGACCTGGCAATTTGGACAAATTTCATCGATAGGCACCTGCTGATATTCAAGATCTGTGACGATGTTTCCTGGTGTTCGCGTGCCTCGGAATGACAGAACGATCATCTTATTGGTCCTGTCAAGTGCTAGGAAACCAGTGGTGTCACCCGGTTTAAGTCTATATAACATTAGCCTTCAAATCTATGTCGATGTGGCAGTTTTCTTACCCCTTAAATCCAGATATTATGGTTGTGTCTGTCTGCTCTAGGGTCGGGCATACACCTGGATCGCATACAACCCGTGTCCCTTTTGAGTTAAAGTTTGTTGGACAGGTAGCCGCAGCACAGTATTCAGAAAACAGGGTCAAATTGGTTAAAAGTTCAGCGGAAACATCTAGGTTGACGGTCAGTATTGCCAAAGTTGGAATGTCTTTCCACTGACCTTGGCCTCCTGGACAAGCGTTTTCAGGCGTCATTGCGAAACTTAGTGAGGAAAGAAGAACACCATAAAGTACAGTTCCCAGGAACATTTTAAACAAAGATAATTGTGACTAGGTATCTTGCAGAAACAATTTCCAATAGCTCTTGAAATAGTACATATAAGGTTGGACTCATGTAGTGTTGGAGAGCCTGCCGAAAAATGGCTATATATACTTGAGGCACAAAGCCCGGAAATCACAACCTCGAAGGAGATTGTAAAGGCAAATACCGCGCCTTGGTCAACGCACATTGATGTCATCAGGCTGTCGAAACCTTCTCGAATCTTTGCACTTACAAGTTAAAAGCATGGGCTCAACTCAATGTACGGTCCGGATCGCACTTTTACGCCTTGTTCTGCCTCGGGACCTTGGCGCTTCGTTAGGCAATTTCTACTTGCCAACGGAAATGACGCAGTGAGTATTGGATCCCAATTCGATTCTTGTCGATCCAGGCTCAACATAATCGACTTACTACGCCTTGTCCTTTGGTTTAGGATACTTTGAGTCTCTTTGATAAGGCGCAGGGCAGAAACTCTGTAGAGTCGATGACTTTACAAAGATTAGTCAAATTACCAAATAGCTTGGAGACTTTGACTAAGAAGTAATTATCGGACAACTATTTGTGGCAAAAAAGAAGCCCGGGGCTTTTGAAGTACAGTATCCGCTCCCAGCAACTGTAATACATGGCTTATGTACCGGATGTCTGCTAGTACCAAAGAATATCCCATCTATAGACAACTAAAGGAGTTCGTGATAATCCAAAATTGTAGGCTGCCGGATAAGTGATGTAGTTTTCATTGACTACCAAGATTTATGGCTATATAATGCTCATTTTGAAGAAACTTGGCTGATTATATATTGTCACCAAAATAAAAACAGTTTCCTACGGCTCTATGATTATTTGACAATGAGCAAGAACGGTCACAAATGATGATACCTTGTTGATATCAGCGTAAAACTGCGGACACCTCAGTGATTTTATGCCTACACCTGATTTTTGGAACTAAGAAATTACTAATCTCAGACAATATAATATCAAGCAGCGAAAACAACGTATGAGCCTCTGCATTTGCATCACGGTATAGGAAAAACCTAACAGAGTAAGGAGAAAAACCTATACTGAGGTTCACTATAAATCAGACGAAAAGCAAAGCAAACCCTTTAAACCAATACCACAACTAGAGAGTAATTATTTTGACATCGTCTGTGTAATGTCCGTCGAAAATCACACTGAGATCGAAATGCACCCAGAGTTCATTCGAATTCTTCAGGTAAAACCGTATTTCGCCCTTGACAGCAATTAGGTTAACCTGGACGGAGATCCCAGTCTTAAGGCTTCCGGTCAGGGTGCCCAGGCTGATTCCAAGTACGGCGACTGAAATTGAGGCCTCGTAAGTGCCAGTATCGACGTAGCCGGAGACCTGTTCAGTAACATGGTGTAAGTGACAAGATATTTCTAGAGTAGAAAAAGAGATTGAATATTCACAGTAAGAACTCCAAAAAAGCTGACTGGCCCAAAGTTGATACGGGCTTCAGGTTGTGGCGCTACAGACTTGAGAGAAGATGCAGTAGCTTCTGCATCAGATATCTGTGTAGCATAATAAATACCAGTTGCTGGCTGGTTGACCTTGACAACGGCGCCTAAGAGTCCACAAGTGTGAGTATCTAGGACATATTTGGGTAATAGGATCCTGATCACCTTCAACGTAGCCGGACATGTTGTTCTTGCTTTGCAGAATATTGGGATTTTGGTTGCTTTAAATGGTTTGGATTAATAAAGAAATGTTCATGAGTTGAAGCAACCAGAGCCTGCTGGGATGGCGTGACTTTATAGTTTAGGTTTGCTAATAGACAGGTCAATCATCGCCTTGATAGAGATGCTTTCTGTATGGAAATGGCCGAGAACTGGGCCCAGCATTCAGATGGCCATCCTTGGTGCTCCACCAAAGAATGTTACAGAGAATAACTTCATAGTGATATGACTATCAGGCGCTACCCCGACCCTTATTCCCGGAACCGAAATTGTCTATTTCTTCTTGCTAGATGTAGAGTGGCTGGATCTAGAACGGCACATAGTAGCAATAGTAAATCCTATAATATGAGGGTGTGGCGTTTTTACTTCGTTTCCCGCAACGTAAACAGAACCAGGCGCGCGGCGCAAGGCGCAAATACAAGGCTTAGGAGGATTTCTCTTTCCTTGTGACACTTTGTTTCAAGGCGACTGAGTCTGTTCTATCGTGGTCAGCCGAACTTATCATTCAGAAGTAGAAGTACCTCCTCGAACTATGTGCATGATAGTGTTAACAATTCCGTGGAGAGAACTTGTTGCTTTTTACTAATCATTTCATTTGGAAGAAAAGCCCATCGTGGTAGATTAATATTCAAGCATGCGAACAGAGCATTTAGTATCCCTCCAAAAAGACAATGTGCAGTGTAGGCCTATGTCCTCATCGAGGACTCTTCAGCATTTCTAAGATTTTCAAGCAATGGATTCATCTGATAGTGGTTACGTCATTTAACTACATTGCTAGTTGTCGGTTGCTATTCCATTGACAGTCATGAGAATTATTGCTAGTTCTACAGTCATTGACGCAATTTGGGTACTATCTTTATACGACTATTGAGGAGAATTCGGTATACGTCACAGGATTTTTCTAAGAACAGCTTCTATTTAAACAAGCTTAAGTGATGCATTTGCGCTAATGCTTCTACATCCACAAAGTCTCCTCAGCTGATACTGTCAACTATGCTGCCAACTATGCTGCCTTATGGCACTATGTCAGCTTTCCATCCAACTAAGCTAGAGGCTACTCAATACACTCGCGAATCCATGTCTCCCAACCTACCAGAGCTTGTCTCTTCCCTTGAAAATTTGACAGCAATGGACGCCTCTCAATACCGTTTGAATGATATAGCAGATGACTTTTCCACTACCATGCCTTTCTCTCCCGACAACACATGTACTGGATTTGATTTTAGTGATTTCTCGCAGTTTCAGACAATGGAACGCGCTCAATTCCCAAGTGATAATGACCTGATGGGCACACAATATGTTAATGGCATTGGATCTAGCTTCATTGTCGATGAGTATGCTGCCCATGGCGAGATGGATCCGAAATCCAACCACCAACTCCACAGAGATATCAAATCCGATTCTACAGCGGGATTCCCTGCCGAGAATCCAAGCTGTGACAATAAAAAGTCTCGAAAAGGATCCTTTCATCTTGAGGAGTGTGAAAAGAGGTGAGCTAGCGCCTCTCTTTCCGATATTTACGTGTTAGTTCTTGCTGAAATTTCAAACATTGGCCTCGGAAGCCATGCTGGAGAATTTCAATGCAAATGGGAGGGGTGCAGATATTCTGGTACCTTTAGACGACAGAACGATTTGTTGCGGCACTTGAAGACGATACATATCCGCAAGGCCATCCACTGCTGTACAGGCGATGGCTGCCAGAAGCGGTTCAACAGACGTGACAATATGAACGAACACATTCGCAGGGTGCACTGATATAGTCCGGTCTCTAATAATCTTCGTTCTTTATAATGCCATTCTTTTCCTATTCCTTTGCGGATTAGGTGCGATGGAACCTCACTTACGACCAAGTATACGTATTGTCCACATGTTGAAAGTAACTCCACTTGTATGATTTGCCTGCTCTTGCCATCTAAACTCTAAAAACAAATCATCTTGATTTCAGATAATATGTGATGTTACACTGCCTTTGCGGCCTTTGATAGACTTTCGACAAGTTCCATAAGCGCTTCTTATATGGTGCTTTAGTGTGGGGCAATCCGCACCCCCACATGGAGGGGTTCCCGAGTGCAGCCAGGACTAAGGCCGGAATTAGGAATAGGACTCCGCACTTAGTTTGTTCCCCAGTGTCGGGTGACTTTGATATCACAGGTCAGGCTCATTAATCCTGTTATCCTCATATAAAGCAAGTCATAGGATTATCTACAGAGCCCAATTAAGCTGTCCGTTCCGGGTTTCCGACAGCTGTTTTGGTGATTTTTTCGATTTTAACAATGACCAGAACGTACTTTTGCAACATTCCACATTCTGCTCAGATTACCCAAAATTCAACTGCTAAAATGACTCCGATAGCATTCTTAACACAAAGTTGTGATGATTTGATTCGTGGGTACCCGGAAGTTCCGACACAGAATCTGTCTAGCTGTTGAATATCTTGTTACTCACAGCAGGCTCGACTTGATACCTGGTTATTAGTCCAATTGGTAACCATACTGTGAGCGCTGGAATAGCAGACTGGCCGTTTGTATGCTCTATGAAGACAATCAGGTGCGACGCTATCTCCACCCTGTAAGGCGCGCAGCAAATGCTGTAATTGTGCCAAACATGCCAATATAGGCCGCTCTGCGCCTTAGGGCTCACTCCGCCGCCGCCCACTCCGTCATCATCATTCTGGTAAGAGCAGACTCCATCTGTATTATCCATTTCCGGTCATCTTGGTCTCTGGGCTCCAGCAAGCACTCTGCAGTCCCCCGCCTTACTCTAGCGCCTGTCCATGTTTAGCAAATGAGGGCTTCTGGGCTTCTGATGGGAAAGGTAAATCTATAAATTCGGCCATCTGCCACATGAAGCAGCATACGGAGACCAATACAGGCTACAAAGTAACTGGAAATCATAATTTGTTGCTCCTAAATCAATCAATTACCTACTTCTTTGTCTCCATCATGAAGCTTCTACCTACGTTGGTTATTCTTACTGCGACTGCCTCTGCCTGCAGTGGCCCTGCCTTCCGTTGCAAGAAGGCCCAAGGAACTAAAGCTGGCGACTATACCAGAACGTCCGAGATCTGCGCAGAAATAGGCAATGGCGCAGATTTGTGCTATTGCTATGGGGCAGCTGAAGAATACTGCTCGCTTGCGAGTGGTGCAGATGTGGCAAAGTTCCATGATTACTGTGAAGCGGACCCTGGTTGGTATGCTTCGGCCTGTTAAACACATATTCAGTTGATGTCTCGCCAGGCAATGGTCAGTAACCGAAAACCATATTACCTATTCTACTTGCTAATTGCATAGAACAGGAATGTCAGAGCCAATTTCATTGCGTCCTTCAAAGCAAATATCTATCCCATTCTCCACAGACGGGGAAGCCGCTCTTTTTTCTCCACGGTGTTTTACTTTACTGTCTTTTTTGAATAACACGAGTGTATTGGATAAACCCTTGCCGAGAATCATCCGAGGACCGAGCAAGTCGTGTTTAACCGCCGTCCATTAGTTGATCACAAAAATTGACATCTTGTTCAATGACATATCCATTTGGAATATGCTGCACGTAGTCCTACGTGTCTGAGAGAGAAAAAAGAGGGGAGTGATCGACAGTAGACGTCGCCAAAATCCGTACCGACCCAACCTGCAAATGGGTTGGTTTGGGGTCGAGGTGGGTAACCTATCTGTCAGCGAGATAGAAGGCTACGTAGGAATGATGATGATATAGAGGAACTGTATTAGACTCTAGAGAGAGAAAAGAGAAGAGAGAGAAAGCTATCTATACTAACATGGAAGTCCTTATCGTCCCGAAGGGTTTGTAGGGTTTGTATTACTAGTTACCTCAGGCAGCCTATAGGAAGTGGACTGCCTAAGGCCACTATAGCCTAGGAAGCAGCCTAGGCGTATAGAAAGTAAAAAAGGGGTTTTTATTAGCTAGGAAGCGAGGACTTTTTATTATATAATTAGACTATATATATATACTAGCTAGAGCTATCTAATGAAAACTATATAATCCTTATAGTATCTTATCTAGTAGTATATTATATTAATAGCCTCGCCTACTATAGCGAGCTAGCGGAGAAGTATACCTATTGAATAGGAAACGCTACTAGACCCTAAAGATATACTATAATATCTCTAAAGAGTTAGATAGTAAAAGCTTTTTAGATAAGAGCCTTTTACTATAAGAACTCGATCTAAAGGGCCTAAGAGAGATTATATAGCGATAAAAAACGAGAGAAAAGCTAGTAATAGCCTCGTTTATTAGCTATATAAAAAAACTTTTTATAAAGCTAAAGATTAATATCTTTAAAAAGAGAAGTAGAACCTTTTAAAAAGTAGAAAAGGAGGGTACTCGCTAAGATAAAGGAGTAAAACCTCTTTTTAGAAAGTATTCTAATAAAGAAAAGTATAATAACTATAGATCCTAACCTTTTTAATAAAATAATAGAGTAAAACCTCTTAATAGAGATATAAAAAGAGGGTTTTTAAATTAGCCCTCTTTTAATATCGGATAAATTCTATAAATATCTCTTTAAAGGGATAAAACGGGTTTTTAACTATTTCTTAGACTTTTTAAAAAGGAGTATTATCTTTAGCTAGATACTATTAAATAATAAAAAGCGGTTTATCTAATTAGAGTAAATAATAAATATCTCTCTAGGTCTATAGGATATACTTCTCTAAAACGAATTAAAAGCTAGACTATATTATTTAAAATTAGTTAGTAAACTAAAAGATTTAATCTAATTAAAGAAATACTAAAAAAGCTAGTAAAAGAATATAGCTAATAACTAGCTTTATAACTACTAAAAATATTTTAAAAAACGCTATCTATTTTCTAACTATTTAAAAAGAGATATATATAAAATTATCTTCGCTTTTAACCTATTTACTAAAGATATTAGGAATAAATAGCGGACCTACTAAATAATAATCGGAATAGGCTAAGAAACTATTATTATTATATAAAAAAAGTTTAAAATAGAGATTAAAAAGCGCTTTAAACTAAAGATTATAGAGGTAGACCGATATTATAGCTTTATAAATAAATAATAAAAAGGCGATAGTATTATTAAATACTATTTAACACTTTTAGAGCTATTAAATAACCTCTAAAAGGTAGCTATAAAATATAACTTTATCTTATAATTAGTTTCTAAGCTAAATTTAATACTTTAAGCTAAATAGTATAAATAGAGAAATCGCTTTATAATAGTAACTAAAATAGTTAATCTTTTTTTAGAGTTTAAAAGGAGTAGTTAAGAAATTACTAATACCTATTTCTACCGCTTTCTAAAAAAGGACTTTAATACTATAAAGCTAATAGCGATACTAGGTAAAGATATCTATTAAAGATATAGTAAATACAACTATTTTAAAAAAGATTATAAAATAAAAAAAGATAAGAAAATAGAGGAAGGAAAAGGGGAAGATTAGTAAATATTAGTAAGTTTACTAACCCGCTTTTTAAATCTCTCTATTTAGAAAAGGATAAAGAAATTAAAGAAAAGGAATCTTTATTTACTAGTCTATAATTTAATATACTAAAAAAGGATCTTATATTTTGTCAGCGAGATAGAAGGCTATATAGGAATGGAAATGATATAGGGGAAACTGTATTGGACTCTGGAGAGGAAAAGAAGAGAGAGAGGAAGCTATCTGCACTAACTACTGGAAGTCCTAGGACCCAGAGTGTCACGTGACAATCATATGCTGATCACGTGACTGCTCTAACACCCCCCTTTAGGACTGACTACTGTAATATAACCTTTTTATTTTTTAACTTTCTATATAAAAACCTCTCGTTATTTTTACTATTTTCTATCGTTTTCCTACGCTTTATAAAACCTCCCTTCTACCTAGAAATTTTATATATAGATTAATTAAGACCGAGTATCTAGATAAATCGCTTATATTAATCCTTCTCGAGCGGCTTTATAAATCTATCGGTAATATTATTCTTTATATCGACCTTTTATAGATCGATTTTACCATAGAAAGTTATATCTTTAATAATAAACTACCTTATATTAAACTAATAAGTGCTATTTTTTATATAATTTCATTTCTATTAGTAACTAGGTATTAATATTATCGGTTAAGATTATAATTATTTCTCCGGTATTCTATAGATTAAGAGTAGTAGCTATTTTTGAAAACTACTATATATCTTATATAGATCTATCTAATATATACTATTCTATAGCGGTAGATAATGGTATTATAATAGGTTGTTTTCTAGTATACTAGTATATTACGGCTCCTTTAAAGAACTAAAGTATATCTTTTATAAATTTAGTATTATACTAATCGCTATATAAAATATCTATATATATATAAAGAATATTATATTAGAGACTTTGCTAAAAGTAATATAGAGCTCGGTTATCTCTTTTAAATATTTATAAACTATATATATAGCTTCATTATTATTAATTATAGGCGAAGTAATATAGTATTAAAGCTTTATAATAGTAAATCTAAGATCTAGACTATAAGCAATTTAGCAGATAATATATTATAGTCTAATATAGACTATAATTTATTAGGGGAATCCTATCTTATATAATCTTATATAATAGGATTATATAAGATATATTAGTAGGGTTATACTTATCCTAAATAGGAAGTAAGGTTAGAATAGAGATTAGAATTAAATTAAGAAGTTAGTTATATTTTATTAAAGATAGAAATTAGGTATATTTTTATACCTCTATTAGAAAGTAAATCTAAGATAATCTATAATATCTTTATAATATCTTGATTATCTTACTATTATACTAGAAGGTTCTTTATATTATTAATCTTACTATATAGTATATATCTAAAGTAACCTAGAATAGTACTAATAAGATAAATATAGTTTTTCTTCTCTCTATAGTATATCTTAAATTAAAATAGTCTTTTATATATAGATTTTCTTTTAAATATTTATATACTAATCCTAATGTAAGATATACTAATAAATATCTTTATATTCTATTAAAAGTTATAAAATACTCTTTACGAAGATTATTTATATATCTAATATAATATATAGTAGTAAAGATTATATTAGGCCTAGTTTTTAAAGCTAAATAAAATAAAGACCCTATTTATTTCTAATAATGATTAATATTACTAAAGCTTATATTAATATCGTTTTTTCTTTAACTCTAACTCTAATTCTTCTAGTATTTTAATAGGCTTATAACTAGGCTTATTTAATATAGAGAATTTATTTAATAGTTCCTTTATATAACCCTTTTAGTCTATATATAATATTTTTATCTAGTAATTAATTTTAATATTATTATTTAAAAATATTAATATTATACTAATCTCTTCTATTTTTATATTATAGCTTATTTTAGTTACTATATTTTTTATATAGCCTAAATCTTTATATATAACTAATATATTATTAATATAATATATAAATATATACTAATCTTTAGAGTTTATATCAATATCTTTATTATAGAGAAATACTTTAAAATTAAATTTAACTAGTATTTTAGATAGATATTTATATTAGAGTCTAAGGCTCTATTTTAGACTATATAATACTTTTTTTAAATAGTATTACTTTTTAAAGTTATATTTATATATTTTTATAAATAGGATAATATATATATTAGTATCTATATTAGTATATATAAAAGTATTTTTAATATTATATTATAATATATACTAGCCTTTATTAATAGCTATTATTAATAATAGATACTAGGACTTAGTTCTATATATTATAGAAAAGGTCTTTAAGAAATTAATCCCTAATTTTTAGTAAAATCTTTAAATTATCTATCTAATTTTATATCTAATAGTTTTATTATTATTAATAATATAATCTTTATCTAAATTAGGATTATTTATAGATTTCTTTTTAAAATTCTATTTACTTTTAATAGGATTTATATTAGATAGTATATTTATTATCTTATAAATTCTTTATTTTTCTAATTTTTCTATTTTAATATAATAAGCCTTTAATTCTATTTATATCTAGAATTTATAGAACTCTATTCTACTATCGATTCGTTAGATAGCTAGGTATTAACCTTTAAGAAGCTTCTAATATTCATAGAACTTAATTATATAATCGGCAATTTCGTCTTTTATTCGAAAATATAGCCCCTCGGTAGATTAAGTATAATTATCGATAATTGGTACCTAATATTTCTTACTATTAGGGCTAGGGGGGATTTATTATCTGGGTATTAGTATAAAACTTCATATCTGGTTTCTCGATATGTTATTACTTATCTCTTGACCAAGTCCACCTTATCATATCCCATCAACTGCGTGTTGTTATGCTTCGCCAAGACATCTCAGTAGCATAATGGCGCCAGCACTACCCCAGGAACTATTGGTTCAAATCGCAACGCCACTGCAAGATGATAGGACATCTCTAGTTCCATGCGTTTCTGTTTGTCGCTCATGGCAGGCGGTTCGTGAGCCCTTCATCTACTCCAGCATAGCTATCTATAGCGACGAACACACAGACAAGGGGCAACGGGGGATTTCTCTCACGCATTTCCAAAACTCACATTCAGCGATCGTGAAACATAAATCAATCGGAAATCCAAGAAGTAAAACATCTAAGGTCCGATAACATCCTTATGGATCTTAGGAACTCTATACTCTACATAGTCATTCTATATAGAGACCTCACTGTCTCAGGAACCCTCGAAGGATCGCACTATATATATTTCACCAAATAACTTCGGCTTTCGAGTAGATAGTCTAGGAAGGCCAGTGACCACTGGTTTCAGACTTTTATTTACGGGAAAAGGCCCTTCACACAAACACCATATCCAGCCAAATAGGTTTCGACCTCGAGATGTTATTATTGGAGCTAGTCGGGACTACAGTGTTGATATGTGGAATCTAGGCGCATTGATAGGTATTCTAACAATCTGACTTAGATGTGCGAACTACGTTACGGGAACGGCCGTTTTTGTTATTCAATATTATCCTCAGCTTCACCTTAGGGCAAGGAGAAGCACTTAGTGTCTTTTATCTCCCTGCTCGGCCCTGCACCAGAAGGTATGCTTAGGAGTGGAAGTCACAGCTCGCCATATTCTAACCCCGGGAGGATCCTTCGCTTACAAATATGTCAGTGTGAGACAGTTGGCTTCCAAGGTTTGTTGATAGGTCAAATCAAGTTCCCCATCTCATTTCAAAAGAGGGTGGTTGACAGGATTTTAGGGCCGTCGAAGGGGACGAGAAGCCCGATATAAGTTTTAACTGGGATGGTGGCCATAGGATCGAGGGGCTGCAGAGGAATTACTCTTTGATCGCTGGCTTCAAACATAGTTGCGCACCAGAAGAAGTAAAAGATATTGTATTAGGGCGGAAGAATCAGTGCAACTGATTCATAAACTAAAGCCGGCTCGAATGCTTACGGAAGCAACTGTCTTTTATGGGCTACCAATAGTGTCGGAAAAAGAGATGCCCTGCCCTCACTCAGGCTCTTGGTTGAAATTCTCAGTCTTTTCGATAGAAGTGTTTGGATTTATTGCAAGAATATATATGGAAGAGTATACCCAGATTAACAGCCGAAGCATCCGAAATTAACGTTTTCATGCTAAGACACACTTAAAACGCTCGCGCAGCACGTGTGACATTTATTACGATCGGTTGCCTATTTGAGATAACAGTGGGCGGCAGTCCGATCGAAATAGGAAACTCCGAGGAAACTCCGCCCAAAACGCAGATCCGCACAGATTTGCACATTCTCAGCTAAATATAAGAATTATGAAGTGCGAGACTATTTGATCTGGCTTCTCTGTTGCCGTACCATTTAGCTGCATGCCCGGTACGGAGTACATAATCTCATGTATCCTTCTCAGGTCCATCTTTGGGTCCCTCTGTTGTCTACTTCTATATTCGATCATGAGACCATATTCGTCTCGTTTGAACCATGGTTGAAGTTTGAGACTAGTGTTATTCTGAAACTACATCGGCTTAATATGGAAGACCCGCACGGGACGATTAAGAACAACGGCCTTGCCTGCTCCTATCTCCCAAGTTCACACAGAATACATGTGAACTCCTCAATATAATATAAAGAGGAAACATGAAACTAGATGATCCTTAAGATGATCATTTCCAATTCCTGTACCGGAAGAGGAGGCTGCAATTCAACTCAGGGCCTTGTTGTTCCAGATGTCGATCTATAGATAATGTCTACTGGTGTCAAATCACCATTATAAAAGGAAGCTGGTCTGCAATTCTTTTGAAGCATCACAAATCCAACATCTGAACCAACAAGCAAATAAATCCATCCTTTTCTTATTCCAAGATGCAGCTCCTCTCTCTTTTCACCTCTTTGGCTCTCGTGTCTGCCGTGGTCTCGTCTCCGGCAGCAGACTTGAACGTGAACGTTGCCCGCGCAGGCGATCACGGCAGCTACATTGTTCCTGGTCTCGGAGTTCGCAAGCAGGAGATCTTGAAGGCCGGTGGTAACACTCGTGACATGGCCATTGCCATGCTGGAGACGTGAGTTTACTTCTTTGATTTCCGCGCCTGATTACACAACTCACAACTATTAGCGACAACATGGACACCAATTACAAATACGGTATGTCCAAATGTTAGCAGGCAGACCCTGGCAGCGGTGCTGACATTCTTTAGGTGACGGAAAGACCGGCGACGGCACCAACTTCGGCGTGTTCAAGCAGAACTGGTTCATCCTGAGAAATTCTGCCTCTGACTTCCTGGGTCAGACCGTTGACCAAGTCGACAACGGTGTTATCCTCAAGTAAGTGCCGGAGTAGCTTGCATGCCAAGATATATTATACTAACGCTCGAGCGCTAGCACCGATCTGGCCAAGGACATCAAGGCTCGTCACGAGGGCGAGGCTAAGTACGGTTATGAGAAGTGGTTTAGTGGCCACCGCAATGGAGAGTCTGGTCTCAACAACCCTGGCACTGATGACATCAAGAGTAAGTTCTATCTGACATGGTCTCCTATTTCACGGATTGCCTGGCTGACTTTGTCGACAGCCTACATGAGCGGCGTTGCATGGATTCAACAGCAGATTGAGAGTGATAAGAAGTACCAGAGCGACGATACTCGATTCTACGTTCAGGTCGTGGCTATCTAATCTAGACACAGCCACGGAGACCTTGTGACGGATAACTTGCTACACGTCGTGGAGTAGGGCTTTGTGCTCTGTACTATTTGATGTGTTTCGCAGCCGTGCCACATCCCTGACTCTTTTCGTCCACCTGCTTGGGCGATATTGTATTACCACTCCTGTTATTTGAACCATAGTTGTGAAATACTCACACAAATACACTCCTTTGAATCACAGGAAGCGCTTAGCTTTATTCGTAATTGGCAATCAGAAGTGCATTCGCGAGAGAAGTGGATAAAACAAGCATTGTGTCACTAATAACCCAGGTCTGCTGCTTTCCCAAGGGCCCTACAGCTAGTAAAAAGCCCTCAGCATCGGGCGCAGTTGAACTTGTAGGTTGCTTTTATATATGGTGAACCATACGTTCCACAACCGTCTCTGAACATGATGGTGTCGCAGCCTTGGGCATGAGCGTCTTGTAAAGTAGAGAAAACACCTTGGTCGGTATTGACACCTGAAAACAAGAGGATCCAGATCCCTTCCTTCTTCAGATAATCACCGAAAGCAGACTTCCCCACCCAAAGCCCAGAGTTGCAGTCCTTGCGAATCCAAACGTCCGGGAGGGCCGATTTAATACCTTCCTCGTACGCGCAGGCTAGGGCTCCATGCAGGGCGGTATTCCAGGTCCCCCTCATCATCACCCGACCAGCGTTGACCCGGCTGCCGTTCTCAAAGATGATACCTGAATCGTATTTTGGGTTGTGCTCTAAAAGTATTCCACGAAGCGAAGCCGTCTCTGCTCATCGGTCATCTTCTCAAACTATTCTGCGTCTTTATCCTTGACCGAGATGAACCATTCCAGCAAGACTTGAGGAAACCAATTTTTCACACCAGCATCCACCTTTAAACACTCCAACGCTTCCCTAAATGTGGCTGGCATTCTTCGTTCCAAACCGTATTTGTCTCTCGCAGCTCTCTCCATCAAATGTGGGAAGAATTTGCGATCCTTCCAAATCAATTCTGCTTTATATTCAAGGCCATCTAGACCAGCAAGCAAAGTAGCCGCGGTGAACAAGTAGGGATTTGCCGTGCTATCCATCATGCGAAACTCCCAATGCTGGTCACTGATCTTACGCACCGGCGAGTCGCGATTGTCAGTGCCAAATCCGATCCATGCTCCCGCAGCATTGCCGGTAGAGTGAACGTAGCTGTCGTGGTTTGCCATTCCAAAGGCGCAAAGCGCGCCCATATGGTTGAGCACACCGGCTAAGAAATGGTCTGCTAAGGTTTGCTCAAGCTTGCTGATTGAAAGATGGAGGTGCAGACCGTTTGAGGGTCCAGACAATGTCGGTTTCGGGGTCATAGTTGCCTTGAGATTCCGACGTACGCATATTGTGCGGATAGACTCTTGTGCCAAAACAAGAGAATCGACGCCTTGCAGTGCAGGTTCAGGGGCAAGAGCAATCTCCAGCTGATCCTGGACCCCCCCATGAAAGTGGTGGATATTGATGCAAGACTCCTCGAGAGCTTCGGCTATCTCCTCGACCAAGTTCAATGTTTCCCCGCGCAGCCCAGCGGTTCTCGAGTAGCCGTTCAACCGATCTATCGGCTGAAGGACGTTGTTTGACCCGTCCAGGAGCACGAATTCAATCTCGAAACCTACCAGGACCTTTGCATCCCACTCTACCTCAAGCCGTTTCAGAGTTCGGAACAGCAGCATGCGCGGGCACTTGTCGAACCTCTTGGGGGCATCCATCCTTCTGGTCAACAAAGCTCATGACGGTCGCATGCCCGGCCTGAAAGCCGCATGGCCGCAGGGACGACCAGTCGGGGCGCAGAAACCATGTCGGTCTCGCTGCCACTAGCGATCTCGAGGCAGCGAGAAATTGGGATGAAGCGGGCGCGCAGGACGCCAGAGTAGTCGGTCCATTGGACGCAAATGTACTTGATAGAATGGTCCATCCGGAGAAGCGCTTCGAGCTCCTGCCTGTGCGATGGCATGGTGGGAGGACTGGCAGGTAAGACGTGTCGAGATATGCGGAAAGGCAATGGGAAGCAATATGCGTCGAAATGCTCACTCCCCAAGCATAGCGCGATGTGGACGAGTGTTTGTGATCTGGTAGAGGCCAGAGAGAGGAGAGAAAAGAAGGTTGAATTCTCTGTCTGAGAAACTGGCTAATGTACTCGCTCAAATATGTCAAGCCTGACAAACCAGGCCTGTCTGTCATAACTAGTTAACAGTTTGATCGATCGATTAGTATGACTAACTTTTCTCTTTGTGTATTCATCCAGATGAGGAGCTTTATCGCATGCCAATCAGATTACTAGCTGAGAAGGAGAGAGGAAGAGGGAGAGAGGTATGACAGAAATCAATGGTATACGAGCGTACAGGGTAAAATCACAATGTATGAATTCTCTAACTATCTTAAATGAATAGCTGTCCGATCGACAATTTAGGTGGACAGATTTGTAAGCAAAAACAATACAATTCGGACCGAGGATTTTCCATCGGTAAAAGACAGGATGATCTCTCATTTGTTGACAAGCTATGCTACGTGGTGCTGTCACTCATTGGTGGCCTCACAGACCTGGCAGCCAACAACAATTACACGATGTATTTATAAGGCTCGATGTAAAGGACCTCTATACCCTTTCTCAAAGAGTAATGACAAACTATTAACTTTTTCTGGATAGTTCCATGTGGGAACTCTCTACAACGATACTTCCATAACAGGACCCTTGTAGATGTGCCGGGCGCGCACGACATAGTACATAACGGCAAGGAAGCTGCTGCCTCCAATGGCCAGAACGCTCCAGTTCATCGTTTCAACAGTTGGGTCCATTGTACTTGGCCAGAAGCTGAAAAAGACGACGATGGTGAGGTAGATAATTGCATACCCGTTGATTATGGCGCCAATGATGCCGGGGCAATGGAAGGGTCCCCAAACAAGCTTTGCACCAGGCACGTTGACGATGTCATCCTCGTTGTCATTATATCGGGAGATGTCGCCACGGAGGCGGCGGTAAAAGAGCAAAACAGAAACCATGAGGTAGGAGAGGTAGATACCCGCCACTGCCATGGACACGATGTCCTCCATCGCGGTATTGGAACCAATGTTAATTAGGGAAAGCAATGTAGCGACGGTCACTGTAAGGAGGATGGCGAAAATAGGCAACTGTCTTGTGGAAGAAATCTTCAAAGCAAATGTTAGACCATGCACGGTTCCTAGTTCCTGGAGAAGTACTTACCTGACTCCACAATCGCCATCCTGGTACTCCCCTTATCTCGAGAGAATGACCAAAGCTGCCGAGATGCCGCAGCCAGTAGACCCATTAGGGAGCAGACATATATAATGATCACGATAGAAATCATGGTCAATGATCCTGGCACTGAGTCTGTTGCTTCCATGAAGATACCCATGAAGTTGTAGCCAGTGATTTTCCCCAGCTTCCCACCCAGGTCGGAGCCGGTGCAGAACATCATAACAATTATCATACCGAATCCGAGGCAGCCGTTGATTCCGACACTAATCATAAGGGCGTTGGGGATAACGGTCGAGGCATTCGCGACCTCCTCGGACATCTAGTTGAGGGTTTGTTAGCTAGAAGCATATAGAGGAAAGCGTAACTACAAGGAAACTTACATGCACAGCGGCGTCACCTCCAGCGAAGGCAAATGCGCAGCTGGTCATACCAACGAACCAAGATAGTCCTTGTGTGGCAAAGCCTCCTCCATTCTGGAAAGACAGGAAAACCTGCTCCTTTGTGTTATGATCTGCCATATAGACGAGCGGGATTATAATGCCGAAGAATCCAAGAATATGCACAACCAAAATGATCACCTCAATGCGGGGCAGCAAGTTGCCGCCGACCAGATTCACGGCCAATGCGAGACTGAGCGAACCCCAGACAATCAATGTTCCTTCCCAAGGCAGGGCGTTGTAAAGATTGTTTCCTAGGATCGCGGCACCCTGGATCATCTTTCCCGTTAGAAAGGCACAGGCGGCGAAGGCACTCTGCCAGCCGAGAACAGCAAACCATCCTATAGGTTCATTGTCAGTGAAATTGAAGTATTTGAGTCTGTGAATAATCGGGAAATCCACCTGTAATGAAACTCAGGAACTTCTGGAGTCTGCCCGGGGCAAGCATGGCAGCCCAATGGTATTGGCCTCCTGCGGTAGGCGCCCTATTTGACAGTTAGCTCTGGCTCTAGTCTCAGGTAAATTGGGAAGGAGCATCACACATGGAGGCTAATTCCGACAAGACCATAAAGTTGGCAAAACAGCCAACCCACCCAAATATGTAGGCATATATCGCACCGCCAGAGCCGCCACTGATATCTGTTAGAGAATGTTGCAAGATAGCTGGTTGTTGATGTGGGAACACACTTTGTGAGAGGGCCAGTGAAGGTACTAGGCAACTAATTAGCGATGAATTCCGTGAAAATTTGGAATTGGACCGACTCACCCCAGCAGGCCTTCCCAAGTACCTAGAATAGTACAGCTGAAGCCGAGGATCGATAGAATGCCGAAGTTTCGCTGATAAGATGGAAGTGTCAACAGTGTCTCCCGATGGGTTTTCTATCCTTGAAGAATGCATTGCATACCTTAAGGACTGGCTTCTTTCCCATCCGCTGGAGATGCGCATTATCACGGTCCACCGGGCCCCCGCCCCTGCTTGTGACGGAAGTAGTGCTCTTGAATTCATAGGCCACCATGGCTTTTTTTTTTCTGCGGGAATGAAACGGAGGCAAGCCGGAAATGAACCTCAAAGTAAATATGAAGGACGTCGGGTGAAAAGTACGAAAAAAAGGGGAAAAAAGTCCAACGGCCAAATATCGGAATGCGGGTGCAAGGGTATCGAATATTCCTCGATGCATGTTACATCGAGCAGAATTGCAAGTACATATGTGGATGGCGCTAATGCATTCATATGTACAGAGTATGATTTTAATTTAATCTTAGGCGTTCTGTCCTCCACCTGACGCCCCAAGGAGGTTTAGGGCCGAGCATGTGCTATGCGGCAATGTCGATCACACGCGGGAGGGCTCCCGCAGGAAGCGCGCCATACCCAATTGAACTACGCCACAGCTATTCTATGTGGGGCTTATATCGGTGGAGGCTACTCATAGGGCAACAAGCAATTGAGGGTTAAACTAATGCGAGGGGGCCCGGGGACGGGGGGCTAGAACTCCGGGTGAATCCTTCGAGTAAAGGGGTGAACGTGATAAGACTTCTCAGTATTGCCATGTGCTTTACTGCAAGTAGGGAAAGAAGGCACCGATCAAATTGCAAAGCAGGCAAACGTATAGAACACATATCGAGATCGAGATGGTATGGGAGGGAGCAAGCGTCACACAACATTGGGAACCCAGGAGTAGCCATAACACCCCTTCAGAGACATTCGTGTACATCGTATATTTATATTGGTAGGTGCTAAGAGGGGATTTGCATCCTGGTCGCTCTTTTCTGGGCATTGGAAGTAGAACGGGCGCACTACCAGATTATACAGCGATATAATAAAAAGCATCAGGCATGTGCTGTCAGCATGGTTATGCTCTCTAATACTTTCCTTGCTTTCCTTTTTCTTTCTTTCTAGGTAACCCGATCTCCTTCACTTATTGTTGGCTCCATGGGGACACGATTCAAAGGTGACACCAAAGACCCAGCGGTCAATGTCACCAATTGGGTTCTTCTAGTCACGATAATATTTAGTGTCTCTGCTCGATTGGGAACTAAGATTCGACTGTTCAAGAGACTCACCGCAGACGATCTCCTGATCATTGCATCTCTGGTTTTTGGCATCGGTCAGAGCATTGTTGTTTCGCTGGCAGTTGGGTCTGGTTATGGAAAGCATTTTAAAGATGTATCCAGCGCCGATATGGAACAGGTGATGAAAGTACGTATCTTCCGCCTTGCTGTCTTGGTCCACTTGTTCTATTTCTTTTTTGAAATCAAGGTTAATATGCTCCTCCCCAGAATCTTTTTGCGGGGTCTGTTTTGTACCTCCTAAGCCTCACGTTCTCGAAACTATCCCTAGTCGTGTTTATCCGGAGTCTTACACCATCCGCCAAAGACAAGTGGCTCGCCCGTGGAGCCGAGACCATCGTATATGTCTGGGCACTTATTGCAGTCTTTGGGACTGCATTCCAATGCCCTCTGCCTCGTACCTGGGACTTCCAGAGCGGTCACTGCTTTAACCTGGTAGGTTGTGTCTTTTGTCTCCATCACTTTCTACGCCCCCCAGTTCGGACAATACTAATACGATTCAACGGGGCGTATACAGTTGACCTGGCGCTACTTCATCGCTGTCTCCAACATCGTTACTGACCTCTTGATTGTCGCTCAGGCGATGGTCCTGGTTTCTAGCGTCCAAACGACACTGGGGCGGCGCCTAGTTTTTGCGGGTATCTTCCTACCTCGGCTCTTGTGAGTGATCCGGCCTACGGAGTGATTCTCTCCCGTGTTCCAGAGCTTGAAACTCATCTTCTTTCCCTTGATAGTGTGACAATCGCAATAATCGGCGAGATCGCCATCCTCAAGAAAGGCACGAAAAGCAACGATCCAACATTTCAGATGTGCGAAATCACCATTTTCGAAGTGATCACCCAGTGCCTCAGTATTGTGACGGCCTGTTGGGGACAACTCAACCCCTTCCTGTCTTGGATGCGATCGAACGGACTCAAGCTCTATGGCGTGGAAGACCCGACTTCTTGGAGTTACAGGATGCGCTCGCAATCACAAGGGCGGTCCAAGTCGTGCGATCGCAAGAACAAATTCGAAAACCACGAAACCTTCCCTTTGCCGATGCGACAAGATCGAATTCTGGTCACGCAGGATTGGGAGGTCGACAGTCAGTCGAGCCAGGCGCACATAATGGAGTCGCAAACACACCACTAGGCTATCATGAGTAGCAAGTCGCTGATCAACTTAGCTAGCGGCTATAAATCTATACTGGACGCGATGTGGACATACTATGTGCTCGAATTGCCTTGGAAATAAGATTAAAGAAGCTTTCCCCATCCCGCGGAACGGTTTCTCCCGATATCCTCCGTAAATAGAGTGCTTTTTCCAAAGGTTTCACTTTTCAACCCAGCCCTGGGGACCTGGTTGCATTGGCACTCGTGACTGAGCGCATCGTATGATGAGACATGGGGCTGTCGGGGGCCAAAGCAAAATTCTCATCCTTGCAAGTGGCTAGGCCTCTCGTATATGCGGCATTTCTTAATGTATCCTTGTCGTTGAAGGGCTTGTACATTCAGGCACCCATTGCAACTCCCTTATTGGCTCCCACCTCTTCCCTCTTTTGTTCTATGTGCCCCTCCCCATCCCGTCCCTTGAAACGTCCCCATGTCACCAGCGACCATTAAACGGGTCTTGTTCTCATTCCGGGGCCATATTTCACCGGGAAATAGTCCCCACCCATTTTCCACCAAATTGTATTAAACAACCTGCCCTGGTGCGAACGCCTTAGTCAATAAATACCCTTTCGCTAGACACTTGAACTCTTGTTCAGGCCAATTCCAACATGGGATCAGCAACCAATTCTTTCGTGCTAGAACTAGCGACACCAGAAGACGTCCCAGCCATCACCGAGGTATGGTTCGCTTCCTTCACACAGCCGGTGATCGGGAAACTGTTCCCAAACACCCCGGGCATGCACCAATGGCACCGGGATTGGCACCTGGGCGACATTCAGAAGCCCCACCACCGATACCTGCGAGTGGTTGACACCGAGTCGAAAGACGAACAAGGCCGACCGCGGCTAGTTGCCTTCGGAAAATGGGACCTAGCCATGCCAGATGAGCGAGGTCGTCGCTTCCCGCAGTGGCATGCTGACTCCCCTTACCAGGAATGTGAGGACTTCATTGCAGAATTGGAGCAGGCAAGAAAACGCGTCATGGGTGATGAGAAACATTACTGTATGAATGAGACCCCCGTAGAATTAGCAAGAAGAGATTGTTACTGACATTTTAAACCAAAAAAAAAGACCTGGATACACTTGGTACTCATCCTGATTACCAACGGCGCGGAGCTGGCTCTATACTTGTGCAGTGGGGCTGCGACCTGGCGGATAAGGATGGCGTTGCGGCCTATGTGGATGCTAGCAAGGAGGGCGCATCGCTATACCTGAAACATGGCTTCGTGGATTTCAATCCGCCCGGCTCAGATGTGGCTGCGATGGCTCGCCGTAAGGCGGCTCCGAGCTGTTGAGATGTCCCATAGCCACCTGACCCCCGTATTAGAAGACTTATAGTCTTACTTTCTTTTCTCCTCTTCACAGTTTTCGCACTGTCCACAACACAACATATATTGTGTACCTTTATGATCTCATCCACAAAGTAGATCTTGACATGAGGATCGCACTTGACTTGTATATTTCCATGCTGAGAGCTTGCTATTAGAGATAGATTTCATCTTACTAGCTGTGATTGTAGCTCATAACTACATTACGGGAGGAATAGGGCTCCGGAAAACGAGGGTTGTTCCAAGCTTTTTAAATTAGGTATAGGTACCTAGGTAGTTACGGCCCATGGACCTAGGAGTCCACGGGTGACCTTAGTGTTCCCTTCCCCGGACCATATACCTAGGTAGCCAATAGGACACCGTCGCTCGCTAGTGTCGATGCGGCTTAAATACCTATAGAGAAGGGCTAAGCATTTTAGTAACCTTAGAATATATGTAATGCGGCAATGCCCCGCTTTCGTACGTGGTGGCCATAGTCTAGAAGTACATTAGCATACTTCATGATTATCTGTGGTCAATATATTCTAGTGGGAAAACAGTAATAAGGGCGAGACAGGTAGATTGAAGGGCTATGGACATGATGTGTTCCTATTGAGATATTGCTATCAAGGTGCTGTCATTTGAGTACTTCAATCTCACTTTGTTTTTTCTCCCTATCCCTCCTTTCCTCTCCACTGCGCACCCAAATCGGTCAATTCATTTAAGCCCAGATATTTTTACTCACTCCCAATACACTGACGGATCCAACCAATATGAATCCTGAAAGGTAACAAAGAGTATCAATCTGATTGACTATCATGAGAGCCAGACTGATAAGAATGTATTTACCACAGCATCCCCGACATCCCCTCCAGCCTGCCGATTTTAAAGCCAGCCGATCCGATCCCTGAAGCTAAACCTTGGTCGAAGCACCTCGAGCGTTTGCCTTGGTCCGTTGCGAAGGAAGGCGACCTTGTCAAATCTGTGTTCGTGGAGTTCATTATGGGCCAGGACAAGAAACGCGATCCGGTCGTCCGACCCACAATGGGCCTTCAGCCTGAGCGCTGAAACGAGGACTTGGGATCCAATATCCAAAATTTTGAGGCCCTTTTCATCCAGATGGTAGGGTGTGAGGCATCCGTACGCTGTGACCAGTGTTTGGCGGGGCGAGGGACCTTTGCTTTGTGTGTGGTGGTTGATGAGCCAGGACTCCCCAAATGCTGTGGCAACTGTATGTACGGTGGAAAGGGCGCCAAGTGTACGATCCTCCGCGGCCAGACTCAGCCAGTCAGTGTGCCCAACGCTGGAGTCTATGGTAGTGTTTCCACCGCTGGGATGCAAACTTCCGCTGGGATGCAAACTTCCGCTGGGATGCGAACTTCAGCCGCGTCCGCTGCGTGCCTTCGAGCTGAAATGACGGCAAGTCTGGATAGCGTAATAATCCAGCTGCAGCAGCTATCCACCCTCCAAGAACACCAGACCACCGCCGTTGCGGACCACCAGTGCGCCGCCGAAAGCGCCTCGTCCGCCTTCCAAGCTGTCCAGTCCCGCGTCGACCAAAGCTTGCCTGTTCGCTACAATGACGTGGTCCGCGTCCGAAACTCCATCCAGGCGACGACCCGTACCGCATCGCGCGTCAAGTCCACAAGCGAAGCGGTCGCGTTCCAACAAGTCGATATTAAGGAAGATGTGGAGGACCCCCATGTCCGTTTCGCTTAAGGGAAGAAAATGCAGCATTGGCTCCCTTCTATTTTCAAATAACCAATTTGCACAACAAAAATGGAATATATTCACTATCCTATTTCATCTATATTCAATTGGTAGCGTAGATCATGATTCCCTTGCCTACAATAATATTAGAAAAAGAGCTTATAGCCCCGGCCATAACTTAGATATTATATCACTAGTATCAAAAGCAAAAGAAAGATAGCATTGCCTCAATTTCGCTATAGCAATAAAAACACAGACAGCGAAAAAAAGCGGCGGAGTAAAAATAGGGGATAAAGAATACGGTCAGTGCCGCGGAACATCAACGGCGGACCTCAGTGCCGATCAAAGCAAGGCTTTTGGAGCAGAAGATAATATCACGCTCTTTCGGGGCTGTCGCAGGGCGACCCATCATCATCTCAAAGTCGAGTGTCAGAGGCGCTCCGTGGACTACACCATTCCCAAGGATGGCGTGCTGGCAAGGCTGGAAAACGGTGTTGGAACGGGCTCAGGTTCTTGGGCCGGGTAGAGGCACACGCCTTCCGACCTCAAAGTCTACTCTCCAAACTGGTCACCGTCTGACCTTGATTAAGGAGACTTGAGAGCAGCCACCGCAAGTGTTGGCCCCCCACCATTGAGAATCTCCTTGTAGTTGTGGGTATGATTCGGATACTCCCACTTCGAGAGTGAGCGTTCCCCCACTCACGACATACGTCTGTGAAGAGGTAGACCGTAATCTCGAGATGGAAGTCGGACGTTTGTTGTTGCCATGTTTCCAGTTCTTGGGTAATAAAGTTCAGAGTCTCAGATATATATCATGGTAGCTCTGCACCGAAATCATGCGAGTAGAGTCCTAATATAAGGGAGGGGCTTGGGACTCAGTTAGGGAGAGAAAGCAGCCAGAGTCTACGCGACTCGCCGAAGAAGGCTGGATGTCTGCAGAATTTTGGGATTCCGGCGTGGGGGGAGGCCGGAGCCTGAGTCTGCACGGCTCGCCAAAGAAGGTGGGATATCGGATGACGAAGCTTGAGACTCGGTCGGGGAGATGACGTCGCTGAATGAGTTCAAGCGAGTCGCCGAAACGGCGGGCCGCAAAGGGATCAGCACTGGCCTTCCGGAAGGACTCCTGAAGAATGATAGCCGGACCATGGCGACCGAGTCCAGTGTTTCATCTCGAAGCCATGACAGTAGTGGGACTCTGGGGTGTTTCCTGAATCTCAAACGCCCATCATCTGATGAGTGGAGGACCTTTGCTTTGACTTGCTCGCATGTGGTGGTCCCCCCTTCCGCTGGTCTCTCCCACGAGGATAAAAAGCGTAAGTACCTTTTACTTATATTTCGAGCCCCGTGGGATCCTGAACCTCAACATGATGAGGGGGAGAAAATGGCTGGGAATTAGTCTAGAGAGAGGTAGAAAGAAGTCAGGCAGAGGGAAGGAGGCTCGTGGGGAAAGGGAAGGAAAGAGCGTGAGAGAATAGAAAATGGAAATGGCGTCGGTGGTGTCAGCGATGACTTGGTAGGGCTTAGTTCACCCACCTCTCTAGCTGCTATGGGCTCAAATAAAATCTGCTAGGGTCTTTAAGAGTGAGTGTTGCGATGATATACAGATGAAGCGTCTAGTGAAAGTGAGGTTAAAGTGAGGTTAAAGTGAGAAGCTGTTATTGAACAATCCCAGTTAGGCACATATAATTCCGAGGTCGCGTATCTAATGTCCCAAGACAATTGTTTGCACCTTGACATCGTCTTTGTGGTCCTTCTGCCACTTCTTTGAATACCTGACCCCGAACCCTTTGCTGAAAACTTCCCGGACGGCCTCCAACGGCATCCCTTTGCACTCGGGGTAGAAGAAGACTACGAAAACCCAACCGAAGAAGCAGATTCCAGCATAAAACCCAAAAGCACCACTTGGGGTCCAACCCTTCATCATCGAAAGGAAGGTGGATGAAATGATGATATTAGTGCTCCAGCATGTAACGGTGTTCTAGTCCGGCTCGTTAGCATATGTGTTAAGGATATGGAATTGGGGGTAGACATACTAGCATAGTTCCCATTGCTCGCACTTCAAGAGGAATTAGCTCAGTACCGATCCAAGCAATAGTGGCGACACCGGATGAATAGCAAGCGACGTAGCAGATAATTGCGACGAGGACCAGGATGCCTGGCCAGCCGATGTTGTTACTCTCCACAACCAGAGTCTCGGTATCTATTGGGATATATCGGAACGCAATGACAGCGACGATCATGCAGAGAGACATTCCAAGGACGGTAATCGTCAGGATAATACGACGGCCGAACTTATCCACGAGTAGGAGATTGACAATCGAGAAGACGAAATTCGTACCGGAGACTGTGATGCCGACGGCTGTGGCATTGCTGAATCCGACAATAGAGAATAGCGTTGCTGCATAGTACATTAAGGTGTTGAAACCTCCAAGTTGGCTAATTGCCATGATCATGCAGGCGGTTAGAACTGCACGGCCGGTGGAGGGTGTGGTGAAAATGCGCTTGAAAGTGACCCAAAGGGATTCCTTGTCCATAGATACTTCTTGAAGGGATAACTCGATTGATCTAATTTTAGCTTGTCGTTGCTCAGCAGTCGACGTCGGGTATATCCGTAGAAGCACAGCTTGCGCTGCGTCGTGTTTGCCATGGGTAACCAGCTGTCGAGGCGATTCTGGGCAGACAAACAGTAACCCGGCGAGTGCAAGAGCTGGGGCAGCTCCGAGACCGACGGTTGCTCGCCACCCCTCGCCTTTTACCTCAGCAAAGCCCGCACCCAGGGCACTTGCAAGGAATTGACCGAACGTGACACTCATGTTATTGAACGCAACCATACGGCCGCGGTATTGCGCAGGCGCCAGCTCACCAACTGTGGATCGGTGAGCCCATCGAAGCAGTCATTGAGGAGGAAAATAACTTACTATAGAGAGGAACGATCATAGACGCGCTTCCTACCCCAAGGCCCACAACGAATCTTCCGGTCGCGAATTGGCCAACAGAAAAGGCGCATGTTTGGAGGACAGTTCCAACCACGAATACCAGGCACGCGCCCCAGATGGGTAAACGACGACCAAATCGATCGGCAGTGAGACCAGCTCCTACTGCACCGACCAGCGCACCGCCACTTGTGAGGGAGGTCACCATTTCCTGTTCACTTGAGCTAAGGACATGGCCGAGAGATGATCCGATTGTGACTAGAACGGCGGAGATGTATCCCGTGTCGTAGCCTGGATATCACCCTGTTAGTTACTCGTCTCTCACAGTTGCATATGTGAGAATAACATACCAAATAAGAGACCACCGATGGAAACCACAATGCAGATCAACCAAGCTGTCTTGGAGGCAGCTGTTGCCTCAATGCTGCTGAGGTCGGACTGGTCTTTGACATCGAAATGCTCAGCATGTTCTATCTGCTCGACGTTATCCTTGGATATATCCTCCAATTGCTTTTCTTCTTTGTCAAGGCTCATGTTTGTTGAGAATCTTAGAGGCAGGAATGTCAATTGATATTGGGGGTAACTATGGTGATAGAAGATGTGAGAGTCACAGGAGGGTTGTTCCCAGGCCATTGGGGTGATTTATAGCCATGTGCCAATCGACAATGCATCAATTCGTCTTACCATCGAGGATCCCGCAGCGATCGGCATGAGTGCCAAACCCTATTTCCCCACGGGGGTGGGGATAGATTACGCTGCCTATTGGTTTGTCGGGGAAAGGATTTGCGGGGAATTGGGCGTATTTGGGAAAGCCGGTGGCAAAATGAGACATTTGGAGATGATTGGATCACCCCTGCGGCATTGGCACGGAGTCAACTCATCACTTTAGGCGGGGAATACTTCCCCAACGAGAGTCTGATTCTCGAGGTGCTGTGACTGTCGTCATATTCCCCGCCATTCCCGCTTTTTCAGGGAAGTTAAACTGTTTATCGTACCCCATATCACCCTTCCTCAGTCTTGAGTGCCGCTTGGCGCTTGGCTGCTGAGCGTAAAGTGTAAGGCCCGAATAAAGAATATAGCGCTGTAGAGACAATGCCCCGGTGCCTAGCTCACCCCCGGCCTCCGGGGCTGTGGACGACGTCAGGATGCCGGAACTGTTCTTCCATTATGTCCGAACTGGAACCCGGCGCTGAGCCGCATTGATAATTGCCGCGCACAGAGAGAAGCTGTTAAACAAAAAACACAAAAACATACAACAGTGAGGATTCGCTGGTGGTCACCCACCCAACTACTAACTCACCGGCGTGTGGCTTGAGTACGGCTGAGCGGACGGGAAGCCCTATTTTCCACACCCTATGGTCGTATGTATTAGATTACTTGTTAGAGATAATGATATAATCTAGATGATGGATGGATGATCAGGGTACGAGATACGAGATATTCCGTAAGGGGTTGCCAATTAGGGTGAGGCTAGAAAGTTCGGTGGGTCTGGAATGGGTCATGGACGCGTTCATATCTTGAAGTCACCATTTGACCAGATCAATTCCTTGATTCCCATTACAGCAAGAACCCCCACTCCCCACTTCTCGCCTCTATCCACTTTCCCGGATATTGCTTCAATCCAGTGCCACCAATGGTCTTGACCCTTCCGATTGAAATAAAACGGGATGCAACTAGAGCAGAGGAGTGCAGGGGCATTGTGAATTAATGTACTTTCGTTCGGTTTTCCGTCACTCATAACCCTTCACCTAATGTTCCCGACATTCTTTCGAGTATCCCCGAGCTGAGTGCCCTACTTCGCTCTCTTGATCGGAAGCAGCCGATGACCTCATTGGCCGACAGCTTGCTTTTCACTAGTCCGTATTAGGAATATTCATGTCCCGAACCGTGCCACGTGATCATGTTTACCAGCCATGCTTGCCCAGCTGAGCTCCTTGTTGATCATCCTCTTCGACAACTATTGATATCACATTCTCCCGTCGGCTTGCGGGGAGTAACTCTGTCATGAATACTATTAGGCCATCCATTCCTCGTTTGTCTGCCTTGCTTGGCGAAAAACCGTTTCCTATCCCTTCTCCCGGGCCACCTTTACCGCCCGGCATACTCGTTGATGAAGAGATCTCGCCAGTATATGATTCCAAGTACTTCTACCCAGCGAAGCCTGGCGAGGTACTCGCCGATCGTTACCAAATACTGGTCAAGGTTGGCTGGGGCGTGTCTTCAACAGTATGGCTTGCGCGTGATTTACAAGGGTAACCTTCAATAATTTCTGTTCAATTCGAAGCCCTCTGTCTATCTCTAACAGTTGTAGGCATATCGAAGAGCCAGAGAGCGTTGTGGCAGTGAAAATTGCCGATAACAATGCAAGTTCCGCTGGTCATGAGCGCGTGGTTGAAGAGTACATTTCCACGGTAGACCCATCACATCGCGGTCGCTCACTCATGCGAACCTTACTAGACTCTTTTGAAGTTAAAGGTCTAGAAGGTTCTCATTTGTGTCTTGTGTATCCGCCTATGAGGGAGCCATTGTCGATGTATCAGCGGCGCTTTGACGATAGGAAGATGCCACTACCACTTATTAAAACATATATTCGTGCTCTTCTTACGGGGCTTGATTATCTCCATAAAGAATGCAGGATAGTCCATACAGGTAATTTCATATTCAGCCTTGCTTCCCGTTGGTGATGCTGAGCCCAGCCATCTAGACCTAAAGCTCGAAAACATCATGGTCTCATTTGAGGATCCAACTGTGCTCGCTGATTTCATGGATTCTCAGCTTGAAAAACCGATGGCTTTCAAGCTTGATTCGGCGGGGCGACCAGTGTATCAATCCCGTAGCGACTTCGGACCACTCAAAAGCCCGAGTAGTATACCACAGCTTGTCGACTTTGGCTTAGCAATTCGACTTGAGGAAGACGACGACTGGGGCGTCTGGCCTATTCAGCCAGACCACTATCGTGCCCCGGAGGTGATACTAGGTAATGGATGGCAAATGCCTGCGGACATTTGGAATCTTGGCGTTCTTGTGCGTCTCTTTGTTCTCTAAAGTTGTTGCATCCACTAATGCTAGGCCAGTTGTGGGATATGATCGAAGGCAAAGAGCTATTTCGGCATATCCATGATGAACAAGGTCACTACGATGCTAAATTACACATCACCGAGATGATAGCCTTACTCGGTCCACCCCATCCAGAGGTCATACAAAGGTATCAATACATGCGAGAGTACTCATGGCCGCAATCTGTCAGACGAGAAGACGATAGAGTATGCGGGACCGCGGAGGAGTACTTCGGTGGGCCATTCTTTGACAATAATGGTATGATATTACTGGGTTCCCTATCCCGGACGGATTATTCTCAGACTCACGAAACATCTTAGGTCGCTTTCTCTATGAAGATATGATCCCCGACCGGAAACTAGGAGACACCGTTTCCTTCCTTGGGGGAGAGGAGAGGGAAGCGTTTCTGGATCTCGCCAAGCAAATGCTTGTCTGGCATCCGAATATAAGAAAAACAGCAGGCGAACTAGCGGGTCATCCTTTTCTTCAACTAAAGCAAACAAGTGTCTGATTTATGCGAACATTAGGCCTTTATTTACTAACTACTACAAAAAGACGATCCCTTTGCAAGGTCTTACAATATCGCTCGCAGATTGAATCCGCTAGTCAAGAAGAATTTGTAGTAAATGCGCGATTCGAATAAGAAGGGAACAGGAAGAAGATGGAGCAGGGGTCACTTGACTTCTAAGCCCCTTATCAATGGGACATATATTTCATATAAGGCCTAGTTCCTTCAGGACCTCTTCCTCGAGGTTGGTTTGGTCATCCTTTGAAAACCCCTTGGGAGGATTCGCACCAGCTTTGCGAACCCAACCTTGACGGAGGTCTGAAGATTCCTCTACCTGTTCCCTCTGCAACCACCTTATCTGAACCACTGTGCTGAACTTTCCTTCCCTGGATCTCTTCGTTGAGTGGTCGATAATCCGGAGCGCCTTGATAAGTTTTGTATGGCACTCCCCTCGGGGCAGCAGATAGGACGACTGGTTTTTGAACATAGTATACCAGCTAAAGGACAGGTTCGAGTTACCCAAGACCGTATCCTTATAGCCATATTCGTAGGCGAATGGGAAGAAGCCCGCCATATCCCAGTCAATAATGCCGGCTAGCTCGTATTTTGTAGATCCCTTTCTAACGAGAATGTTGCGGGGCTCAAGGTCGTTGTGGCATAAGACGGCATGCTTCTGGAGCTCATCGAGCTCGGAGTTGGACAAGTCAATCTGACCTATATCTTCATGTGCAGACTGAATTGTTATTCCGTCGCCAAGCTCCAACAGCTTCCAATCAGGTGGTTTCTTATTATCCGATGGGAGGAGTCCTTGCAAGAACTCCTTGGCACTTGGAAAAAATCCATGGGTCAGATCACCGATCGCAATCTTGACGGGCTGGGGAGAGTTATCGTCGATTGATATGTAAGGGGTACCCTTCAGGCTTTGGCCAAGGTCTAGCTTCTGAAGCTTATCCACAGCAAGAATGACATTATTCACCAGCTCCAGCTGATTGGTTTCGTCAAGCGTATCCCACACATCCTCGAGGGTAATCGTTCCCGTAAAATATGGAGTCACAAAGTAGTCGACTTCTGTCGCTGCAGTAGTTGTGGTGCGCACCTGCAAGACTGACGGAATGAGATCGTTGAGGTGAGAGCTTGCTAAACGCTGAAAAGTTGCCAATGCGGCCAATGACCTTCCCGATTTCTCCAGTCGGACAATAAGATCCTTGGGGTAGTCCAGAAGCGGCGCGGTCTCAAGCTGAATTCTAAACGTACACGTGTTAAATGTGTTTGAGATGATGCTGTAGCTAGTTGACTTGAGATCGATGACGTCTGGGAGGATTTCGGAGAGAATATTCTCGTCTGGGACGAGAAGCTTTTCAACTAAGCCCATCTTCTCAGCGTGGAAGACAGCTATCTGAGATGTTGGCAAAAGAGCCAGGAGAAATCATGTAGATTGGGCAGGAATGGATTAACCTTTGACGAGATCCTTTATGTGAGGATGCGGGGTCGCAAAATCGGCACTAAGGCTGGTATGTATAGTGGCTATGCAAAGTTGCCTTGAAAGGAAAATCTGAAGGAAGTTGTACAAAATAGGTGTCTATTTTGATTATCGCAAGATAACGAGCGTCAGGTTTCTACCTCGGCATTCTCGTCTCGTTTCACCAACTATAGCAAAAAGGACGTTTGTCTTTTGAAACCATTCCACGTTGGCAAAAGTTACCTAGGTAGAGTTTACAATCTACATGGTTGCCTCGGGAGTAAGACTTTCTCCATTTCTACATATATGTGACCATCCTAAATCCTGATAGATGCCCTTGTGACACCCGTGGACGCCCAAGGATCACTAATCAACATTGGCAGGTACTAGATGAGCCAGTATAATTCAGCCCACAAGTGCCACACTTATTCTGATCAACAGGGAGCTGGGTGATTGAGGTAGCCACTAAAGAGTTACGGCTTAGTGACTGTCAATAGAAACACATACCAGTAATGTCCTTGATGGGATCAAAGGTATAAGTGTGATGAAGAGCAGAACAACGGTCGTAGAAGAAATGAGCACGTGGAATGAAAGCGGAAGATGTGTGTGGATAGCGTCTTAACTTTGCGGTTAGTGGAAAATCAGAACTGGGCATTGATCGTGTCTGTATAGGTGTCTAATGAGCTAGAGTGGTAGTGCTTTTGGAAAGGGGGGGCTATCCCACCTCTTCCTTTTTTATCCATATACATGCGTCCACTGACTTACTGACAGCGAGTGCATTGGCCGTGCAGCCATCGTGTGCCATCTGCACGCGATATGTATTCAATCATATACTTAAATACTGCCAAGTCTCTTAATGTACAATGTGCCTAGTCCTGCGTCCAGCCCTCTAAAATCACATCCATCATTTCGCCCTTAAGCAAGCTCTCATATACCATGCTCACCGAGCTTCCTATGCTCTTTTTGCCCATTGTGGGAAGGCCTTTCTGTGCGTTGAACAAAGGATCGTCTTGGAGGCCACGGTTCATAGGGATATTCAGCTTCGAGCGCACCCAAGTATATATTTGTGCAGTTCCCCCACCAAGCTGCATCGCCACCTCCTCGGGGGAAATAGTCGGACCGGGGTAAAACATTTCCTCCGCTGTACTGGACACAACTGTCTGAAAATGCTTCTTAAAGGCCATCATCGTTGACATTGAACAATCGGGGCTGTGAGTGGCCACGTATTCGTTGACTGTCAACATAACAGCATCAACGACTGACAAGACACGGTCTTTCCAAGTATTGGAGTTTGCGCGATACCAGCTCGACTGAACAATGGGGAGGAGTGCCGCGCATAGTGTCCCAAGTTGTGAATCCTTCAAGCCGAGTCCATACAAGGCTCCTCTTGCGGTGAAGTCCTTCATCTTTGTGCGGAGTGTTGAAAGGAATCGGACGTGGTTCGCTCGGATCTCAACACCCTGGCATGAGACATATATGTGACAGGCACTCATATGTGCCAACAGATCTGCAGCCTCCATAGTGCGTCGGGCTGAAATCAGAGCGAGAGAGTTGATACCTTGATTATGCATCTCAGCTGACATGACGTGGGCGGAGACCGGGTGTGCCAGGGCTGCTAACTCAGACATGTACGCTGACATGTTGATGTCGATTCCCTTCATGGTGAAGTTCTCTTGTGCGGTGGCATTAAGGTTGGCCTCGAGTCCATTATTCGTTGCGGGGTTGATCATCTCAGTGACTTGGGACCAAAGCATTCGTCCTATCATCTGAATGGCCAAGCGAGCCTTATCCATAGCAGACGTGACGGCAGCTGCTTGAAAATTTCCACCAGAGTACACTTTTCCACTTGAACCATCCTCTTGTTTGCTCGTATCCACCAGAGGGTTATCTGATGTGGAGTTGAGCTCCACTTCGAGCTGATGTTGTGCCAAGAGAAGGTCCTCAATATAAGGTCCAATCCACTGAGGAGCTGTTCTTGTTGAATACCGATCTTGGCAGAGCCCGTCGCCAGATGCCTCCTGTGACTCTAGGCCAACAACAAACTTGGAACCCTTCAAGAAGCGCCGGATATTGCTTGCCACCTCGATTTGTCCAGCGTGAGGTCGAGTCGCGTGAACAAAGGGATGAGCCCACTCTACATTTCCGGCCAAGCACTCGGAAGCAAAAGCCGTCAACATTTGAGACAACAACGCAAGCTGCTGCGCATCATACAATCCCAAGCTTGCCACTGCCACAGAAGGAGCAGTGCCGTTGATTAGCCCAAGTCCCTCCTTTGGGCCGAGTCCCGACGGGGAGAGCCCGCTCATCTTCAATGCCTCAGACGAAGGCATAACTATGGCTTGTGCACCCTTACCCACCTGGACAAAGACATCTGGGTTGCCCATAATTGCTCCAGCAATATATGCCATGGGCATGAGATCTCCAGATGCAGAAATGGTCCCCCGAAGAGGAATTAGAGGTGTAATGCCGTTGTGCAGTAGGTCAATAAGGCTCATGAGCACGCACTTGCGGATGGCACTGTGACCCCTAAGGTTCTGGTTGGTACGGGCCACGATGGCGGCTCGAACCCAGGCGAGAGGCATCACATGGGATGGTTCCCGCTCCGAGTTGCTGGCCGGATCCTTGTCAGCCGTAGTGATAATTCCGCTTTGGATAAATTGGAGCAGATGAGTCTGCAGGTCGATGAGTTCGTTGGTTCTAGTGTCGGCACTGCCACCGAAACCAGTGTTGACGCCGTAGATGACACATTTCCGAGAGATGACATCTGCTAGAGTGTCGACGGAGATCTCGAGCCGCTTGGCGAGACACTCGTCCGTGCTGATAGTGGGCTCGACTCCATGACGGGCGACGGCGACTATGGAGGCAATGTCGAGGTCGTTGCCGTTGAGAACAATGCTTCGCTTCTTGTCCTTCAGGTCACGTACGCGCCCCAGCAGTTGGAGCGTTGCGTTCACATGAGCCGATTGGCTGTGCCTCTTCAGGGTCATGATAAGGCAGAGATAGAAAAAGGTATAATGCCTCAACTCCAGCTGTTGTGTTATTGTCTATTCGGTTACCAAGAATTCAGGCGAATATGTGAAAGTTCGATTGAGGAACGCGAAAGGAAATAGAAAAAGGAAAGATAGAGATATATGTAGTTTATTCGCTACATATTGCAATGATGGATTTCAAAATTATCGGTAGTGGGATCTGGATATGCAAGGGCCTGACCTCATCAGCTTCCCTCCGAGTGAAAATATCCCTGTGAGTCGGCTATACTACGTAGTACGTGCTGTATTAGTCCCGCTAGATTGGGATTTAAACTAGTACTCAGCTGATCGGCACTAGTGACAACAAATCCACTAGGAACTTTAGTCCAATTGGCCTGTCAGATTTGATAGTCTAGAACTTAGCTTTGGCAAATCTTCAATCTCATCCATCTCACGTCGCACCCCAAGCCCCGACATCTGCGTAGACCTCTCTCTATACGGTCGTTACTGCCGGAAAAGGATTACCTAGATACTCCGTACTGTTCTTTTCGCCACCATTATATAGTTCGGGACTCAAGTGCCGGGGCTCCAGGGTCCCGGGGTGAACCGAAGGCCTCGAGATCTACTCCGTCCACCCTATGTAGTGATATCATCGTACTTTGGCAACCTTGGAAGCTGTTCCCGGGCTCCGGGTAGCAACGCTCGGCCCTGGATGACTTGGGAATCGACCCCACATGTCAAGCTTGTGCCTGATTTACATGAAAAAGAAAACCTATTAATGGATTGATAGATTATGTATACAACATATATAGTCCGCAATTATATAATCGCCTCAAAATGAAAGTAAAATAGGCGATAAGTTGTATATCTACATATGTACGTTTTAAATCAATATCGACCGAAGTCCCATTGTGGCACACTTCGTCGCGTATTGCCACCCAAAATTGACTGATCAGGACATTCTGAATCCTTGCTTAGCTGAACGCGCACACTGAGATCCTTAAGTATAGTATGCGCACCAATATATGGAGTATGGAGTACTTTCCGTACGGTACTCCATATGTAGACATCGACCCAGATTAAGTAAATTGTCGAATTTAGCTGAACACAGCGCATACCTTGTTGATCAAGACTAACCAAATCTATCAAACGGAATGCGCCCGGGTGGGCCATAATGGAGACTACAACGACGTGAAGACATAAAATCAGGGTTCCATACCTAAATATGCACGCAACCGGAATTGTCGATTACTCTTCAGGTCTTGGCCAGCAAATTCCGGGTCTTCAGCTGGAACCCACTATTTCCACTAGGCTTTCAGAAACTTGAAAATGAGACGAATAAGCCCGTATTCGGTGGGGCAATGAAAGGGGAGATTTACTTTCACTAGTATCGAACTAGTGAACATGGACGGGGTACGGAGTAGCAACACTTCATTCTAGACATCTCAGATCTCAATCCTCACGTGGGTATGAAATAACATAAATCACACTGAGCTCTTATTTTTAAATTCCCCAATGTCCCTAACAGCCTGTTCCAGCTAGATCAATTCACAAGCCAATGGCGTGTTGATTCCTCAAGACTGCAGCAGCGACGTGTCAACCTTCCCGCCCCACACCCGCCTTGCAGCTGAGCTTTCTCTCCCTTCGCTCATCCCCGTAGATGTCTGTTGGATTTGGATAATTCCGTTCTTCTCAGGATATTCGTATTTCCGCACTTAAAACTCGAGATGAGTTTCGGGTTCGGTGTTGGGGATTTTCTCACTGTGATCACGCTGGGTCGTCTACCGCACAACTTACCGCTCCAACCCAAGAGCTCTTGGGCGACCTCGGGGAGAGGTGGGGCAGAATTTGGTCTCGTCGACCGAAAGGATCGTTCTCAAAATTATCAGAAATCCTTTTCGTCTTTACCTTTTCATTTTGTTTCTCCCGTAATCGAGCAAGTCGTCGACGATCTCTACACGGGTCGGTGATCCACTTCTTCCCACGAGTATCTAGGTCCACGGGTACCCGTGGACAACATTTGATTACGTCAGGTTGACATGTCAACAAGAATGCCGTGTCGACGAATGACAGGATCGTCCGCGGCAATCAATTCGCACCCTACTGTAAAGATCCCCCCCAATTTTCCACTTACCCCTGACATAGCAAGCTTTCTTTCCCAATTCGAAGTTCGTCGGCCTGAGGCCACAACACAACGCAGGACTAGATCGACGGCGTCAACGCAACAACTCTATCCTCCAGAGTGGGTGGTGGATATCTCAGTGGTACGCAAAGAGCTTAAGCAGTTCTACGACACTCACAAATCATCCGAACTTGTCATTCAACGGCTGGGGCCGCCGAAACACAAAGAGTCGAAAACAGCCCGCCAAGCTAGTCCGCCGCAGGGAGCATCCGCGACGCAAGAAATCACGTCACCAAGGCGTGTCGCCGACAGGCCGATCACCGCCAGTTCCAGTGCAAGGCTTAGAGCAGGCACTCATCCTCCACTACTACCGTCCTTGAAAGAAATGGCACCTAACGAGCCGGAAGGTGGCGGCCAGTCTTCGACTGTCCAGGCTTCCGCTGACCAACGACAACCAGCCGACCAACACGACAATAGAGGACCTCAACCACAGGACAGATATCGGTCACGAAGTCGTCCGTCTCGATCAAGGAGTCGATGTACACGTCCCAATTCATCCGAGTCAATCGAAAGGTTTGGACCGAGAGACCTAAGACCAGTGAAATCCCAGGACGACGTTCGCCGTCGGGGAAAACACGTCAAAGCCAAGAAGGCGAGCCACGCGGCTGTAGATGAATCTGACAAGGGAGCCCGTCTTTGGGGCTCCGACAAAGACAACGACGTCTATGCCGGTCCGGTGGAGGTCATCAATTCGGTCGCCGTAACAGATGATTCTGCACAGCTTGAAAGAATGACACTGGCAAATAACAGTGACACTGATACCGAGGGGGAAGTTGACCCGGATGATCAAATGATCGCCGAAGGACGTGTAAAGGACGAGGCTCTACTTGCGCAAAATGGGTTTGATCCTATCTTTATAGAAGGAAAATACCCGGGAGAAATTCCCGAAGAGATCGCTGATTATCTGCCAGAGGACCGCACCAAACCATCCTGGCAGATGGTAGGATCAAACAGAAGCATCTTCTGGATTTTCGGGTACAATGATATCGTCGATGTTATCGACGATCCCGCCTGCCTCCTCGACGACGAAATAGTCGGCGTGCCCAATGGAGTTCACCCGGCGTCTTTCCTGTTTGCCCGCTATGCCAACGAGGATAAGCTACCCCGCCCCGTTCTTCACAAGTACTTTGACGGCAGGGCCCCTGCCCCTACCCCTACCACGCCTTTCGTCATACCAGCCTTTGATATACCGCCTCTGGTCTCCGATGAACCAACCAACCACCAATTGCGGAACCTATACCCTCTTGGCCGAACCCACGACTTTCCAAGTCACCTTCTTTGCCTACGTGTGAAGTCCAAGAAAAAGCTGGAAAAGACTCGTGATATGGTCCAGGAAAAGTTGCGTGGCGCCTTCGATTTTGAAAAAGATGATCTTTGGTTCCGAGGAATGAACCTGAAGTCGCTGATGCTGTCAATGTCATTCTTTGTTCCGGTCATATCGACTTCAAATTCCGACAACGAGTTCGGCCCTGGAATTTACGCCACCAATGACTTCCTCGAAGGAGCCAAATATGCCCAACCCCAAGGAGCTGTCATGATCTTCAAGAATCCCGACTTCAGAGACCTTTCGGTGTGGGAGCCGGACAAAGACGAATGGAACAATCTGACGGCGACATGGCTTAATATCCACAAAAGAAATCTTACAATATCTGATTCTCACAATGATGCCGACGTTATCAAAGGGCCGATTTCGTCGGACCAACACGAAGCCCGGAAGCGTGGCTTTTATCCATCGCAGAGCGGAATCCCCCAAATTACTTGCATTAGCTACGATAGCTGCAGGGCCCTCGCCAAGTCGTTGGTCGCAATTATCTATTTTCACCAATAACTGCGCGAAGTGAATTACTCCATGATTTGTTACATGGTTGCTCCTCTACGTATTGCTATGTGAGTATTGTTACTCAGCCTTTGTCGAAAAGGCGATCTGTCTTGCACCCGTCCGGCGTTGTTCGCTGTCGTCCGCCGTCAATCACTGTGATGGACCCGGAAGGCAGACCGGGGTTATCTATAAAAGACACCCCTGGCCCCCAAATCCAGTTAATATTCTTCTCAGGTATCCATCTAGTCAATCAATACCCTTTAGATGCTCTTCAAGAAACACCCCTATGCTGGGCAGCTCGGCATGGCCGTGGCAATCTGGTCCGATTGTTAATAGAAAACGGCGCCAATCGCAACCACAAAGTCTGGTTAGGTTATACTCCACTACATCCTGCAGCCCTGAACGACTATAATGAGATAGCATAACTAATACTCGACAATGGTGGTGATCCAATGTGCGGCGACGTACAAGTTTACTTACCACTCCACGTTATAGTTATAACTGGATCAGAGAGGGTGGCGCGTCTCTTATTATAACGAGGAGTGCACCCGCACGGTAGAGATTTTGAAGGCCACACTCCACTATGGCTAGCCTGTATCTTCGGTCATGAAACAATGGCAATGGCAACCCTCTTACTTGATTGGGATGCTGATATACAGCCCAAAAAAGTTTTTGGACGCCTGTCTGTCGACTGCAGCGGAATATGGTACGATACGCTAGTTCAATTGTTTCTAGATAAGGGTGCGGATATCGACGTTACGGACTATAAGGGACGCTCGCCGCTCATGTTAGCATTGCTCGCAGGCAGGGAATCTGTTATCAAACTCCTGCTGCATTGGGATATTTACAAATTTGTTCTGACCAGATTGTTAAATACAGACCATTATTGTTTATAGTTAGATAGATAATTTTACCAGTGCGCTCGCCATACACCTGATTCCTGTCATATCATTATCGGTCCTCAAATTAAGATTTGGCTTCGGCTGGCCCTGAGCCCTATGGGTCTTCGGAAGGTAATGTCGCGGCCCGCTCGGCCACTTATAATGTTCCAATCACGTGATTGCCCCACAATACCACATTAAAGTTCACCATAAATGCCTACTCTCTATGTAATTGTCATCTCCTTTTCACATCTCAGATTTCATCAATTATCGCTATCATGGCATCACCCGAATCTCTCACCCGTCCTGAAGTGAGCACGATCACTCTCAACGAATCACCAGAATCGCACTTGAATGTTGTTGACGTTGGCCCTTCGAGATGGGCAATCGTGAGCAAAGTACAGGAGCGCACTAATATCCTGAGTCAGCGAGATGTTAGTAATGGCCTTGGCCCAGCATACGTGACTGAGAAGTTTCTTTGTTGCCCTATTGGCTCTAGCAATACACTTGCATTTATGCGAGTGTATAAGCAAGTACCTTATTGCCGGCACCGAGTTTAAGAACGCTTCCCTCCGGGCCACACAGGCTGTCAAGACCTATGAGCCTACAGAGCTTACCACTCTCAAGTCCCTCCAAGAGAAAGGCTGCGATGTTATTCCTCGGCTCCTTCAATATCAGTGTGACCAACAAGACGAAGACGATACCGTCCCTGGTGGGTTTATCACGTATGTGATATGGGAAAGGGTGCCAGGCGAGTCCCTCGATATGCAAACGTTTTGGGGTTATTCGTTCTCGGAGCGAGAAGTGATCCGGCTTAAGTTCCGCGAGGTCTACAAGTAAGTTCTCCGTTAATTATAATAATAGACCTAAAGCTAACAAGTGAGGATTAGGAAGATTAAGGCGTGCGGATACTGCCTATCTCCTGGGATAAATAAGGTCATATATCATAGGCCTACTCAAATGATGTATGTCCTAAACCATTATTGAATATTGCCCGAGCTAATACTTCTTGGCTATCTATCTGGATTCTCTAGCCCGTTTCGTACCGAAGACACCCAATGGTCCGATCGTATCTACTGCTCTTATGGTCTCGTTCGGCCACCTACATCAATGGACCAGTTCTTTCCTATTACCAGCGCTGATTTGAAGTATGACGACAAGGGTTGGAGATGGTAGGAGGACGGATTGCACCACAGGACAGGAGAAGAATTGCTACTCTATTTGCTCTGTTGATGATTCCTAATACACCTCTACTATTAGCTCACTTCTCAATTCTACCTAACCTTGTTTATTGTGAAGACTTTCGACTCATTTAGCTTCGCTCATAGAATCTTTGGGCTGTTGAATTTGCTCCTCACATTTGGCGGGCTCAGCTACGTCTGAGGTCGACAGCTTCATGATAAATGATACCAGTTGTTAGAGTATAGGGGGGCTTTAGATATGTGTCCTCGGTATCCATGGTATAAGGTTCAAGGCTATTTCAATTCAGTTGACAAGAGGTAGGTTATGTCTAAAGGTTAAAGGGGGGAAATAATACGAAAGTTTTTATCGAAACCCCGCGATAGAGTTGCAATGACCAGTGATCTCTCGCTCTTCGTACCTAAGGAAACCTCACGTTCGACAACGAACCAAATTGATACAAATACTAGGATCTAGTTTAGAGGGTGCAATTTACTGGCCTACAGGATGAGAAATCAATATGATAGACAAATCGTGATGATTCTGGTACATAAACATGAGGGAGTGAATTTCTTCCCTCCGGACGGAGGTGGTAGTAGACCCACGCCCCGCCCACCGATTTGTCCAACAGACAACAAAGGAGGACTTGGAGATTATCACTGGAGAAACCTAGAATAGCTCGACATTTAGATTGCCTTAGGATCGTTGGATATTGGCGAAGTTATCTCTAATAGCTGCGACCATCTGAAGCATATTGTCGAACTCGGCTCTGTGTTGGTCGGGGTGGTGGTAGGGGTGAATGCACGGGCCGGGACAATCAGCTCCGCAAAGTTTTCAGCGCGCATAGCGTTGTGAATTGCCTCGTTTCGGCTGTCGTCAAGGCCGATCTCGGCCTGCATCCTGCGGAGCGCCCGCTCCAAATTTTCAACCATGGCGAGGCCAGCCTCGGCCTTGTCGCCCTGAATATTAAGACGGACATCTAAACTGTTGATAGAGGACTGAGACGACCGGCCGCGCCGGTGCCCTGGGAATTCTCGGGAACAAGCGGGTGCTGGTAGAAGATGCATCAGTCTGCTCATCCGTTCCACTGGCAGTTCCCACATGCGGTAATTGTACGATCGATATCAAGAAAACGAACGCATTTGGCCCAGGGGCCATTGTTCGCCAGGCAATTGCCACACTCCTGCTGGGAGACTTCTCCCACAATCAGAATTAGGATCGATTCGACATTTGCGGCCCGGCTACCAATGCGCTCGTCGAGTCGCTTTCCGGTGTAGTTAGTGGTAGACCGCTGCAGTGGCTCTCGCACAGCCACTGCACCAGTGAGAAGGGTAATGGCTTTTGTTTTGAGCCTTCGCCCGGTGCGGGCCACCTTCCACAGCAGCTTCATTGCGTATGTGGCCCAGGGCCCGGGGCCCAGGATTCAAATCAGAGCCCCAGGCGGTTCCAATTGGGATCATTAGAGGAGCCCCGATGGAGTGGTGTCCGGTTTCTTCAGCAAGCAAGCTTGTATCATCGTTAGCCATTGAACTGAATGTGTCTGGAGGATAGATTACTATGAGTTGTCGCTAGGGGCGATCACCTGCTGGCAGTTGGGTAGGTTGGCCTGGGATGCGGCTGGGGTTGGCTGGGATAAGGATACTTCACGCTGGAAATGGCAGCTAAGGAGGAAGTAGAATGTTCCGTTCAGCCTCACATTGATCTTTGCTTTTCTATGCTAGGAAATAATACAATCATGTACTTGACAGACGTGGCGAACAGATGGTCCCCTCTTAGGCGTTACGCGTCCAAACCTGGTTCCGCATGCCTGTGCTTGTGTTAAAAACTGAGTCTGCGAGGGCTAGCAATCCAACATGACAAAGACTCTGACAAAATGACACTGTTGTACCCGATGTGCTTCCTCTGTCGCGATGGTAAATTACTGGAGAATACTCCAGTCCCCCATACTCGACCGACATCTGCCTTTCGCAGGAAGATTGTTTGCTCGTATTAAGAATCCGTATTTCAGGCGTGTCTCAAGCATGTGTTGCGCAATTTGGCCTATAGGTATATGTTAGTAAGAATCTCTGCCTATCAATTGCTTATAATACTAACCTAGTGCATGCCTCAACGGTTGTTCGGTGTCACCATTCTCAAATTTTTGAAATTGGCCCTTTGATAACGTCGGCATCAATGCGAGAATCAGATATTTTAACATCTTTTTTGTAATATTAAGCCAGGTTGCCGTCAGATTGTTCCATTCGTCTTTTCCCGGCTCGCACACCGAAAGGTCTCTGAAGTCCGGATTCTTGAAGATCATCAGAGCTCCTTGAGGGTGGGTATATTTAGCCCCTTCATCGAAGTCATTAGCGGCGTAAATTCCTGGGCCGAACGTGTCGGAATTTGAAGTCGATATGGCCGGAACAAAGAATGACATCGACAGCATCAGCGATTTCGGGTTGATCCCTCGAAACCATAGATCATCTTTCTCAAACCAAAGACGCCACGCAACTTTTCCTGGGCCACCATAGGGCATCTTGTCTGAGCTGAAATAACGATTCAGATAGCCCCGTCTCAATGGTGAGGGTTGGCCAGCCGGGAGGGGGCCCGGGGGCAGACGGGTGGCGAGATGGCGGAAGAAATCCCTGGTCAGCTTGTTTCCCTTGTTCGCAGTCGGCTTATACGTCGTCGTGGCCACCCACTTCCCACTGGTTGTTGACACAAGTCCCATTCCGATAAGAGAAAGATCCAGTACCCTAGTAAACCCATCTGTAACCGGGTCGTGCTCGAAGGAAGGGACTATCTTGATTAGCCCAGCATGTCCTTCCTATGCAAACCGACACTCGATCCCCTCGAAAGAACTGGTCTTCATCGAGTTTTCGTATAGCTGATTGGGACAAGCCGAGAACGACAAGCCACTGGCTTTCTGACTTTGGCTGAAGTGACTCGACAAGAATTTTGGCATAGGTGCAGAGCAACTTGAAACGGGAAAAGTGGTGAACGACGTATCCATCTGGGAGTTTACTCATGAAGATGAGGAAGGGACGGTACGAGCAACGGTTCCCTTGGTCGTGGAGAGATTGGAACGTAGCATCGATGACTCCGCGATTCTTGGGGCCGACTGGGTAGATTTTGGGCTCTGGCAACCGCGATTCCCAGCCAGGTTTTAGTGGGATTGTCATCCATCGATCCTCAGGGATGCCGACCACTCCGGGGGGGCTCACCCCAGACCTTGTATAACATCAGGAGGTCTGTCAGCTGAACTTGGTCTGAGTCTAAACCGTCCCAAAGGGTATGTACCTAAAGAGACCGCTTAAAAAGACCACTAAAAAGACCACTAAAAAGACCACTAAAAAGACCACTAAGACGACTACGGCCGTATAAGCGGCCGACTATTTATTCTTATAGTAGTATATTTCAAAGGGAGGCGGTATATAAGGCAGTACACCTAGGTATAAGATCGGAGGTCCCACTATATAACATAATGTATGGAGCGGTGTCAAAGCGGTCTAAAATCAGGCATAAACCAGGCATTTAAGTCGACAAGCCTGAAAAGACAGACATTTGACCTTTGGCCGTTGTGCCCCTTCGTAGTATGGTTACATGTAGCTCACGGGTTTATGTACTAGTATTATAACCCTACCCGAACAGAGCTCAGCTGCCTCGGAAATGACCTAAACTAGACTGCGGCATATCCGCTCCAATGGATATTGGATCGATCCTTACATCCGCAATTTGCGGATATTGGATATGAGTTGATATCCATATCCACACTAGTAAAATCTCGCTAAAATTACTAGATATAGTAATTATTTTGTATATCTCTCTAAATTTTAGTCATATGATCGCCTAAATAGGCAATTTCTTGGCATTCCTTAGCATATTGGCTGTGTTTGATATCCATTGGATATCCGCAGAAACCCAATGGATATCAGGTCCATATCCAAATCCTCAAGACTGCGGATCTTGGATATCAAGAAATATCCATATCCGCAGTTTGCGGATGTGGATTGTGGATATCCGCGGATATTGCGGATCGTGCCGCAGTCTAACCTAAACTAGTATATCTGCATAAAGTGAGTTTCTCGATAATTTATTATATAGTTACTCCTCGATATATTACTATATAAGTATTAATATTTAGCCTTTATTAAAAAGGCGATCTATTACATATCTATCTGGCGTCGTCTACTATTAATTACCTGCCTATTATATAACGAACCCCGCTCGCTTCGGCTGTATTATATTTAATATACCTATATTAGCTAACCCCGTTTTAGAATTAAAAGGACCTTTATCCTTTAAAACCTCCCTTTTAGAAGGATATCCCTATCTAAAATTAGATATAGATCTAGAAATAGATATAGGGATAAAAAAATAATAAAGTATTAAAGAGGAACTAGGAGTGGTTTATAATAAAGAAGATATATTTAGAACCCTATAAGAGGTCCTAAAATAATCTAAAAGGGTATATCTTTATATACTATAATCTATATAGATATAATATATACTTTATAGATTTAAATTATTAATTAACCTTTTTAAGTCCTAACTATACCTCCTATCTAGTATAATATATAAATAAAGCTAAAATATATATAGTATATATAATACCTTTATACTATAATTCATAGCTAGGATATAATAGATATTAATAAGCCGTTTTTAATTTAGTATCTCTTTAGTATTAAGAATTCTAAGAAATATTAGTAGTATATTTAATAGTATATATATTATAAGCGTTTTACTAAAGGTATATTGTTGGAGTTATCACGTGATTAGCATATGATTGTCACGTGACACTCCGGGTCCCAGGACTTCCAGTAGTTAGTTCAGATAGCTTCCTCTCTCTTCTTTTCCTCTCCAGAGAGTCCAATACAGTTTCCCCTGTATCATTTCATTCCTGCGTAGCCTTCTATCTCGCTAACAGTAAGATAGATAAGAGTAAAATAAGTAATATTATATTAAAAGGTTTTTAGTTGAGATTCGGAAAGGATCGCATGGTTTTTATTTTGTTAGGGTCACTAACGACTAAGTCCTGAATAGTACGGAAGCGAGAGTGTATATAAGTGTAGAAACGGCTCTACACGGAGCCGTCTAATAAGATATAAGATAGGTTTATATAGGAAAAGGGACTTCTAGGATCATATCCTCCTCTACTAAGCGGAAATAGGCCCTCCGTTTCCCTAAGGTATTATATAAGTGGATATATATAAATCCTAGGAGTAAAATTAAGGAAAGTTAGTATAATTAGATCTATCTAAAAGGATACGATTATATAGGTTCGAAATAAAGGAAATTCTTATTAAGTCTTCTAGAAATAGCTATATAAAGGTTATTAAAGCTTTATTAGGCTTAGTATTATTAATAAAGGCCTAAAATAGATAGTAAAGGTATAAAAATAGCTTTATAATAGAGGATAAAAGGGAAGTTAAAAGATATTTAGATAAAAGAGGGCGGCTTTAAAATGTAGAGTCTACTAATTTACGCCTATATACTATCTAAAAGACTCTTATTTCCGACTTTATAAATAAGATAGACCTTTTATTCCTAGTTAGGACTAATTTTTTTTCTTATATCTCTATTTATACTTCTTCTTTTTTTTATATCTTTTTATATTTATTAAATTTTATTCTAATAAATTTTTTTATATTAAAAATGCCCTATTATAGCCTTTATAGACGTTTTAGAGAGTCCTCTAAAACCGCTAGAAGCTTTATTATAGCTATATAGAGTTCTACTAAACCTATTAATACTAAACTAGGGTATATTTTATAGATTTTCTAGGAATTCTATAATACTAAACTTAGCCTTTAAGATATAGAGTTAGATACTACTATTTAGATTAAATAATAGACTAGAGAGATATATATAATATTAGGAAATATAAGGTTAACTAAAGCGGGTAAAATTAATATTAGTAAAGTAAGTCTTATATTTATAGACCTTTTAATATAAAGATATTAAAACGATAGCTTTTAATAGATAGGTTAGATAGCTATATAGAAATAATTAGGAGTATATAATAAGTTTCCCTTTCTTTTACACTCTTTAGAGGTTTTTAAAGGCGCTAAAGGAGATAGTATAGGTAATAGCGATAGTAATAGTAGTCTTATAGCTATAGATAATAATAGTATAGATATAGCTAGTTTTATAGCTATAGATAATAATAGTATAGTAGATAGTATAGCTATAACTAGTCCTATAATTATAAATAGTAGTAGTATTAAAAACGCTAGCGTAGCTATAATAGTCCCTACTTCTCTAGTCCTAGCTAAATATAGAGGGGATAGTAGCTAGTTATATCTATTATTTTTAAATATTAATATAGTAGCTCGATCTAAAGCGTAAATAGATAATAGTAAGTTTTTTTATTCTAATCGGGTTTATATAGAAGCTAATCGCTTTATTTTTTAGATAAAGGTCTTAACTAAGATAGCTTTCCTCTTATTTTATATTTATTAAGTAGTAGTATAGACTTTATATAGGACTATATTACTTCTAAATATATAAAAATAAATTAGTATTTAAATAAAGAGCCTAAGCTATTAATAACTATCTATATTTAGATAGTTTTAGGATAGCTAATTAGTTATAAAGCTTTAGTTAGAGAGGAGTGTAAATAATATATAAAGGGAAATAAGCCGTTTATATCCTACCGGATTATCTTCCTTCCTATCTAAAGATTTTAGTAGTCCTTAGCCTATATATACTACTAGTAGTCTAATAGTATAAATAAGTATACTCTTTATAAATATTTTCTTAAGTATATTTACCTTTGTTTTTTCTAATATCTTTATAGGCCCTATTAAGGATATTATTAAGAACCACTAAACTATAGGAAAAATACCCTTTTAGGTATATAACTTTATACGCCGTTTCTAACTAAGTAATATCTTCTTTAAGGCCCCTAATATATACTAGTACGCTAAGGAATAGACTTATATAGCTAAGAAAAAGGTTAATAAAAGAAAGGGTCGAGCTATTAAAGCTATAGCCGGTCCTTCTTTAGCTCCCGCTATTAAAAATAAAGGTAAAGGTAAGGCTATACTAGATCTTATAGCTCTAACTAAAGTTATAAAAAAACGCGCGGCTATTAATCTTTTTAGTAATAAAAATAAGAGTAGTTGTTGACGCAGTCACGTGATCAGCATGTGATTGTCACGCGACACTCCGGGTCCCAGGACTTCTAGTAGTTAGTGCAGATAGCTTCCTCTCTCATCTTTTCCTCTCCAGAGAGTCCAATACAGTTTCCCCTATATCATTTCATTCCTATGTAGTCTTCTCTCTCGCTGACAATATCTTATTATAGACTAATCTTATAGGATATACTCTAGTAATTCTAAATAAAAGTATTAAATAAAATCGATTCCTAATTAACTATCTATATAATTTAGTTTTAAAATAGGTAAGGGAGCTTAAAATATAAGTCTCGCTTCTAGTTTTCGATTATAATAGTAGCCTTTTTAATAAGCTATATAAATTCTATAAAGAAATTAGGAAAACTATCCTTCGGCTTTATCTTAAATTTATAGTATATAATATAAGCTTTAATATATTAATTTAGGTTTATAAAGATAGTTTTTAAATAAAAGATAATATTATTAGCGTCTTTATAAAAGGTATTAGTATTAGTATTTATCTAAAAAATAATATATAATTAAGCTTTACTTTTATAGCGATTTTAAATATAAAGTTTATAATAAATAAGTAAAGAATAATAGTCGGTATTAGCTTTAAATTTCTAGCGAATTATAGTTTCTTAGATTTTAAAATAGACCTCTTTTCTATTATTTAATATTAGGGTATTAGATATCTTTATAGTTTTATAAATAGTAGTAGCTTTTATAATTAGTATACTAGAACTAATCTAATTCTAGATATTTATAAAATAAAAGATAAGATTACTATATTTATAAATTATAATATTTTAATAAGTAGTAGTTTTATTATACTTTTAAATAAATATTATAATTAGAATCTTAGTTTTAATTTTTTTAGTTTAGAGGATAGTTACTTTATTTTTAAATTACTAGATCTTATCTTTTAATTTCTTATAATTATAAGCGAGTTTATAGAACCGCTTTTTATTTAAAGTCTAGTATAGATATTTATAGATTAGAGATTTATTTTCTTTATTATATTTACTAGTATTAACTAGTCTTTATAGATTAGAAATTAGAATATTTAGATTAAAAGTAGTAATTATCTTTTATTTATAATTTTTATTATCTTTAGATATAATAGTAGACTACTTATCTTAGTTTATCGGTAGGTTTCTTTTTAATCCGGCTATTTTAATTAGTCGGAGACTTTAGTTTAGGATTAGGATTAAGATTTTAGCTATATAATACTAAAGAATAAAAGTAGAGAGGTAATAAGGCCGAGACTAATTATAATAATAGTCTATATAGATATACTATTAAAGAAATAAGAGTAGTACTTAGTATTATATTACTAGCTAGATCTTTAATTAAAAAGAGTGTATTTAACGAGAATACTAAGTATAGAGAAGTAAAGGAAAAGAAAGAAAGGATCTTTAAGGTTAGAGATCCTTTATATGTGGGGTCCTGTCATATGCAAATAATAACTAAGGCGGAAACCTTTGGCAGAAACCTTCTTAGATCGTCACACTCCGGATCCTTATTATCTATATCCTACTTTCTATTTAGTAATAGTAGAATAGATAATAGTAAATAGGTTTATATCTATACTAGATATAGTACTTCTAGACTATATACTTTTTATAATATCTAAATTATCTTCTTTTTATAGTTTTATAAAATAGTACTACTAAAAAAGTAAGAAGGCTCCTCTATATCTTTAATTTCGAACTACTATTTTACCTTTTAAAAAATTTAGTCTACCTCTTTATCTATAAAAGCGGTAGTAATAAAGTTATTAATATATACTAGTAAAAACTATATAGAATTACTATATTTCTTTATATATATATATAGATTATTATTAAATATATAAAAACCGATCTTATTTAGCCTAATATTAAACTCTTTATTCTAAAGAGTAGCTAAATTATAAAGTCTATATAGGGCTTACTTTAACTAGTAGACCTAGCCTTTTACTCTAATATCTAGCTTTTAATACTTAAATCCGACTAATTAAATAATAAAGACTATTTTATAGTTCTTATATAAGATATTAAAGTATCTATATTTATTATATACTAAATTTAGTTAATATAACCTTCTATATACTTAGCGATATTATTTAGCTCTAGTATATAGGTAGGTATAAGCTCGAAAATCATACCTTTATTCTCTATCTATATCTAAAATTTTTAAAACTCTATTCTACTATCGATTCGCTAGATAGTTAGGTATTAGCCTTAAAGAAGCTTCTATCGTTTATAGAACTTAATTATATAGTCTATAATTTCGTCTTTTATTCGAAAATATAGGCCTTTAGTATATCGAGTATAATTATCGATAATTAGTACCTAATATTTCTCTCTATTAGGGCTAGGGGGATTTATCATCTAGGTATTAGTATAAGACTTTATACCTGGTTTCTCGACACGTTATTACTTATCTCTTAAGATCTTCTTCTTTGCTTTACTAAGCTAGCAAGCTTTATAATCGAAGTTATAGAGCTCCACTTAGTCTTCTTCTTTAAGAAGGATTGTATTAGCTAAAGAAGCGGCCATTCTTGCCATATATCCTAGGTTGCAAAGCTATAACGGATAATGATATATTCACCGCACCTGACTGAACACATTATTACACAAACTGGGCGCTAGGGGACATCGGTTGGAAAAGAGTTGGATCAATCCCAGCGTAATATGTGATGAATTCTCCCTATGTCACATGGCTTCTCCCCCATACATGTGTGTAGTTGATCACTACTCTTTCTTTCCTCTTCACACCTCTGTACACCACTTTACAGAGCTCTGGCACTCCGTACAATACCACTTTGTACAGCCTTTTCATGGTCTCGTTTACACCGTAGATCTTATCAATATGACCAAGCGATTCAACAAGCCTGCCATTGAGAAATAGCCCCAGATGCGGTCGACAGATCTTTGTCGAGGCAGTCTGGGTACTTGTTTCAAGTATGTGGAGGATGACGCTCTTCCTTCCTCCAGGTCGTTCCCAACGGGGAAGGGAGACCAGCAAATATTGTCACAGAGGATGCTTCATGGACGAGAAGACCGATCCGACTGTACTATATTTAACGTCCTGTATAAGAAGCCTGCTAGGCCCCAATCCATTTCCAAAGAACCTGCAACAGCTGGCCGCGGTTGACCGGTTTTCCGATATAATCATTCATCCCATTAGCAAGATACGTCTCCATATCTCCCTTTAGCGCATTTGCCGTAAGGGCAACGATAGGCACGTCGATGCCCATGCCTCTGATTTGCGATGTCGCTTCCAGACCGTCTATCACCGGCATGCTAATGTCCATGAGAACCACATTGTAGGACAAAGGCGTTTGTTTGACTTGTCGGACGGCTTCCGCCCCGTCCCCGGCTACGTCGATGCGCTGAAACTCAAGGCTTTGAAGAAGCTTGAGCATTACCGTCTGGTTGACAAGGTTATCCTCGGCAAGTAAAATACGCTTGCGGGGCGCAATTTCTCGCACTCTGTTCAAGAGGTCCTTTGCATCATCAGTTGAAGGAATGGCAGGTTGCGTGTTCGAATAGCCTGTGCCTACACGGCCCATCCTGGCTGTGAACCAGAACACACTACCTTTGCTTTGTGGCCCGGGTCTGTAACCCGCCGTACCGTCCATGAGTTCCGCTAAACTTTTGCAGATCGAAAGACCAAGGCCAGTGCCCTGGTATTTGTGGGTAGTGGAATCGGCAAATCGTGTAAATGGTGTGAAGAGTGTATTGAGAGCGCAATCAGGAATTCCAACTCCAGAGTCAGCAAACTCTGTTGTAATCATATATGTCTGTGGGTCTGATTCGACGGGAGAGAATGTCGTAGAGACTCGAATATAGCCCGTCTCCGTAAACTTCACTGCGTTCCCGAGCATATTCTGAACCACCTGACGATACCGTAAAGGGTCACCGCGCACAACTTTAGGTAAGTCCGGTGGAATCAAGCAGCTCAGCTCAACTCCGGGTTTTAAGAGAGACCTGCAGTTTCGCATCACAGCATCAAGAATGCCCTTGATTTCCACGACGTCGGAGTGAAGAGAAAAAGACCCAGATGACAGCTTCGAGTAGTCAAGGACGTCATTGATGATCCGGAGCAAGACCGAGGTCGAGTCCTCAATTATCGAAGCGTATTCAAGTTGCTGGTCGGTAAGATCGCTGTCCTTCATCATCGCGAGCGCAAGCTGCATACCGTTCATCGGGGTCCGTATCTCATGGCTCATGTTTGCTAAGAAATCCGTCTTCATCTTCGCTGACTCCTCAAAGGCTGCGATCATGCGTTGCTCGGCAGCCTTCCGCTCCGTGAGGTCACGCGTGACCTTGACGAATCCCACGTGACGGCCAAGTTGATGTATGGGGGTGATCAACACGTTGGCCCAGAAACGTGACCCATCTTGTCGATACCGCCAGCCTTCGTCTTCCATCCGTCCTTCCCGTAAAGCCCGCGCCAGACCTCTGCCTGGCTTGTCTATATCAAGGTCCGCGGGACTATAGAAGATGGAGAAGTGCTTGCCGATGATTTCCGATGGAGAATATCCCTTCAATAGCTCGGCGCCAAAATTCCACGTGGTAACGTTACCCCGTGTGTCGAGCATAAAGATGGCGTAATCTTTCACAGTATCGACTAAAATCTTGTAAGTTTCGTTCATGTTGGCGTGCTGTTCATCAGTCGCAACACAATGATCTTGTGGGGTGTTTTGAGCCTCCAATACGACGTAGATCAACGATGATTTTTCGAAAATTGGTGTTATGCGAAGCTGATAAATCAAATTTTCGCTCTTGACGTGTATACCGTTCAGTATTTGAACCTTTTCCGAGACGATAGCTGTATGTAACGCTCCATACAGAGTAGGAGTGTTTGGCGCAGGAATAGTGTGAACCGGAACGTCGCAAACGCACGTGCCTACCAGTTCATCCTTAGATTGACCCGAGAAGGCACAATGACTGTCTGAAACCTCCACAACGCACAAATTCTTATCAAGAATCAAGGTAGGAATCGGGTGATAACGATAAATCCGACTCAAGGAGGCATCGAGACCTACGCATTCCTGCGGCGTCTCCATCTTCTTCTCGTCCTTTGAATTTGAGCTCCGGTTGGGTTCCGCTGGTGCCGTCCCCTCTTCTCCTACAGGCGTTGTGATAAGAGGCTTGCAGGCTGGACTACTGGTATCGTCCACAGTAAGACCCTGGAGACCGCTAGTGAGAGCCATAGTGGCCGTCCGTCTCCGAACTATTAGTTGATACAGTGAGCAGAGTAGGCGATGTAGGTCCCAATCTAAAAAAAAATTTGAGAATGAGTCGGGTGTGGGGCCAATGAGGCGGCGTATTTGAGCGAATTTCTTCTTAAGACAGGTTAATGAAAAAAAAAAGAGGGTTAGGGGCACGCTGAAGTAATGCGGCTAGTGGAGCAAAGAACGAACCAGCCGAGGGGTGGGGGCCTACTGCTCTGGTACACGCGGTATGCATCATCGGCGGGGCCCTACATAGGCAGATGTTCTTTCAGAAACAGGGTGGCGCCTCATACGTCATTAGCCGTCAGATCCTGACCATTCATATGCGACTAAAGTACGCAGGATCATCCACTGGTTGTAAGTGGGTGGCTCATCCTTCCGAATCATGTCCGCAAAATTGCCAAGATGCATGGTCGTATCAATTTTGGCGTGTATTATTATACAGATAACTAGAACACGAGCTTTGCTTCCACCATAGAGTACTTTGTGCTAGAGGGAGCCATTTCTGTGTATGCGATATCACAGATCTCTGCAACCGTGATCTACGCCTCTGGAAGTTTGTTGGACTATATTGTCATCCACCACGACCTTCGAGCCTTTACTATTGACCCAAAGAATACGAGTGATAAAACATAGGTCGATCTCTAGTTTATCCGCAAGCCTACCTTTTAAGGTTGAGAGACATGCGATCCCTAAGGTATATTGCATAATGGTTGCCCTGAGGCTGCTTCCCGCTTCAGTGAACTGGACGTAAATGTATGCAACTACGACAAACTAAGCAAATGAAGAACAAAGTCTGCTTTATTATAGTACGAACCATACTTGGAAGAGTGACTTGTAGGGCTTGGAAAGCCCTACTCGGAAGGTCTAATAGAAAGTTTTGTCATTTTGGGCGGACGTTCTTAGCAGTTAGGGCTATAGAGGTCCAATTGTACGTTAGCGATTGAGCCGCTCCTTCGGAGGCTAAGTTCATAGTAGGTATGCCGTATTAGGTTTTTTAAGACTCCAATTTTTATGGAAGTACTTGGTCCATATGGTAAAGAGATAGGATAAAGATCTGTATCATCCTTGACGTTACCACGGGGACCATGTACACTCACTGGACGGGCCGATAAAAGGATCTCAGCCGTTATAGGCAACTCGGCGTGAAGGTCTTTATCCGACACGGGGCTTTTGGGCGAACTTAAACACCACTTACGCGTCGTCTGAGGCTGAATATCGTATTACCCATCGTTCATCAGACTGTTCTTATGATTTCGTCTATCAAAGTCCACACTTGTCTCTCTATCAAATAATTTGTTTGCTAAGCTTCTCAATTATTTCCTTAACATGTGTCTTGTCATTCATGAGTTTCGTTCGGCACCCTAATCCCCAAGGAGCCTCACCACATAGTAGCACATTTTCGACTCGTCCTCTAAGGTCTTGATATTGTCATACAATCGCAGCATTTTTCTTTTTGTATATAGCCTGACCTGTACCCCTTTCGCCCCTATTGAGCGGCTGAAATCAGTTGATACGAAGTTTAACCTCAGCGAAATTCCAGCCTTATAGACTTTCGTGGTCGAAACAGCTGTCCAGGTGACAAAACCATTAACACAAGCTTTTCAGGCTGTATCTGGTAATGTTCCTGGTTTCTAACATCGCCCCAGGAAGGATCGACTTACTTGCCAGCTAAGGTCCTGCCTTTGCGCTCATAGGCTTCTTTCGCGCCTCGACCTTCTTTCCATAGCTGCGACGACGAACCTGGATTTGAAGGATACATGCACGAACGTTCCATATTCAAGAAACCCAGCTGACTTTGTGTGTGAGGTAGAGTCTGATACGGTGAGGCAGTATGTTTGGCCTTTGTTGAGGTATGTCTGGACTTTCGTTGGCATGCCAAAGCACTGCTGCCAGGGCTTGCAGCGTCGCATGGTAACGAACATGGTAACGAACATGGTAACGAACATGGTAATGAAATCTATCAAGGATATTAATAAAAAGTATGTAGCGTGGGTTGGGCCTAGGCGTACTTTTCTCCGCCGCCATATGGCCAGTGTTCGCTGACAGCCTCGGATGTGGCGCTGTCAAAACTTGAGTCTGGTTGTTCATTGGAACCGTCGGTCAAAACATACTGATCGGTGCCGTCTGCTGTCCCTATCCAGGATCGCGGTGCATAATAGTCCTAGATATATCGTCCGCCTGTCCAAAATATGTATTGTTGATGAATTCTCTCTACGTCACGTGACCTATTCCCCATATACGTAGTCTGCACTACTTCCTTTCCTCTGTGTCTCTTACATAGCTCTTTGCACAATTCCACGTTGTATAGCCTCTTTATGATCTCCTTCACACAGTAGATCTTATCAATTGTCGCATAGCCAACGTTGGGAATCAACCAGCGAAGGGAAGCAATCCGGCCCGTTCAAGAAATCTGCGATCACGTGGGATTGATTCAGCAAGAAGGGGCAAACAATTCGCATTCCATCGTATCATTGGAGAACGAAGGCCTCCTGCCTTATTGTGAAAGACCGCTCCCGACCCTGGTAGATTGCAATTGTGGAATGTCTCGTACTTTCGGGCACAAACCATCGGGGTGAACGGATCGATGCATGGAAATTGTGGGCAACCCGGCTGGCTTAGAGAGCACTGAACTGCAGACTTGCATGCTTCTTAGAATTTCTTCCTCCCAACGGCCATCAGAACCGACGCAGAATATGAAGCAGTGAGTTGCTGGGCTGCTCAATACCTCCCCGGGATAATAACTTGAGAAGGAAATGCCAGGTTGCTCTCGTGGTGCTTACCACCATGAAGAATACTAAAAGGGACCTCCCATAAGCAGATGGGGGGTAAAGTAAGGGGCTGCTGGAAAGAAAGAGCGGAAGGCCTATAACCCATAACTTTTATGATATGTCTTTTCGGCAGCAAGTGGCTGGACTAAGCTATGTTAGGCAAGGGCGCATACACTTACCGTGAAACTAGAATGACTAATTGCCGGAAATACACAACCCACTAGTTATACCATATTCTGCTATGATCTGACTCAATCCGCTTTTGCCAAGGCCTTAAACAGGTCATAACATAACCAATACATTACGGTAATCTAACGGTACTAGAAAATATTTGGTCCATTGGATAAAGTGGACTGTACGATGTCCTTAAATCCCCTGTCGAACTGGCCCTGGTGATGTTTGTAAGCAGAAAGTGCTGGCCTCACAAAAAAAGCGCGACGCTGTTGCTATGCCGCGCATTTGTGAGCTGGGCATGGAAATGGGCCGCAATAGGGCGTTTAAGCCGTGGCTATGAAAGCATCAGTCCTCGTTAGTGAGGGTTGTGGAGCCGTGAGACTTCAATCAGATGATGCTAAGAAGCAAGCTGACTTGCTGACCCCGCAGCTTTATCCCCTGGTATTTTCTCCATGGCTCCCATCAATACAGTAGAATACGAAAACAGTTTACCTCGCAGACACTTAGGCTTAGTCTCTCGGCCTGTACCCGCCACCAGTAGACAAAATGGGCGACGACACTGTGCGACACTAGGCCGGTCTTGCAGCCAATTCAAGAGGCGAGGAACAAGTCTAATAGATCGTTCACCCCACGCGGCCCATGCAAAACGCATACCTTCCGAGTGGAAATCGTCTAGCAAAGGCGGTCGTCTGCCAAGGTCTGACAGGCCTTTGTGCGATCGTAATCGTGACAATAATACTGTAGGTAAGTCGAGCTGAATTCTTGACGATAGTTGCGATTCCAACTTGTAGATCATCTTTCTGATCTAGGATCGCAGCAGTGTTCCCACAAAGCGGGGCGACCCCACACAAAACTCCATGGTATGCAGAGATACAATACAGGAAATTCGAAGAGCTGTTGTCACACGAATATCTTTACCTTGGTCCCTGCATTTGCAAATTGAGTTTTGGGAGAACCAAGAGTCAGTTTCCAAGAGTCAGTTTCCAAAAGCCTGGGACTAGACCGACCGCCGGTCTGGAACTAATATACTCGGGAAACCATAAAAGCTGAGCCAACTCCGAGTTACCGCCAGGAATTCTTTGATGGCGGTAAGACGCCCACGTCAACTCGACCTTGCTTAGGGAAATGATCTGCGGGTTATTAGAGGTCTGCTCGATGTAGGCAGGCATTCCTACGCACGACAAAAGTCTGATAGTTTTACATTTATAAAGTCAAGATTCTGCTCCACATACCCGAAGCTGATCCATGATCATTTCCAGTGGGCGTTCTCGTACTTCCGAGTATTTCTGTATACGTCATAGCATCCTGCCATGCCCAGATCCAGGTTTAACAACAATATCATCTCCACGGTGGTGCCGATTAGCCATCTTTATCTAGGGGATGATGAGACAGACTACCTTGGAAAATGTTTTACTGGAGAGGTAGAAAGCGTTCGCCTCACATTTGAGGATCAATATGGCCGAATCCGGGACCTGCAGTGCGAAATTGCTGAAGATGTGGACTTCCGCCCTAACGAAGGCGTTGTGCTATTAGAACATCAGAGTGAGTAGTCCTACCATACGGAATTAATAAACTACCACTGACCATCCATTTCTAGGGGTCCATAAGTTTTACCTTCAACAAGGCAGCAAAAAGACTTGGCTACTTTAAAGCATGCAGCTAAACTTTCCTGGACGTGAGTTGCGGACGTGATGCCTATGTGCCTGGAAACATAGACGCGATTTCGGAAGTAATACACTGTTTCTACACAAGCATATTGATAGTAAACCTACTCGTAAAGCATTATACTGAATGGAGGTCGATAAGAGGGAGATATTGGCGGGCAGGCTGACCAAGTCCACGTCGTCCGCAATTGCATGGCGTATATCCCTAGTCCCCACAGACATACTGTGTGTGAATAACCCAACAGGAGCCAAGTGCAGATGACGCCACTTATAATTGTCAAAGATGCTTAGCGGCGCGGTTTCGTATGTGCAATGTACTGCGGCCATAGGACCAGAAGAGCGACTACTTTCGACGTTATCCGGCTGAAGCTGCCGGACATAGCGCCTCAAACACCAGAGGTTGATTCGGGAAAGGCTGTAGTTGACCGCGCAATAGATGGGAAGTCGGAGGGACACACTAGCGACCTGCACACCACTGATCTCCCGGTCATGGGAACGGGCGTTAATGTATCGGAGAATCCCTCACACCTTTTCCTTGAAGCCGTAGGTCACTTGCGCTAGTGGTTCAGCAACATTTGCCTTGTCGATGGACTTCTTTAATAGAGCCGCCTTGGCAATTTACCTGCCATGAGGAGGCATCGTCTTTCGTGGTGTAAGCGTAATTCCTGATGTAGTAAATCAGCAACAAGGACATGCAAATTGTTTGGAATCCAACGATGTCACGGTTGGAATTGGCACGGCTGGCGACGGCCGGATTCCACGGATTTATCCGGGGCTGATTAGGAGCGATGTGAACCAGTCCAAAATCATCTACCTTAGAGGTAGGAACGAGATCGCGAGACATGCTGAATCGACAAACACTTTTTTTCTGAACTACGTTTGGCGGTCCTTGAAACATGCGGCGTGGTGGCTTCTTGAATAGACTTGCATTTTACGAGCGACGCAATTACTCTCATGGCAATGGGAGATGAAAGTCGTCATCGGGTTCAGTTTGTGCCTGACGGAGGTATGCTGGGAGTGTTCGCTTCAGGACCGTGAGGAATACTCTCATCAATACCTTGCTTAATGATTGACTACAAATAGCGAATCATTTGAGCCACGAAATTGTTATAGTGGAGAAGTCGATCCCGTAAATTATCCAAAGCTAGATTTCCTATCACCCATGCCAATCCGTGGAGATACAGCCTTCTTCGATCGTTCGTCTCGACAACAGCAAATTGATTGGAGGGGTTGCCAAGGATACTGAGAATACCGAACCGACCAGTTTAGTAGCGAAAAGGCCGTCTAGGGCGGCATTACCGACGTGATAGAAAAACTCGGCGACGGCCACCGGATTGGATGTAGCCGTAGCCGCATGGGCAGTGACATTTACCGTAGTAAAGATGTTCACAGAGTACTTCACACCAGCTAGCATCAGGGCTAGGGATTTCGCAGGTCTGAAGAGTTGATAGTAATACAAAAAACGGGCATGCCGTATCGTGTGATCAGACCTCGGATTTCAGAGCGCGTTCTTAATGTCTGAGCAAAGGATCCCCGGACCTATGTTCCAATACTCTCTCATTTTTTGCCGCAGTGGTTGGATGATTGGATGCCCAGTTCGGTGGCCGGTTGCGCCCGTTTTGGCTGCGCCATGGAGCTGCTTCACCGTCAGCGAGGCGATGCCATCTATCGACATCTAATTCTTCCGTTTAGTGAGGAATGCGTCGCCCATCGAAGATTTCTGGAGCTGGGTCACATCATACAGCATGTACACGGAGGTTCCCTGGCATCGGAACCTAAGCAATAAGCAGAAGAAAGTATATTTTTGTAACTCCTTACCAGGCAGAAGTGCTTGTTGTAGGCTATACAGTTGTGTCTACGGTATCGGTCTGGCTGACTCAACGAACGCGTCGCTAAGTGCTCTCTCCATTCATCACCTTCTCCCTCACTTTACTCTCTCGGTGGCTGATGAGGTCTCCTTATGTCACATGACCTCTTCCATGTATGTAGGCTACACTACACTTCCTTTCCACTTGTGCTTTACACATAGCTCTTTGCAAACCTCAATCACACTGTACAGCCTTTCATGATCCCTCTTACACAGTAGATCTTATCAGCGGCCCATCTGTATGTCTGAGTGTTGAGGCTACGAAGCAAGAGAGAGGGAGGGAAAATCGTGAAGAAGAGAGGTGATGATGCATCTATGGAAAGGGGCTGGTATATAAGCCAGCGATATGACAAACGAGACAAGCTAGGCAAATGCTCAAAGAGCTCAGTCTATATACAGAGACAAACGCTTACCCTGCATGCATTGCATGTCAACACTGAGGCCCATGCCTGATCGGTGCCTAGCATGTCCGTAACAGCTATTAAAAAGTAGTCATAAAATTAAACAGTATTATAGGGCAAACTGCTTCTTCAGGTATAGCTTAAGATTGGACTAAGTGCTTAATGTACACCTTTAAGTAGTCTCTAAGTAAGCGTAGTCTTCCGCACGACCCAGTAATGGGTCTGGGGCCCCAAACTGGGTTATAAATAGTGCAAACACACTTTTATTAAAAATACACTATGTTTTAACGTTGTAATTATCATATTAACCTTCGTAATATTATTATCTATAAATTAACATATATATATTTATTAATAATTTATATCGATGTGTATTTAGAAGTAAAAAGCCCTAGTTTCAAAGTTGAAAATAAATTACATAGTAGTTGGAGAAAGCGGTGTACCTTTCTATAGGATATATATATATATCTTCTAGATAATAAGAGAACTCACCCACTTCTCGGATTATATTCTAATATTTAAATAATATTTGAATAATATATAGATATAATATATATATATATATATATAAGCTTATGATATGAAATCTCTATAATTAGCTTTAGTATAGCAAGTGATATTAGGTGTATTACGTATTACGAAGACATAAATTATACAGGGCCTGGGTCGAACTGGGCCTAAACTAGGTTTTCTGGGGCCCCAGTCATCGGGTCTCGGGGTTCTGGGTCGGGACCTTCGACCCAAAATGGGTTCTGCAATGGAAACACCTTCACCCGGTGCTGGCATACATAGAGAATCGGCTTTACAACCGCGTACAAAGCCACCGCCCCCCAGGGTGTGGAATATGTAGGAAGCCAGGACACAGGAGAGAGGCATGCCCAGATAGATGATGATTTTTTTTAAATTTAATTCAATGGCGTTTTGGTTGACATAAATGTATTTGAAATTAGTAGGTTGGGTAGGGTGCGCCGCTCGCTTGTGAAATACGTTAAGCGCTCACTAGTTAAGCGTTTATTAGAACTAAAGGGTTAGTCACGTGATCAGAATGAGCAGCTTACTCAGTCTGAGCCCCTAGGCACCTACTGAAATCTGCTTAGTGAGCCTGATTCTAAGCGCCATCATAAAAGCGGCGGCAGTTTAGATAGAAAAGCGCCACCCGGCAGAGGAAATTAAGTACGTATAAGTATCCACATAATTAATTACATGACACCCCGTCGTAATCGTTCTCAGAACGGAAATCTCTTGATCAAATGGAATTTGGAGCAAGTACCTGTCCTTTCATAGGAATAAGCATTCGTGGCTTCCTAGTGCAAGTATTATTCTCCCATATCGGCTGACGAGTGCCGCAATCCTTTCAATGTTCGTTTATTAACCACTGCTCATGTTGCTGAAAATTTGAGCCATTGTTGTACCACTTTTGGATTTAAGCTTCCAATCTGCAGATTCGACCGCGACCTGTCCCCGTTTCTCTGTACCCCCTCACCAACTTTCGCCAGGTTGAGTGATAATCAGCACGATTATGAGCGAAACCTACCTTAAGTGTGTCGCGTTTCGCGACTTCATGGTAGGACAATTTCGGGGTCAATTGGTGAAAATAGACAAAAAGGAGGCTGACTTACTTGCTGCTCCATTCCTTCACTTTCCAACTTGAAACCGTAACCTGATTCTTTGCAAACGGCGCTACCAATGCGGGCCTGGACCACACGTTCGTGACAGGTAAAAGATTCCAATATGGGTTTGCCGGGTTGTGGGGCCGCAGAGAAATACTCGGCGTTTGGAAAATCATCTTATCCAAAACTTACCTTTCCCACCAACCTCCTTACGCAGATTGCCCCCTCGTTGCGATCTGCTTCTCAGAATAGTGCCCTACGATCGTTGATTCTCTTTTCAAACGGATTATTGCTGTTGGTGAACCAGGCTTAATAGGAGTGGTAGACCCGACGCTCAAGGTCGTGAAATGAACACCTGCATTTAAATGCGAGTGGGTCGATCTCGTGCCTGCGTATGCAACCGCTGTATTGGCCCTAATGGCTATTCGAGGCTGAATTGCAGCTTCACGAGATGTCATGTAAGGGTCGGGGTTTGAACAGGGTTTGAAGGAGCTCGAACGACCTTACCAACCACGCAGTATTTTGCTACGAGAGGCACAGGCCTATGAAAAAGAGAGCCACGTGTCTTCCGCGCTAGAGCTTCCGGTCACCGCCAATCTTCTCGGTCTTCCTACAAAAGCAAGGTAGAAGACCGCGAATGAATACACCGGTTAGGTATTTAGACAGGTTCAGTTAGTTGCTGTCTATCTGTGTCATCCCTTGGCTATCCTTTGCGCTATCGGTGTTATACCCGTATGAGCTTCCCCATAGCAATCAAGCAAAAGGGGAAAAAAGCGAAACATGATGTTAGGGCCTAGTGAAGGGCAGGAACGTCCGCCTGGTTATGACGCAACTATTAGGTTTTCACGGGAGCCCCCCTTCATCTTAGAGCATGGCGCTTCTCTTACCGTATCCGTTGTGGTGATGTTCGGAGAGTCCGGAAGATTCCCAAGAATGCAAACGCAAGCATATGCCGTCAATGTGTCCCTTGTCGACGAATACGGTGCAAAAGCAAGTGGGGGATTACAAGGCAGCTTGACTTCTAATATACAGTTTCGCCCCGATCAACATGCGCATGGCTTTGTTGTGTTTAATAATCTCGCCATTTGCCAGACAGGGCCGCAGCGACTCCGGGCTTTGCTTGGGGCACTTTCATGCCCCGGAATGACCGTCGAGGCGCGTGCCGATTCAAAAGTTTTCCACATCAGTAAGTGGAATCTGAATAGGAAGATATCCTTCGTACCATGTCACTGGGATGCCACTAACGCATACAAAAGCGTTTTGAAGAATGTAGCCTTTACAGGGTCCTGGAAGAACGAAGATGAAACGGCAAAGGATGATTCAGATCCTTTGGCTCAAGCAATAGAAGGCTCAAACTTGGCTCGTGCATTGGATGGGCCGGTGGATAAGGAGACGGAGAAGTGAAACAATAAATGAGGGCACTGTTAGAGACTGCTTCTTTAGTCGTTATGTCGGTCTCTGAATGATCATGGGAACTTTCCTGTTCTACGGTAACGATCGTCTTTATATGCTTTTCAAGGCGATTTCATCGACGCCAATGCCAAGCCGTCTTTCATCCAAGGAGCTCAATCATGGAAGAAGTTGTAGCAGCCTAGTTAGTTATAGAATGGCGGCCATATGTATCTACCCGTACCGGATTCTCCCTGGCCGCCCCGGAGAAAAAGAGAGGGGGGTTTTTGTGTGTGGGGAGGGGAGGGAAGATTTATTATTTGAGCCGCCGCTGCTTTTATGAAGGATGAAGGTGCACGGACTCAGTGAGTAACCGCAGTGATTTGTGGTTTCGGTGCGATTCGGGCGGTTTGGTTCTCGTTTGAAGTTTTGTTCCCATTTCTGGTCTTTAGCGCAGTCTACTCACGGTCCAAAACCTTCAACTCACGTTCCTGAGTTGATACAACTCCTGCTCCCGGCACGGGCTTACTATAAACGGTAAATTGTAATCCATCGCTTTCAATACCATTTGCGTCAATCACATCCTCCTGTCAATAATATTAAACTTCCTCACCTTAAATAAAATGCAACATGCAAGGCCCACTCCCTCTCCAGCCCGCCATATATAGGCCGAATGCCACAGTATAAGGGCTGGGGATGGTCAAGTTGAAGGGGGTCACGTAACGGTCAACAATTGTCAACGTGACTGCCATGGTGTCATTGATGATACATAATTGGAACTGGGGTAAGAAGAGCTGGGGTAGAGACGAATGCGTTTGTATTCAAAATACTGTTAAGTTCTGCGCACTTCTATTTCCGACAATATATTCGAAGCCCGCGGCTCCTGAAAAGATAGGCGGTTGATCTTGCTACCCTGGCCACTTGCTAGGTCATTCTTTTACTTTAAAACAGGCCACGCGGAATTTTTCTATACATGAAACTACCGCGCACTGACTATCCCTTGCGGTTCTCAAAAGCAATCAAAACACGACAATATGACATACCTGCTGACCAACCGGATCGGGTTCTTACTGGGAATGCTGAGGAGAGCATTGCCACTAATGTTGGATATGGCTTTTTAGAGAGCGTCTCGTTTAAAACGTGAACGGCCGAAGCTGATCCCGAGTCTTCTCTGCGGACTCACTTTAAACTCAATGAGATCGGGGGTATCTTGGACTTTGCAGTTCCATTGGGTTCGGATTGGCCCGGCCCGACAGCCCGACCAATCAAAATAACGCTTGATTCCTGTTCTGTGATTTGTCAAATACCTACTAGCCTCACGGCCGTCTGCATCCGCCAGAAATTTGGCGCCAGTTATCTCGGCAAAAGGACACAGAACGGCTGATGGACTCTAAAGAGACCGGTACGTCTAGCCCCAACGACAATGCCTTGGGCGTAACAAGCAATGAAACGCCTGCTTCCAGTGTTCAATCATGGCTTGGCAGGCGCCCAAACACCCTCGAGTCAAATGTGTTCAGAGCGTTGTCCTCGAGCCCAAGCCAGCCGCTCACGCAAAGCCTTGCTTCGCAGCCCTCGATTGAGAAAATTGCCATCCCACGAGGACGAAACCGCCGAATTTGGACGTCAAATAGGAGAGTAAGTCGAGCATGCGACATTTGCCGCGAGCAAAAGGTCAAATGTAGCGGCGATCGGCCCGCATGTCGACGATGCCACGAAGGCGACATCACTTGTATCTACACAGACGGAAAGCGAGAGGAAGAAGCAAGGTTCAGTAGCCGAGTCTCACAGATATAATTGACGTATGATCGGCTGACACTGTATTCAGACAGTCCGCGGAGCTCATGTCTCAGGTTCGAGTGTATGAAGACCTGTTACGTAGTCTGCATCCTCTTCTCGACCGTCAATTAGCAAATCAAATTGAGAAGGTCGTTAGTGAAGTAAGAAAACACGGGCCAGATGAATATTCGGACAAGCAGCTGATGATAACTAGTTTCCAGGCACACCTTCGACAACTCCGAAAACGATCCCCGATACCGAGCAAGTACAGAGAAACCCCATACAGCCGACCGATCACACCATTGAGGACCTCAACCGTGCCGTCAATACTCAGGCGGCAGGTCTCTTGGGTAGACCATCAGAGGTAGCGTGGCTCTCTAGACTCCGCTGTGAAATGGACCAGCACATGAAAGCAGAGTATCCGTTAGAAAGGTCAGAACAGAACCCACTCTTGTCTACCAACTACTTCCTCGACGACTTGCAGAGTCCTATAACCTATCCGAATGATTTTCTGGATTGGCCCTCGGAAGAAGCTGCTAGCCAATTGGTGGATAGTTACTTTCACATTGTGCACGCGTCGTTCCCCTTTGTTGGGAAGTTGTACTTTCTGAAACAATTTCGCATTTTTTATGCCAATCCACGTAAGCAGCCGGGCTGGGCGTGGATGGCAGTTTTCAATCTAGTGTTGGCTATCGCTACACGTCATAGCTCTTTGATGAGAAAGGAACCGGAAGCTGGCACTGGCACACACATGTCATACTTCACAAGAGCTTGGCAGCTCTACATGAGGAATTATGCTGCACTCGACCACCCAAATTTACAACAGGTACAGGTTGAATCCCTTATGTCAATATACATGCTTTCAATAGGCCATGTAAATAGGTATGTGTATTCGACTACCGCGCTTTTAAAATCGGGGACTGATGACGAGCAGGGCGTGGCGGATGTGCGGCGTCGCAATGAGGTCAGCAGTGGCTATGGGAATCCACCTTCGTAGTGAGAGTGAAAGCATTTCTTACATATCCAAGGAGACAAGATATCGTCTTTGGTGGGCATTGTACTCGCTTGACATTCAACTATGCTCGATGACTGGACGCCCACCCAACATGAGCCTAGAATACTGTACTGCCTTTCTCCCAGCACCCCACCGGGAGGAGGACTTTCAAGAAGACCATGTTTCCCGGTTCATCGCGGACGACCATACTCGGAAGGCTCTACTGGCATCTTTCATCCCGCGAGCGTTCAAACCGGACGGGCAAGGGAATAACCAACATGCAGAACCTCTACATCACTCCGCTATAAGCGAAAGAGAAGACGATGTTCCACGCATAGCCTTCGAGACAAGCAGTGCTAAGCCTAACACGTCGCTATACTTCCTGTATCGCTTAAGCTTGACTTGCATTGGAAGAGCTGCCTTGGACGAAATCCACTCGCCTAGGACGGCATCTCTTTCATGGGATGAGTTAGAGGGTACAATCGCGAGAAACAACGCATCTGCTGACAATTGGTTGGCTAAGCTACCATATATCTACCATTTCGAGAAGCCATCGCCGAATTGCCCATTTGTTCGTCAACGCACTAGCTTGGCATTTCAATTCTACTCGGTCAAGCTCATCATCCTGGAGCCGTGTTTGCGTCGTGCGATCAGGGTATCGTTCGATGGCCCATGCAGCAAACACTGTCAGTCTATGGCCACTCTGTGCATGCAGGTAGCAGGAAGTGTCATCAACCTTCTTTGCGATAAAGCAGATGTTCGCTGGTTATATGGGTATTGCCCATGGTGGTCCATAGTCCACTACATTATGCAATGTTCCGCCATCCTCCTGGTCGGCCTTGTGGGTCAAATCAACCTTGGGGAAATCCAGAACGCGGCAACAGTGCGCAACGTCAAAAAGGCTTGCGGATGGTTATATGAGATGTCTAAAACAGATGATTATTCCAAGCGCGCATGGGATATCTATAGTAGATTAGCTGCCCGTCACAGTTCAGATTTGGTGCTTCTATCGACTTCAATCAGTTAACTTCATCTTCGTCATGACCGAATGATAACCTACCAATATCTAGCTTCCTGTTGCACAGCTGCGGCTTCATATTACGACGGTAGTACAGTAGTTCTGAAATACTGCTAAGCAATTGTACGCAAGTCATACGGTATCATGACGATGGCTCATTGATTGTACCTGGAAGGCGGCGGGAAATGGAAAACACGATGATCATACGAGACTGTAGAAACATAAATACCGTCTCAGGTTGCACGAATGGCTGAAAAAGGTCTACTTTGATGGCCTCAGACACGCGACAGAATGATTCCATCCTGAGCATATGTAGTCATGATGGTACTGTGCTACTTGCATTGGATCCATGCCAAGTGGGACCAGCCGTTCGCCTGAGATTAATCCATTATCGCATCCTGATGTATCAACATAAACTAGGTGATAAGTTTCAAAATCAGGAAAATTGTGCAGATAACATTCTCGCAGGTCGGCATTCCGCTCCATAGCTTGTTGTTGAGTGGTCTTGTTAGGCCAGCATTTGGCAACCAGGCCTTTTCTAATGCTACAGTTTGTACCCAAGGTCTCAGGACTGGTGAGAAACCGCCATCTCATTGAGGTATAAGCCGGTGTTTTCGGATGGTAGTGGCAGAGTGCTTGTATAATTAGTGGTGTCACAGTCCATTTCCGCCTTATTTGAGTTGGAGGCTCGTGGACACTTCCAAATTGCCGCAAGTTCCTGCGAATATCTATGATCGCAGCCTGGTGCATTCAGCCTCTCCGGCCATCTGAGAGACTGTATCATATCCAGGACGAGACTCAGTTTTGACTGGGGAAGCCTGGGGACCATTCTGCAAAGACGAAACGCAATTTACCAATGGCCAGTCGAGATTCGTTTTTTTACCACAACTTCGATGTGTTCACTGGAATCCAATGGAGTTTGCATTTTCAAAATCCCGGTGAAAACCGTAAACCGCAAATTTGGCAAACTATTTAATATGACGTTTGTATAATGCCGGTCAAAAGCTTTTCACTTAACGTTGAGTACAAGCTACTAAAATATTTTTTTCATATAGCAAGAGTCAAACGCACCAAAGTGAACAGGCTCGAAGAGCTAGATCATCTTACCTGATGGACATGTAGAGAACTTAGCCATTAGGAGAGAAGCTTAGTTCAATAAAATTTCCATAACAATCTCCGTTGAAATCTCACCAACTTAGTTGAATCTTTACTCTGGTCATTAAGCGTATCTAACTATGGCTGAAACAGAGAGTTAAAAAGCTGGACTGCTTCAGTGAGGTGCTTCCACCCTCAGTTTGTGGTTGGATCTCCTAGGATTTACAACTTCCTTGCAGATAAAGTAGTTGTTTGACCGGGCGGAAGATATAGATGTTGGGACTAGCCTGCCCTTCGCTAGTGGTGGAATCAGACATATGCAAGCAACGAGAAGAGATCTACTTAGAACTAACTTCTGAAGGTTAATATACAAGGCCTATCGGTTATATACGTACTGTCTCTAGCGTATAGCGACAAGGCCAAATATGGTTGACAGAAATACTAAAACCATAGGGCTTTTCGGTCAAAGAGGAATGATATTGCTTCGCACGCCTCAATATAGAGATAGCCTACTAGCTAGAAAATTGGTGCAGTAATGTGTACACCTTCAGTACTAAGTACGAATCAAGTCTCCTCGGCCATACCACTCATATATGGTTTTTCCTGCTCCTAAGACCGCCATAGGACTAAATATTATACGATAGGTCTATTATACTAGTGGATAACGCGTTTGGCAATTTTGCTTATCAGTATTTTCTGGCCAATCTGGATATGTCAGTCCATTCATTAGAGTCTCCATATATAGCTTACGAGGTCAGAAGAGTCATTATTATATATATAGCTAATATACTCTTAGAACTATACTAGAGTACCTAGGTAGGTAGTCAATATACTATTTTCGTAAAGAGCTTAAGTAGTTTTATAATACCCCTCGACGATTAGAGTCTATTATATAGGATTCGAAGTGGGAAAATTATAATAGGCCCCGTATCCTATAAGATATAGTATCAACTATTAAGATCATCCTATCCTATATAGTTGCCTTATTATAGTGGTAGACTAAGCGCTTTATTTGCTATTTGTTAGTTCTAGCCTTTATAAAGAGCCTGCTTTGGTAGTTTGCATACTAAGAGTTTCTTCCTCCTCTATCTCTCTGGTAGCATGTAGCCTCAAGACCAGCTTCACTCGTTAGTCTCTAAGTGCGCTTTGCAGATCGACCACTACCTGGTCGGGTGGGGCGACACGACCTAATGCACTATAGATGTGTGGAGGTCGATGGACCTTCTGATTAGAAAATTCTGACTGGCCGTGTTGGGGCCGTGGACTTTTTCCTGGCGTGACGTAAGACGGGGATTTGAAGTTTGTAGTGATAGGCTTCAAGAGACAGGCGCTCATAACTTGATGGAGGATACAGAGGATCTACTATGAAAGATAGAGTGTACTCTGGAGACTCGGTAGATGCGTGGAGAAAGAAAGAAACTATCTAGCTATAAAAGCGCTGTTCTGCTCAGGTACGTACACTACACGAGGGCAAACCGTTCAGTGTGCCTCGATGCACTATGATTTCATTTCTAAGTTTCCTGGGTTTCTAACGTAGGTGTAGCAAATCGATCTTATCACTGAAAATAAGCAAACGCCTTCTCCATTTGCTGATAAAGCAAGTGAACATGTCCCGGCATCGGCAGATCAAGATGATCTCCCTTCACTGACAGTGCCAAAACCTCTCCAGCAGTATACTTCTCCCAACCATTGGGTCCGAGGTCCGCCTCCGTCCTGTCCGGCACAAGACAGGCAAACGCACCCAACTTCGGATCCTCCATATAGCCCGGATACGACGTCGTCGGGATGCCCTGGTCCGCCAGCATCTGCATCAACTTCTCGTTACCAACGACCCGATTAACCATCCCCTTCTCGGCCCAGATCACGGCTGTGTGAGCGGGCCGTTCCTGTTCCGTCATGTAGGGCGGGTGATATGCGTGCATGGCGACATGGTACGCTCGGAAATGGTTCTGTGTGGTGCTTCCCACGCTCCAGAGGCCGTCTTTGGATACGGCGTTTTCGAAGATGGCAAAGCTGGCGTCGTCTTCGGAGTTCATCTTTTCCTCGTCAAGGAGACTTGAGCGCGGACAGCACATGTCGATCAACACGAGACCGGATACCTGTCGGCCTAGTCTGCCGAGCTGGCGACTGACTTCGAAGGCGACGATTGCGCCGGCAGAGAAACCGCCGATCATCATAGGGCCCTTGGGTTGGGCGGCCACGAGGGCGTCGACGATGAGCTTTGCGACACCCTCGATGCCGACTTCCCTGGTTAGGCGGGTTGGACAGCGGAGGAAGGGCGAGTCGATGCCGTAGACGGGCATTTTGGACTTGAAGGCTGGGAGGTGGATGTAGGTTGCGATTGTGCCGGTTCCGTCGGCCATCATGTAGAAGGGAGTTCGCTTGGGTCCGGGACGTCCTTGTAGCAGGGTAATCCTGACGGTCGGTGCGGGGGATGTGTCTGTGCCGATGACATTCATGGGTGGCTTGCCCTGTTGCTTGGTGTTGTTGTCTTGACGTTCTGGAGGGGGCGTTATGAGATCATCCTTTTCGATATCGACCACGCTGGAGCCCAAGGAGGCTGTCTCGGATATGGATGTGGGTTCGGGACTGGAGCTTGATGGCGTGGAGGCCCGAGAACTGGAGGGAGTTGAGATGGGCTTGGACTTTGGGGTCTTTGATTTGCCTGCTCCAAAGACGCGACGGAGGTCGCCGATCGTGGGATGGTCGAGAACGAATGTCGCGGGGAGGTCGAGACCAGTTTCCTCCTTGACGGTGGCGACAACCTCGATTGCCATAATGGAATCGACTCCAAGGTCGGCTACCATGGTGTCATCGGTGAACTCGGAAGAGTCGCTACCTGTAGCCTTGGAGATGCTGTCCAAGATGGCATCAAACAATCCTTCATCCGGAGGGTACTCCTCGTCGTCATCGTCGTCCTCCTTGGCTTCAGTTGCCTGTGGCTGCACTGGCTCTGTGGCCAAAGGCTGTCTACTGACCTGGACATTGTTTTGGGTTTCTTTCACAGGTGCCTTGTGGGTGCTCGCCGAAGAAGTCTCATGCGCCCTCTCGAGAACATGCTTCCAGGTCACCCTGGGGAGCTCCTGATATCGTAGGTTCGTGCATTGGAGAATAATGTTTGACGTCTCCGGATCAAAGACCACCGCGTCACAGTATGCCGTGTCCTTGACCCATCTGGAAATGCGAGTGTATGCCACGTACTGCTTCCCAGGCACCAACGAGACTGTCAGCTCCACGCTTTCGAATCCCATTACAATAAAGGTTTTCTGGGGCGATTTGCTCGGGTTTCCATTCACCATGAAGCCAGCCAGGTGCACCAGAGCTTCGCCCCAATACGGCGAGAAGGTGAACCGAGTCCCAGCAGGATCGTGCGGGAGCGTAACCACTGCTGCAGCCTCCTGGAAGTCTTTGGCGATGTAGGCCTCGTCGACGCCCTGGAAATCCGTGCTGAACTCGACGGAATTGCCGAATAGCGCATAGAAGACTTCCGGTTGCATTCTATGTCCGGAACCCTCTTTGGCATTCTTAATCACCTCATCCATCCTGGCTTTGATGAAGTACGATACCCGGTCCCAGTCTGCCTGGGTCTTAGCTGGGTCACGGAAATTGACGATGCAAGAGCCGAGCTCATGCGATGCGCTTCCTGATGCAAGCTTAAATGTAACCGAGATCCTGTCTGCAGACGGAGAATCCAGCACAGCGGTGGTGATAAGACTTCCATCAGCGCCAGCGAGCTTCTTTGTAAGGGGCAAGAGCAGCTCGGGGTTATAAAGTGTGAGCCAGGACTGGACCACGTTCTTTCTGCCACTGTGCTCGAGGGCATACTTGGCCGCTGCAAACGCGGCCTCGCAGAAGACGCTTCCCGAACAAAGTCCGATACCTTGCATTTTGTGACCGTCGATGAGTCCCATAAATCCAGGGTCAGAAATGGAGGCTCTGAAAACCACCTGGATCTTCGGGGAGGACGACTTGGAGACAACGTACTGTGCGCAGTCGAGACAAACGGCCCGGATTCCGTGACCGAAGCATGCTCCGGCGCAACCTCGGTGACTCTGTCGGTATGGGTGATCCAGTAGTTCTTTACATCCCACGCATAGGAAGGGAGCGTCAACAACTGGAGGTTGCTTTCATATGGTCCGTGTAGTGCGATCCAATCGATGTCGACACCGTTGGTGTAAGCCGCCGCGAGAGCTTTGGAGATAGACGCCCAATTGCTGGTGTTCGGTTGTAGAGTATGCGTGATCTTGGAAGGCGACGGGGAAAGGGTGTCGCGCACAAGAGATACGCAAACCGGGGATGGTCCAATTTCAAGCCAGACAGGGTCACTCAATTTGGACTTGACTGCGTTGAGTCCACCGACAAAGTTGACCGGTTGGCGTGTCTGCTGGACCAGGTAGTCCTGGTCAAAGACACCCGGTTCATCGACAACAGATCCGAGAAGAGTTGATGCCACAGGGATCTTCGGCTCGGAATAAGTCACACCTCCTGCAATCGAGCTGTAGTCTTGTAGAATTGGATCCATCTGAAATGAGTGGAATGCAAATGGGATGGACAACGTCTTCGCGCGAACCTTGGCGTCCTGCGCCGTGATGCTTTCCTGGAATTGTGCCAAATCCTGAGCTGTCCCACTGACAACAGTAGCACTCGGGCTGTTTATGCAGGCCACACCGCACGAAGAGGACTGGAGCTGGGATATTTGGTCCCGCACATTTGCTACTGACGTTGACACCGAAAGCATGGAACAAGACCCAGATTCGCATCGCTCCTGGAGGATAAGGGCACGATGTCCAACTAAATACAACGCATCTGCCAGCGACAGGACTCCAGCAGTATGCAGAGCAGCGTACTCCCCCAAACTGTGGCCTATGACCATCGCAGGCTCAATTCCTACGGATCGCCAAAAGTGGGTGAGGGCCACCTCCAAGGTAAGGACAGCGAGTTGCACCTGCGCCGCAGACTTGGTAGACACATCAATTCCCTCCTCGGTGATGATGTCCAAGAATGGGGGGAAGCTGTTGCTGGCGCAGATTGCAACACACAAATCGACTCTCTCACGGAAAACAGGATTTGTGCGGTATAACTCGCCACCCATGCCTGCGTAGTGGGACCCTTGTCCAGTGAAGGCAAAGACGACGGGGACATGCCGCGAAGAAGAGAAGTCGCTACTGCGTTCAACCTCGGACTCGAGCTTTGAAATGGCCTCGTTTGTCGTTGATGCTGTCAGCGCGAACCTAATGGGATGGTGCATCCTTCTTGCTGTAGTTGTGTAGGCAAGGTCCTCGATGCGAGTGTTGGAATTTGATCGAAGCCACTTGAGTAGTCGTCGTTTGTTCAGGAGGTGTGAAGACTGTGTTCTTGCAGAGGTCACAATGGTGTGGGCCGACCTCACGTCTGCTCCTCTCTCTTTCGTATGCGTGTACTCCTCCAGGAGTAGGCATGCGTTACCGCCCTGGAATTTATATACGTGGTCAGTACAGCAACATTGCGGGAGCAGTAAAAGAACAACTTACTGCGGCATCGAAATTGTTGAGGAGAATACGTCTCGGCTTGCCACCGGCAGCCTTGAACTCCAATGGCTCCGAAGGAATCTTTATGTTAATCTCATGTAGTGGTGGGAAGTTGGGATTGAGGGTATGAGGCATCCCGGCCTGTGGTGGTATTGTCCCCTTTTGAAACATGAGGATGCTCTTGAGCAGGGAAGACATTCCTGCAGCCTTTGATTTGACCAGAAGGTTAGCATCTGCATATGTCACGAAAGCGTCCGGGATTGGTTACTCACTGCTTCACTGTGGCCGATGTTTGCCTTGATAGCTCCCACCGGCAGAAGATCTCCATCACGCCGTTTCGAAAAGACACTCGAAACCGCGCCCATTTCGGCTTTATCGCCAACCTGGGTACCTGTTCCGTGCATCTCAACATAGGAGATATCTTCAGGGGTCACCCGTGCATTTCGAAGGACCTTACGGAACAATCGTTCCTGGGCGGCCGCATCAGATGTAGTGATGGATGTAGAATTGCCCGAGTGGTTCCTGGCCGAGGATGATATGACCGCCAAGATATTGTCGTTGTGAGCAATGGCATCGTCAAGTCGTTTTAGCACCACTGCGCCACTGAAATCGGCCCGACAGTACCCATCGGCATCATCGCGATACGTCTTGCAGTTCCCAGAGTCGGACAAGACGCCCGATCGACTCAAACTGGTAAATGAATGCGGGGTGGACAGCACGTTGGCCGCCCCTGCAACGGCCATATCGATGTCTCTGGTCATCAGGCTCATGCAGGCAAGATGGATGCAGGAACTGGTCGCTGCACATGCAGAATCGAGGGCATAAGTCGGCCCCTCCCAGTTGAACTGAAAGGCCAGTCGACCCGGTCCGAATGCACGTTGTACAGCCTGTAAGGTGTACGCATCACACCCCAGTGTGCGATGGCCAACGACATGCCAATCATCATTACATTGACCGAAGAAGGTCGCGATCTTGGTCGGATCCGTCAATTTGGTCTGGCCGTCCGAATACCCGGCCATTTCGAGGGCCTCGTACGCATTCATAAGGAACAATCGATGAGCGGGGTCCATCAACAAAGCTTCTCGGGGCGAGATGTGAAAGAATTTCGAATCGAAGTGTCCGGGGTTATTCATGAAGCAGCCATGCTTGCAGGTCATGGTGCATTTGCCGGGGCCAGCCGAGGGATGCTTGGGGCTGTAGTATTCCTCCAAGTCATAGCGATCGGAGGGAACCTCTTGATGGAGATCAAGCCCTTTCAAGATCACGTCCCAGAATTCGTCGAGGTCATCGCTACCGGGTCCTTTTCCTGCCATGCCGACGATGGCAATCCCGTCTTGGCTTTCTGGCGTCGTCCGTCTGGCGGATATATCATCATGAAGAGAAACTTCCCTTCCGGCAGTTCGGAGAACTTTGACAATATATGCAGCGTGGCTGCTGGGACCCATGATCTTGAAATCAACATGCTGTGATGTCCCTAGGTTGTCGTCGAGCTTGCTGACGGCTTGTACAATGCTCAAAGGCCTCGCCAAGGTCTGTGATGCAGAAGCTCTAAGCAGATGACCCCAGCTGGAGTAAGTAGCCTCTGGACGATCATCATCCAGGCCGTATATCCTATACCCGGGGGTAAAGGTGTATTCAGAAGTGGAGAATTGCCGACAATATAGTCAAGATCGGCTTCGGAGATGTCTAGGGGATGCTGAAGAGCATGGATATTGAGCTCGTTCTTTGGAAGTTTCTTCAGTCCAGGACATTCGTTCAAGGCGAGCTCCAAGATAGAAGGTGGTCCGATGACGGTGCTCCATTTGTCTCCGGTGACACCAACCCTGGCTCTTTTGGCAGGCGGAACTCCCTGTTTGGTCTTCGAGTTAGTCTTCCAATGCGAGCTAGAAGAGCCTGGAACATGGAAAGCAAGCTCTTACCATTGAATTTTGGAACTGCTCCAGGGTTTTATCTAGCTCTTCAGCCTGTATTCCAAGGACAGCCCAACCCCAGGTTCCAGGGGACTCCTCCATGGCCCTTGACTTCACCAAAGTGAGGTTGCAGAGTCTTGTCCACACCCGACCCGCCTCGAGACATGTGTCATAAAGAGTTGTGAAATTCGTCGCGATTGACACGACTGAAGCACTGAATAGACCTCCGGAGACACCAATCAACTCCGGTCTGGGCCGGCCCGGGTCCAGCAATTGTGGTTCGGCGCTGATAGCCCTTGAAGTAGTCAGCAGTGCATCGTTACAATGGAGCAAAACACACACTCTAGTAGGAGCACGGCTCTGATAGCATAAATCAGCATGGCATGCGCCATCCCAAAGTCGTCGCCGGTGTATCGATATCGGTCAGCGAGCTCTTGGAACCCGGAGCAATCCCTAAAACTGTCTTGCAATGTTCGATCCATGGTCCTTATCTCTGCCTTCAGGACCGAGAAGAGGTCACCCAGGAAGGACCGAAGCCATGGTCTGGTTGCGGCTTGACTGTAGACATAATCAATGCCATCAACCCATGGGTCCGTGACGTCTCCGAAAAGGAGAACTGTAGGATGATTGAAGTCCATTCCTCGAGGTAATAAAGACTGACAATGGAAGATTCTAGCGTCTAAGTAGAATAACAATATTATATTGAATCTACTGAGCCATTCGGCGGTTTTGGGGAATAGTCCCTCAATTATTTATAGGCATGGAACCGGCGTAACAAGTCCGACGAACGTGCTGGTGCAAATGGACATTGCAGCGTTTGGAAGAAGGGAATAATGGCGTGCTGCGGAACCTCCCCCCCCTCTACCCGTATAATCCATGCACCTCGTTATTGCTCTCGTATACCCGTGCTAGAGTGGAGTGGGGCGTCGCTGCTGCCAGATATGCATCGCGACATCTGTTGGATAGAACGTTAGCTCTGGCCCAATCTGGCCTTGAAACTACTGCAACGCTAACCAAGACCCGTGAATCGTCAGCCGTCAGCCTCGTATATCTCCGGCCGCCTCCCGTCTCCAGCATGTGCTAACTCGGAAATTCCCGATACTGGAGAACCCACGCCTTTTTGACTCAGATACGACTTCTCCGTACGGCGGAGAGTGTTTCCCGGTCGAATTCGACCGCACACTATGGGGGCCGGACTGGGGCTGGCTCTCAATGCTTGCTGAAGGACTCGAGCCCCTCCGAAGAACGCCGAACACCATGGCGGCCAGGGGCTCTCATCCTTCAGCAAGGCTTGATGATAAATGGTGTGACCTCATCTGTAACCTCGGATGGCCGTATCGATTCCCATGAGCGACGCGCACGTCGACTGACACACCCGAAAAAACGTACACGAAGTAACTTTTTCAGCTCCCTCTCTTGATATGGTAAATTTATAGTGGATTAATTACTACAGCGACCCCGCTGTCTGAATATGCCTGGATTCCAGGGCATCAAATTATACATCAGGCATAAAGGCATACAACTTTTTTCTGCAACTGTCGGCGCATGAACCGGCCCGCGGGCATACCGGAGGATTATTAATCCTCTGAACATCGTTGATTGGAGTACATTTTTACATTCGAATCCACGGACTAGTAATCCCCAATCTATATCGTAGGTGACCTTTACAGTGGTCGCCTTGACCTTTCGGTGGCCAACCCACTACGGGTCGGCCCTTCCTCAACGTAATTTCCCCCCTCGACACGAGTTTTCGGACGCAGTATTTACATACCTTAGTATTGAGTACGAAAAATTGCAAGCGTCTATCTCTTGACTTCGGGTAATAGACCCATAAGTGGAAAAGATGAATAATAGGTACTCTAAAGGTTAATCTTACCTACCTAGGTACCGAGGTAGGTATGCAGGTATTAGCAGGGAGAGTTTTAAATAAGGTTTATATGGTACAGTGATCAGTGACTCCGCATTAGACTTAACACCCTTGGCCCCACACCCTAAGTATTCTGCCAGTCAAATCGTCCAATTAGCCAGGTAATTATAATAGCATACTTGCTTTGCTAAAAGTCAGATATATGAGTAGAATTTTGCTTCTGGGGCACAAAATCCTTGTTTTACCAGATGCTTAAGACACTTTAGGCGCCTTGAATCACTTCTTGATAAGCGGTTTGGTACATGTAGGCGGTAGAGGCTTGGTATAGGCGGTGTGAGGTGAGGGTGTTAAGATTAATGTGTATATTTAGATTAATATTACCTTTACCTAGGTATTACCTCAAACTTCTTTAAACCTTACTGTACATATATTGTACATGTAATAGGTGTAATAACTATAATACATTAAGTACAATAGATATTCAAGACCTCGGGAATTAATTGCTGACTCTTCTGTACCTCACTCAGCTTGTATCAGTAGCATTATTTATTTGAGTTGGAGGTATTTTGTATGACGGATCTTCTACAAGATTAATTACATACCAAGGTATGTGATTGGCAGGAAAAACTGGGTCTCAATAGAGCGGGCTGAGGGTGCTGAATCGTCATCTCTACTGTGCCAAAAGTACCTTTCAAGGTTCTTTCTTTATTAGTTACTGCTTACGGCGGTTGCGCTAATCTCAGGCTGTGATTGGAATGAATAATGCCATGATCCCTCCCACCTGGGCATCCCCCTCTTCACCCACGCAGCGTCAATACTAGTTATCCTTTCCCGCCGCTTCCACGACGTTACACATTCCCATCTCCCTCTCCGTCTCATCTACCATGTCTGTTCCGAATGTTGCACCGTCGCACGCCTACGGGCAACCCAAACGGAGAAAGGTGCGCAAAGGCACCCACAGTTGCTGGGAATGCAAGCGCCGGAAGATGAAATGTAGATTCGATCCGCGCATTGCGAGTACCTCCTGCGATGGCTGTCGACAGCGCGGCTCCCCCTGTATCAGCCAGGAATTCCCCGAGGACCTTGAAAATGTCCTCATGAGCATTGGAACCACCAGCGGTGATGCCACTTCCTTTGACGGCAGAACTCGCCCTGCCACGCCCAGTGCAAGGACAGACCGTATTCTCACACCCGTCTCAACGATCACGGAGACTTCACCATACCATAAATCTCCTGAGGTCCGCCTCTTCCCGCTCTTCTTTCAAATATTCTATGATTGTTACTGACGGCTTTCCAGCAATATCCCCCCACCACCACGAATGATACCTCACAACGTAAATATGAGAGGCTGTCTCAGTTCCTATACGAATTACTCCCGTCGCGCAGAGATACCGAGAGTATCTGCAAATCCAGTGGCCACTCTTCCATCCTCTCCCACGAATTGTTGACGACGCCATACACCACCCTCTACCAGAACGGCCTCCAAACGGCTGAGAGTTTACTGGTGACCCCGCAACCAAATATGCATCCGGTTTTGATCGCGAGACACATGCTCCAGCTCGCCCTTTTCCTACAGAATCTTTCCCGGATCTTCACAAGGAGATTAAAGGCCTGTCGAAACCACCCCGCGTCATCATGGAACGCTTAGCAGATGTTGCCAACTACCACGTCACGACAAACGAGGCACTGATCGGCAGCATCGAGAGCCTCGAGTGCATCATGCTCGAGAGCTTATATCAGGTGAACATTGGAAACCTTCGACGAAGTTGGGTCGCGGGCCGTAGAGCAATGAGTCTCGCCCAGTTGATGGGGTTTCATCGACCAGATAACCAGACCCTATACCAGACGCTCGACCCTAAAACGAAATACGATACACGGATCATGTGGCTCCGCATCATCACCCTCGACCGCCAGCTCTGCCTCCTTCTCGGTCTGCCCGAAGGCTGTATCGACCATAGCATGGCCTCGGAGACCCACATCGCCAACGACTGCCCCATGGGCCGTCTCGAGCAGCTGCACTGTGTCGCCATGTCCCGAATTCTCGAACGAAACGTGGCCAAGCCGAGTGGCCGAGACCTCGCCGCCACGCGCGCCATCGACCTGGACCTACAGAAAGCCGCGGGCAGCCTCCCGAGCAAGTGGTGGCTAGCCCCCAAACTCGATAGTGCCTCCACCGACCTGCAAGCCGTGTTCTGGGATATGCGCCGTCTGGTCCTGCAGATCTGTCACTACAACCTTCTCAACCAGCTGCATCTGCCGTACATGCTACGCCCCTCGTCCACGGAGAACAAAAACGAGTATTCGCGGATCACGTGCGTCACCGCGTCGCGGGAGGTTCTCTCGCGCTACAACTCGCTCCGCAGCTTCAACCGCATCGCCTCCAGCTGTCGCACGGTCGACTTCCTCGCTCTCATGGCAGCCATGGCCCTCCTTCTCGCACACTTGGATGGCCATTGCGACGGGGCGGAAAATCTGCTCGCGAACCAGTATTTGAGCGATCGCGGGATGATCGAACAGATGCAGGAACACATGACCGAGATCAACCGGCTGAACTCGGATGAATTGAGCGCGCAAAGTGCAGATTTACTAAAGGTGTTGTTGGCGATTGACCTGGAGAAAGGGCATGGGCGGGTAAGTGTGCGGGAGGCGGGGAGTGAGGGTATCTTGCCGCAGGATGGGATGGGCGCGGAGGAAGAGAGTGCGGTACGGGTGCATATTCCGTATTTTGGAATTATCCGGATTGCACGCGAGAAACAGCAAGCTGCGACGACGGGAACAAGTAGCAGTAGCAGCTCTGAAGCCCAACTCCGCCTCTCGTCCTTGACACACCTCAGTGCTCCCCTCTCCACTGATTCCCTCTCTACTAACAACACTCCCAACCCACTCTCCTTCCCCTTTGCCGACACAGCTGCTCCACTTGAATTTACCGCCCCTTTCGCGCACCAACAGCAGCAACAATGTCAGACCGCGTTCTCCGACCCCGGTCTTTCTCTAATGTCATCCCCGCTAATGCAGGGCGGGCATCCCGGACTCGCTGCTGGCGGCGAGGACTGGGCGTTTCAGGGGGTGGACATGGCGTTTTTTGAGAGCGTAATGAGGAATGTTGGGGGCGATGTTTGACCCCTACCTACGCTTGGGGCAGTTGGATGCACTCCCGACCAACAAAGCCCAAACAATCCAGTATATTAAACGATGTATGTATGTAATGAGATATCCTAAATCTGATATTTATAGAAATGAAAATGTTGGTTTTTCCCCCACCCCGCCGAAGCTCACTAGCCTGTAAGGTAGTCTGCCGTCTGCCATATCAGGTAGCAGCCCTAACCTAACCAACCTCTAAGATTGATTCTCCTTGTCCCCATTCGACAGTCCCCTCCGCCTTCTTATTCTCCTCCTCTGCAGCCGCCTCTGTTGGCTTGTCCTTCTTCCCATGATCTGGCAGCCTCTTGAACGGAATAATCAGCGATAGGAGGACCGAAAACGCCGCACACGCCAGGGAAAAAGCAAACACATCCTTGATACCGACCATATACGCGGCGATCACCTCCTTAAGATCTTCCCCGCTGAACACGTCCTGGAGTTCGGAGGCGCCGGTGCCCAGGACCAGGGTGGCATCGAGGTGAGCTGCACTGGAGAGAACTGTCTCGAGCATCCGGTTGGCGAAGAGGGATTGCGCGATGGCGACAAAGTAGGCGCCGCTGAGGGTTTGGCACACTAGTTGGTGGGGTTCAGTGTTAGTGCCCATATATACAAGCATACATAGGTAGTTACCCGAGTAGGGGCGCGGATGCGCATTACTTATATTGCGTAGGGAGCGGGAGGAAATACTTACTAACCATGATTCCAGTCGCACTGGAAACGTCTTCAAGCTTCGAGAAGCCCTGCACGGCTGTCATTGGGATCTGGTTGCAGATCCCAATGCCAAATCCAAAGAGCACCTCGGCACCAATGTACATAGCTTTAGAGGAGTCAACGTCCAGGATATAGATCAGGGCCACGCCGGCGGTCATGATGAGGGCACCGAGGAGCTCGAAGGGTTGTGTGTAGCGGGTCTTTCCGATAACGGCGCCGCTGACGACGGCGCCAAGGGCGAAGAAGGCGAGGAACGGGAGGGTGTTTACGCCGCTTATGATCGCTGATTGGCCGTGGATGGATTGGAAGTAGATGGGAAGGTAGAACAAGACTTGGTAGAGGGCGGCATAGGAGCTAGAGTGGGTTAGTCATGGGTGGGAGACCTCTGGGATAGATGTATAGCGAGGAGGATCTTACATGAGGCAGAATAGGGCATTGCTCCATGTCATGCGCAGTTTGAGAATGCTAAAGGGAACCATGGCGCGGTGGCCCTGGAACCATTCAGTAACCAAGAAGCCAATGCTGAGGACAATCCACATGATCAAGGTCGCGATGACCGAGCCATCATTCCACGCTTTGGTCTGTCCACCCCATTGCAATGCCAGGGTCAAGCAGATGAGAGACACGAGTAGCAAGCAGAAGCCTGGGAGATCCAGGGCCAGGATGATCTCCTGCCACGTCGCTGGGACCTTCTTGATGTGCTTCGGGATGCGCAGGAATAACAGTAACAGCACGATTATGGGCCCGCCAACGGGCAGGTTAATCCAGAAACACCATCTCCAGGTAACTCCGCTCGTGAATGCGCCGCCAATCACTGGTCCCAGAATGGTCGACACCATGAAGCTTGCCATCCAGGTGCCGATGAGAAGAGGATGGTTTCTCGGCGGGGCGACGTAGTTGATGACGATGAGGGTTCCTCCGAGGACACCAGAGGCTCCCAAACCTTGAATGGCACGTCCAATAATAACGGACACGCTATTCGGAGCTGCTGCAGCTACAATACTGCCCACCAAAAATATACCGACCGCGCTGAGATAAACCCACTTCACGTTGACGTACTTGAACAGCTTCCCCCCACAGTGGCGAGGACGAGGCCGCGAGGATGAACGTCGCGCATCCATACCAGCCCACATCGTCGAGTCTGCGGAAATCGTTGGTGATGCCGGGAATTGCGGTTGCGATGATACCAATCTCTAGGGAGACAAGGATGGTGCTCACGAAGATCGTGAACATGATTAGGACGAGTCGGACGCCAGTCGCATACTCGGGAGGGATTTCGTCAAGGTCTTTTTGTTCTTGGGGACCATCACTAGTTGAGCCGGGCTGGCTTCTGTTCAGCTCGGCTTTGTTGCTGTTCTCAAGGTCTGAACCGTCTGCCATCATTTAAGTTGTTGGATATTCTGCACCACAGCAGCCCGTCAAATGGTACGGAGATTGCAACTTGTAGACTTGAGCTCTCAGAGATATATGTTGAAGCTACCTCAATGACAAAAAGAAGTCCCCTAAGGAAGCTTGTGAATGACACGGTCGAACGAGAGAGCGAAACATTTCGACCGCCGTGCTTGTATATAAATATTGGCAATGGAGCTAGTATTCGACCGCCGGACTAGTGCCACAGCAGCCCGTCAAGCCTGTTATTGACACGGTCGAACGAGAGGGCGAGACATTTCGACCGCCGTGTTTTGTATACAAATCTTGGCAATGGAGCTACCCAGGTGGAAGGTAAGGATTCGACCGCCGGATTAGTCATCCGGCGGTCGAATCAAACCCTAAAATCGCCAAGATACCTAATGTTGCAGCATTCGTCCGCCGTCCACGGGTGTCCCGCCACACAAGGGCTGACAAAACGGCACCACTAGCTGGTAATAACATTAATAATGCCCCTTTTGCACCCTCGAACGCCAGGGCTTCGGGTGGTTCGACCGTTAGCCTGCATGAGACCCTGCATTCGTGTTTATGTACGTATGCTATGATCAGGATGCTGACTGCATGAGATCTTCATCCTCTCCGGGCGTATACAAAGTACTCCGCCGCGCCCCTGGCCCCCGGGGCGATAATCTAAATGTCGGAATGGGATAAAACAAAATTGGTATGATAATGAAATTGGCCGACCTTCCGCTCTTTCTTTGCTAGGTAGCATGTGCGGCAGAATCCCCGTCCCATAATAGATGGTAAGCTGCTTTCAACATTGCCCAACCGTGTAAATATCGGACATTCAGAATATTATGGAGGTTGTATCGCATTCCGCCGGAGCCTCACAGCGCTATCTTCGTCTGACGGATACGAGCTCCATTTAAACCCCTCCGCGAGCCGAATATGAGCCTAAGAACCCCCGCGATCAATGACTTCTTTCTTTTCTTTTCTTGTTCGCTTTGCCCCTCCCCCTCCTTCCCAACTCTACACCTGTAGCAACATCAAGATGCCTTCTGCGCACCATACCGCAGCGGACGTCCCAATTGCGGTCGTGGGCTTGTCATGTCGTTTTCCCGGCGACGCGAGCTCCCCTTCCAAATTCTGGGACATGCTGAAGAATGGCAAAGGTGAACAGAGAGAGCCTCTTCAGTTGTGAAACCCGCTGCATTTGCCGTGGAACTAACATGAGTACCTACCTATGCAGATGCCTACTCACCTACATCAACCCGATGGAACTCGGACGCTTTCTACCACCCCGGAAACGGCCAATTGAACTCACTACCCACAAAAGGGGGACACTTTCTGAAAGAAGATCCGTATGTGTTTGATGCCGCCTTCTTCAACATCACCGCGGCGGAAGCCATCGCTCTCGATCCCAAACAGCGGATCGCCATGGAAGTGACGTACGAAGCGTTTGAAAACGCGGGCATGTCTCTTCCACGGGTTTCTGGCACCCAGACGGCCTGTTACATTGGCTCAGGTCCCAGCGACTATCGAGGTGCAGTTGAGCGGGACTTCTTGCACAACCCTAAGTACCATCTCCTCGGGACTGGCGACGAGATGATTTCCAATCGCATCTCTCATTTTTAAATATTCATGGCCCCAGTGCCACGGTTCAGACCGCCTGTTCGTCCAGTCTGATGGCGACGCATCTGGCCTGCCAGAGCTTGAAGTCAGGGGAGTCCGAAATGGCCATTACGGGTGGCGTGAGTCTGATGCTCACGCCAGACTTCACTACACATCTTAATAATTTGACTTTCCTCAACCCTGAGGGCCTGTCGAAAGCTTTTGATGAGAGCGCAGGTGGATATGGTCGCGGTGAAGGTTGCGGAATCATCATCTTGAAACGGTTGGCCGATGCAATCCAAGATGGAGATGACATCCGTGCCGTCATCCGTGGCACTGGTGCTAACTCAGATGGCTTTACACAAGGTGGTAAGTATATCCTGGTTTCATATGAACTGAGAGCTGCTAACGCTCTTGTTTGCAGTGACAATGCCGTCTTTTGAAGCTCAGGCTGCACTCATCAAACAAGTCTACTCGTCCAACGGATTGGACTATTCGACACAATACGTCGAGGCACACGTAAGTCAAAGACCTATCAGACCTAGAGGGTTTACCGTCACTAACCGCACCCTTAAGGTACGGGAACCAAAGCCGGAGATCCAATTGAAACAAGAGCCATTTATAGCACCATCGGGAAAGGCTCGCCAAAACAGCGCAAGCTGTTGGTAGGAAGTCTTAAACCCAACGTGAGTCTCATGGATTGTCAGCGATATCCTGTCTGTGGATGCTAACTCCAAAATCAGATCGGCCATCTCGAATCAGCGGCTGGTGTATCGGGAATTATCAAAGGCATCCTATCGATGGAGCACAATCTGATCCCCCCAAATATTCACTTCACTAAAGCCAATCCTGCGATTCCATTTGACGAATGGAACATGGCGGTACCCACCAAACTGACGCCCTGGCCCGTTGCCCCAACCAAGCGTATGAGTGTCAGTGGCTTCGGAATGGGTGGCACAAACGGCCATGTCGTCCTGGAATCGTTCGACCCGGCCAATTTCAGCACTGGGCCCGGAACGAGCAATGGCTTTTCCACATTTGGGAAGACCCGTACCAAGAAACGACTCTTCGTCTTCAGCAGTCACGACCAGGCCGGCTTCAAGCGAAATGCGGATGCCCTGGTCGAGCATCTAGATATCGTTGCTCCCGGAGCGTCGAGCTCAGATTTCATGGCCAATTTGGCCCACACACTCTCCGGGGCCAGATCCAGTCTCTCGTGGCGGGCAACATGTATTGCGGAGAACAAGACCGAGCTCCGTGACTATCTAACCACTAAACCAGGAGACGGCGCCTCTCGGGACGCCAACAGTGCCACTCGTGTCCCACGAATTGGCTTCGTGTTTACCGGACAGGGTGCACAGTGGGCACGGATGGGCGTGGAGATGCTCGACCGCCCAGTATTTAGAGAATCGGTTGCGCAATCGACACGCTTCCTCCAATCGATGGGTTGTGTCTGGGATCCGGTCGTAGAACTGAAGAAGCCCCAAGGTGACTCCCGCCTGAGCCAGCCAGAGATCAGTCAGCCCATCTGCTCCGTGCTCCAGATCGCGCTTGTCGATGAGCTGCGGTCGTGGGCGTGATCCCTTCCAAAGTTGTTGGGCATTCCAGCGGCGAGATCGCAGCCGCATACAGCATCGGAGCGCTGAGGCACCGCGACGCCATTGCAGCCGCTTACTTCAGGGGTGTGGCTACTATTAGCCTTCGGGATGCGTCAGATATCAATGGCGGCATGATGGCGGTTGGCTGCTCGCGAGACGAAGCAGAGGGATTGATCGAACAGTCGAAGCTCGAGGGCACCGCTGCCGTCGCCTGTGTGAATTCACCGTCTAGTGTGACGCTGTCGGGTGACGTTGACACGCTTGAGCAACTCCGCGCCATCTGTGATGAGCGTAAGGTGTTTGCCCGGCGACTGAAAGTCGAGATGGCGTACCACAGTGTGCATATGAATCGTGTCTTTCGCACTTACGCTGAGTTCATTGAGGATCTTCAGCCTATACCTCGAGAGTACAACGAGAACGAGGACGATGAACTCATTCAAACCATGGTATCTAGTGTGACCGGCCAAGAGGTCGCCCCTGAGCTTCTAGGGCCATACTATTGGGTCCGCAACTTGGTGTCGCCGGTCCTCTTCTCTGATGCGGTAAAGGAGATGGTTGCCCCGGGCGAAGCTGAAGAAAGTGATGACACTGTCGACCTACTAATCGAGGTTGGCCCACACGGCGCCCTGGGCGGACCTGTGGAGCAAATTCTGGGTCACCACGGTGTCAAACACATCACCTACAAGTCGATGCTCACACGCGGACGCAATGCTCTTGAAACGAGTCTCGAGCTCGCGTCCGAGCTCTTCCTCAAAGGCGTTCCAATTGACATCTCCCAAGTCAACAGCGATATGAACACCCGTCGACTGACGGACCTTCCCCCGTACCAATGGAACCATTCCAAGGTCTTCCGCCACGAGACTCGTATTCAACGGGAGCTCGTGATGCGCCAATTCCCCTTCAAGAGCATCATCGGTGCCCAAGTTCCGATGATGGATGAGAGCCAATATGTCTGGCGCAACTTCCTCCGGCTGTCCGACGAGCCCTGGATTCGCGGCCACAAGGTCGGCAGTACTGTGCTATTCCCCGCCGCTGGCCTCATTGGCATGGCCCTTGAGGGCGCACAGCAGTTAGCGGAGCCAAGCAAGACAGCGCGCTCCCTTCGCCTTCGCGAGATCTCGTTCTCTGCTGCTATGGCACTTTCTGAAAATGTGCCGACTGAGGTTATCATGCACATGCGGCCGCACCTTCTTGCAACCTCAGGTTCCACACCAGCTTCCTGGTGGGAGTTTACCATATCCTCATGTGCTGGCATCGACAATTTGCGTGATAATTGCCGAGGATTGATTGCTATTGACTACACAGAAACGACCAGTGAGCAGATGGCGAGCGAAGATGCCAGCTTGGAGGCGTCGAGAATTGCCGACTACCACCGCGTCCACGAGGGGTCGTCGCACACTTACTCCAAAGAGGACTTCTACAGCCAATTCGAAAAGATCGCCTGGAACTACGGCGAGGCCTTCCGGGGAGTCGAGAATGTCCATCTTGGCGACGGCCAGGCAACCTACGACGTGAAGATTGTCGACATCGGCGAGACCGTTAGCAAAGGACAACTCAGTCGCCCATTTTTAATCCACGCGGGTGCTCTCGACTCGATCCTCCAGGGCTGTCTGGGAAGCACGTTCAGGAACGGGAGGTTCGACATGGACAAGCCTGTCTTGCCGACGTTTATTGGCCAGATAGATATATCGCTGGATATACCGGGAGATGTTGGGTATGTCCTGCCAGCGGTGTGCGAGTCGAAGAGACATGGCTTCAAAGAGTTGTCGTCGAATATCTACACCTTTGATAGTGCAGTGTCCAAGGTCAACCTATCCATTCTTGACTACCGAGTCTCGGAGCTGGAGAATGACGCAGGTGAGCAAGATAGCCAGCAGCTTGAGGTCGATCCGGCTGAGATCACCTCGGAAGTGCGCTGGAACTATGCTCTCGAGGTTCTGGAGCCGGAAGAAATCAAGAAGGTGTTGTCGGCTGTTGCGGCAGGAGATCGGATTGTCGAGGTAGCGTTATTATTTCATCCTAACCCTCATTCTAACGCAGACGTTACTAACAAGCAATGCAGCTGATCCGTCTGTACCTCCACGACAACCCGGCAGCCACCGTTATTGAGCTCGCACCTGATCACGAAGCTCTTATCCATGCGACAATGTCATTGCTGCCCCCCGGAACCATTCTCCCTAGCCATATAAAGTATGCTATAGCAGGCACTGGTAACGAGTCTGAGGACCAAGGTGCCACCACAAACGTGATTGGGACGCCCTTCGACCTGGGCGATCTGGATGACCCTTTGCCCGCCGACATTGCGGCGGCTGATTTGCTGGTCGTTCCGCAATCCGTCAGCAATCGTAAGGATCTGGGCGCGTTACTGACTCGTTTGACAAGCCTTGGCAAGTCCGACGCAAGCCTGGTTCTCGCTGTGGACAACAGTTTGGAGGTATCTGCCTCTGTTTTGGAGGCTAAGGAATTCCGACGTGTCTTTGATGTTGAGAACTCGGTGGCGCTGTACAAGAAACGCCGATCCGAGCATGCCAACGGCCAAACCAATAGCCCTACTAATGGCCACACTAACGGCACATCTACCAAGTCCGACTTGGTCTTAATCGAGCCACCAGCTACAAGTAGCCGCATCAACGCTTTCAGCGGTGCTCTACAAACTACTCTCCGTGACCATGGTTACGTGGTGGCCGTGACCAACTGGGCCGAGATTAGTGCCCGTGCAGCTCCCGACCTCGAGGGCAACACGTTCATCTCGCTGTTGGAGCTCGAGCAGCCCCTTCTGGACGCTCTCTCGGAGCCGGATTTCCACAATGTCCGCAAGCTACTGCTGAACAGTGAGCGCCTGCTCTGGATCACAGCCGGCGACAATCCGTCCATGGGTGTGGTCGATGGCATTCGGAGGACGATGAGGAGTGAGGTGGCGGGTCTCAAGTTCCAAGTCTTACATCTGAGTAGCCTGGATACGGCGTTACTTTGTGGCCCAGCCCTTGCAGGTCGCATTATAACGACGGATACCAAAGATGATGAGTTCCAGGAGCGGGATGGTATGCTCCAAGTCGCTCGGATCTTCAACAGTCCCGAGGGAAATGAGGGCGTGCGCCGTTGTCTAGAGGACTCCGTTCGTGTCGAGCGGTTGGCGGAGCAAAAGAGACCCCTAAGGCTCACTATTATGAAGCCAGGACTCATGGACACTTTGACGTTCATCGAGGATGACCGCATGAAAGATACGCTTGGAGACACAGAGATCGAGGTCGATGTCAAAGCAACAGGTGTCAACTTCAAAGATATCATGGCGGCCATGGGCCTAGTCGAAGTCTCCCTCATCGGTCAAGAAGCCAGCGGTATCGTCACGGCCACTGGTAGTGCAGCAGCCTCGCGCTTCAAACCCGGCGACCGGGTGACGCTTCTCTGGGAGGGCATGCATGCCACTAAGCTCCGCATCGATCACCGTCTTGCCGTGCACATCCCCGACTCCATGTCTTTCGAAGAAGGTGCCGCCCTACCCATGGTCCACACCACCGCCTACCACGCGCTCGTCAACGTCGCCAAACTGCGCCCTGGCCAATCGGTCCTCGTCCACGCTGCTGCCGGTGGTGTCGGTCAAGCTGCACTGCAATTAGCTGCTCACTTAGGCCTAGTGGTCTATGCGACCGTTGGTAGCGAGGATAAGCGCCGTCTCCTGGTGGAGAAGTATAACGTGCCAGAAGCGCATATCTTCCACTCCCGTGACACTAGCTTCGCCAAAGCTATCAAGCGCATCACGGGGGGGCCGCGGCGTCGACTGTGTGCTCAACTCGTTGTCGGGCGAATTGCTCCGTGTCTCATGGACGTGTCTCGCGCCCTTTGGCACGTTCGTCGAGATCGGTCTGCGCGATATCACGAACAACATGCGTCTGGACATGCGTCCGTTCAGCCGTAGCACAACCTTCGCATTCATCAACATAGCCAATTTCTTCGACGCGGAGGGTCTTGATGCGCTGGGGCAGATCCTATCGGACGCCTTTGCCCTTGTACATAAGGGTGTTCTGGGCGCAGCGTACCCGCTGACAGTGTACCCTGTGGCGGAGCTTGAGACTGCTTTCCGTACCATGCAGCAGGGCAAGCATCGTGGGAAACTCGTCCTCTCATTTGGAGATGATGCTCGGGCACCCGTACTCTGCAAAGCTAAAGACAGTCTGAGTCTCAATCCCAACAGCACCTATCTCTTTGTCGGCGGTCTCGGCGGCCTTGGACGCAGTCTAGCGCGTGAATTTGTTGCCTGTGGAGCACGACACATCGCATTCATATCTCGCTCAGGTGATTCCAGTGCAGATGCCAAAACCACAGTCCAGGACCTCACCACCTTCGGCGCCGTTGTCAAAGCCTACCGTGCAGATGTAGCAGATGAACCTGCCTTCCTCTCCGCCATGCAACAATGCGCCACCGACCTCCCGCCCATCGCGGGTGTGGTGCAAATGGCCATGATGCTGCGCGACACTCTTTTCGAGAAAATCTCTTACGCGGATTGGACGCAACCCATGCGACCTAAGATCCAAGGCACACTCAATCTGCATAACTACTTCTCCCCCACGCACCCTCTGGATTTCTTCGTCATCTGCTCCTCCATCTCCGGTATCTTTGGCTATCCAGGCCAGACGCAATATGCCGCTGCAAACACGTTCCAGGACGCCCTCGCCCGCCACCGCCGTAGTCAGGGCCTCAAGGGCGTGGCGGTTGACCTCGGTATCATGCGCGATGTTGGCATTCTAGCCGAGCAAGGCACAACCGGCAAACTCGCTGACTGGGAAGCCATTCTGGGAATCCGCGAAAAGCCCTTCCACGCGCTGATGAAGAGCCTGATCAACAGCGAGTGGAAAGGAGACTCGTATCCTGCGCAGGTATGCACCGGCCTCGGGACGGCAGATGTCATGGCGCGGTTCGGATTGGAGCGGCCGGAGCATTTCGGTGACCCGCGATTTGGCCCACTGAATGTGCTGAGTATTACATCTTCGTCCTCGTTCCAAGACGCCTCATCCGCTGCATCATCATCACCCTCCACACGTCTCGCTGCCGCGTCCACCTACGATGAAGCCGTGTCCATCATTACGGATGCACTCGTACAAAAGACGGCGGAGATCCTGCAGATGCCCTTGTCCGAGGTGGATCCCGATAGGCCGATGTACCGCTATGGAGTGGATTCGCTGGTGGCACTGGAGGTCCGCAATTGGATCACTAGAGAGCTGCAGGCGAATATGGCACTGTTGGAGATTCTGGCAGCGGAGCCAATGAAAATGTTTGCGGGGAAGATTGCGGAGAAGAGTAAGTTAGTTACAGGTAGAAAGTAGACAGTAGAAATCGCAGAGGCTTATTGATAGAAGAACAAGAATATCACAGGTAGACTTGCCCAGGCCCAAAGCCCAAAGTGGGGTATTTCATAGATCTTATCCATAGATGTATTTTGTATAAGTCTTTAAAGAGTAGATACTTCGACGCAGGGGTTATTAGGGTGAGTGCGCAATAGACGTGAGAATCTGCCCAGGTGGGACCCTCTTTAAGTCAGCCAAGCCAGTGCGCCAGTCGAGATTTCTCGGCTTCTCACCGTGCCTAGCTAGGTATCTATAGCGCACCCATTTCTCACCCAGGCGACAACTAATGACTGAGCTTAACACGGTGAGTTAGCAACCGGCAAATCCTCACTGTTGTATTTTTACCACATACTCTCTCTTCATGCCAATTATCGATGTCCCTCTCAAAATACCGTATATAACTATATCTGTTCCCCTCTTTAGACATAATTAGCTTCAAATAGCAGACCAATTTCAAAATAAAGCATCAAAACAGGATAATACTATCGAATTGTATAAAAACGGCCAATCGCAGTCGGCCGGCACCGTCGGTCTGAACCGAAGCAACTCGGTCACCGCCGGGAATTCCCCGTGGATCGATGATAAGGCCAGCATTTAAATGTGCGGGGAAGAACTTTTACATTCTCAATTGCTTCTCAATTCCTTCAATTGAACCTCTCTGACAATACTCCTCTCAAAAAGTACAGACGAATTCCATACCTGCACATCTGCAACAAAATCCCCACCATGGGTAACGACCAGAAGCTCGGTGCCTATTACGCACCCAAAGGCGGATTGCCACCACAGACACAGATCCTCACCGACCGTGCCATGTTCACCGAAGCGTACGCGGTAATCCCGAAGGGCACATTCAGCGACATCGTGACGAGCTTCCTGCCCTTCTGGGACAAGACACGGTTATGGGTGATTGCCCGTCCGTTATCGGGCTTTGCCGAAACATTTTCGCAATACATCATGGAAGTGCAACCAGGGGGCGGCAGCGACCGCGGTGAAACAGACGACAGTGCACAAGGTGTCGTGTTTGTCGTCGAGGGTGAAGTGACGATCACCCTGGGAAGCCAGAAACACACGCTTGCCGAGGGCGGCTATGCCTGATCTACCGCCGAAGAGCGGCTGGACCCTGCGCAACACAGGCGCGACCACCGCCCGTTTCCATTGGATACGCAAGGCCTACGAATATGTCGAGGGACTCGATAAGCCTGAGCCGCTTTTCCTCAATGAAAAGGATATTCCGCCCACGCCGATGCCAAACACCAACGGTGCTTGGGCGACTACTCGATTCGTTGACCCGAGCGATCTGCGCCACGATATGCATGTCACCATTGTCACCTTCGAGCCCGGCGGTCTTATCCCTTTCGCTGAAACACATGTCATGGAACATGGGCTTTATGTACTGGAAGGTAAAGCCGTGTACAGGCTCAATCAGGACTGGGTGGAGGTGGAAGCGGGTGATTTCATGTGGTTGCGCGCCTTTTGTCCGCAGGCCTGTTACGCGGGTGGCCCTGGCAAATTCCGCTACCTGCTCTACAAGGACGTGAACCGTCAGATGAAGTTGTCGCGGTTGTAATAGCCGAACACTTTGTCAACTTGTAACCCAGTCATATCACGGTCCTTGTCACTCGAGGGGGTTAGTGCGGCCGTCGCACGACCAAGGGTGATTCTCGCCCTGATTCGCACATCTCTCAGCCCCGGTGGCACAACGCTGAAGCGGCTCTCGCCCAGGCGCCCACCCAGTGGCACCCAACTACTAGCCGCAGATAAGCCACACGCCGGTGAGTTAGTAGTTGGGTGTGCGACACCACCAGTGAATCCTCACTGTTGTATATGTTTGTGTCTTTTTAATTTAAAATGTACAAATTAAGTTCAAGTTGTGCACCTAATTCTCTTAATACTCGAGTCAATCACATATATAAAGTCTAATACTGTAATTGTTCCATTATCTCCTGTGGAAAGTTAGTACGCAGCATTGCGCACATTATATATATACATACATAGTAAGTTGCACTGGTAAAACCCAGCGCCTTATTGAACATCGATAGAAAGTCAAGAACTTCTTCTTTATCTTTTATTTTATTCGGATTCATCAACCCGATAGACTAGCTTGGAGGCTCGGACTTTACCTTCCCGCAATATCTGAAGGCCAGCCAACGCTCCCGCCAAACCGCCTGGCTTCACCTGATACGGATGAGGATGAATGCGGCGCTCCTCGATTAGTTTCTGGGCTAATCCCCACCATTTGACGCCGAATTCAAAGTTAGTGCTATCAGGAGATCTCTCGTTCGATCCCATGCGGTAAGGCTCTCCTAGGACATCATACGCCATCGAAACATGTGAATCAACATCATCCCTCGCGGATGCCACCTCCAGCAGAGCATTGTAGGAACCACCCGCCGACGAAATGGCAGCACTGCAGATGGCAGCCGATTGTGGCGTAGAGATCGTATCAAGAACAAATTCCAGCGCATCATCAGTATCCTCTCGGATCTGCTCTCCCACCAGTGGATCGTGGTAATCAAAGACCGCGTCTGCCCCAAGCTCAAACATGAAGCTGCGGTTGGCTTCAGAGCATGTCGTGACAACGCGCAGTCCCGATAATTTCGCCAATTGGATCGCAAGTGTACCGGTAGCCGTTGCCCCTCCATAGATGAGGATATTCGTGTCGTCGGACTCGCTGTCCTGATCGCTGGGGAAGGGCAATTCCATGCTCTGGTAAAGATTCTGACCAACGGTTGTCAAACCAACGCCAAAGGTGGCTGCCGCCTCGAAGCTCATGGTCTCGGGTATCAATATTTGGAGGTCGCCCTTCGCAATCACGTACTCAGCAAAGGCGCCGCCATTGTTACGAACGGCGTTGCTGCCGTGTACGAACCCGGCTACCCGGTCGCCTTTTTTGAATGCCCTTTTCACGCGTGGCCCCACGGCTTCTACTATTCCAGAATAGTCGCAGCCCACGGTGGCCCCCGTACAGGGTACAAAATCAATATGACGCCAGTCCGTTGGGTTCAAGGCGACTTTGTACTGGGTTAGCCCAGCTGCTGATGGAATGTGGGGTAAAGAAGAGCACGAGGAGAATATACCTGCTTTTGTTTTGACGAGAATGTAGTCATCCGGCAACTCGGGGAGCGGGACATCTTCCAGTGTCGCGCGGCCTGGTCCTTGGACGATAATGGCGCTTTGGGTGGCCATTCTCAACTGATGTCGCGACGCGGGATGAAGGATGCGAGAGAGGTGGGGTATAGCTCGAATGTACCTCGGTAAATCGTTTAAATGGGAAATCAGGGGTAGCGAAAGCGATGGTAGATTATTGCACTTCGTAGGGAATTCTCCGTGTGTGGGCTGCTGGGATTACTCCGTAGAGTAATTCAGGATCGCGGGCGAGACTGAACTATTGAAGAGCTCAGACAAAGCATGGCCTTTTTTGCCGCGCGATAATCTGGCTAGCTAGCGATGACAACCAGGTACTCCGTATAGCTTCTAAGATCGGCGAAATGCAGGTAAAATGTGCTCCATATGTAGGTGATCTGCATGAAGAGGGGCAGGCAAGTTGTTAGTAGCTTCAATAAAGTCAATTACAATTGCAATGTGCTCCGCAGCCCAGCTGGGCTGATCTTGAAATTGAGATCGGGTCCCGGTAATGCCCTCCAGTCATAATAGTCAAATGTCACACATGCGAGGTTGCGACAATGATAGCTATGTAAAGAGGTAGCCCTCCTAGCCCAGGTAAGCCCAGACAACTCCAAAATACATCCATGTCCGGAGTAAGGGAAACACAAGTCCGGAGTATCCCGGGGAGTCCGTAAGGTGGAACTTGTCTCAAATAGGGGGCTGGGAGAGGAAAGTGACTCCACTGCGGGAGAGAGAAAAACAAAAGGAAAAAAAGGAAAAGAGGAAAAGAGGGAGATAGGGGATCTCCATGAAGGGCATTGACTTGTTGGAAGTGGAGGGGTGGAGTCTTGAAGCTTCGCCTGGAAATACAGTGACCGATACTCGTATCATCTCGTAACATTTCCAATTCTCTCTACGGAGTAGTCCATCTTGAAGATCCAGTTCGTTGATCGATGGAATCTCCACTTGACAGCATTTTCGTAATCTGCGCCTCAGGGGTAAAGCAGACAACCTTCAAGTATGGAACAGTTTGGTATTGGAGCACAAGTATACCATATGGAGAATGAGATCCAACTGCATTAGCCACATCTATATTCTAGGCATTTATTTTTAGGGGAACATAGAATCAAGCCAGAATCCAGACGTAATCCAAGCTCCGACTTTATGATAAATGTCCAAAGTACATCGTCCATAGCGCTTTTCAAATGAGATCAGGTCTCCACTACATCTCCGCTTGAACAGCCAGTAAAATATGCATGTGAATATGCGACTTTACGCATTAATGGGATTAGCGTCCAGGAGTCATGACCACTTCCATGGCAATTAAGACGGGGACTTGCCGGAATGCACGACATCGACTATAATACCCCACAACATCCCTTCTCTGTAATCTGACCCCAAACTTATCCTCAACTCCATACCATGCCTGGCCGACCGAGTTCGGCCCCTACCGATATGGAGGGAATTGCAGTCATTGGAATGGGCTGTCGCTTCTCTGGAGGAGCGACCTCCGTTGAGAACTTCTGGCAGATGTTATGCGACGGACGCACTGGGCATGGAACGGTCCCTACGAGCCGATATGAAGCTTCGGCCTGGCACCACCCCAGCCATGAGCGCAAAGGAGCGGTATGAATGCCTTGATTGGATATTATTTTATTGCTCTAACAGATCATGGAATGATTAGATCAATCATGATAGCGGATTCTTTTTGCAGGAAGATCCATCACGATTTGATGCTCCCTTTTTCTCTATCACAGCCAAAGAAGCGGCGGGCATGGACCCAGCACAGCGTTTGTTGCTCGAAGTCGCATATGAAACATTTGAGAACAGTAAGATGAGCGAGATCCCAAAAATACATGGGAAACCGGTCACGCTAAAATGGGCAAAATAGGTGGAATACCAATAGACACACTTCCAGGGAGTAACACGGCAGTGTATTCCGGCTCAATGACCAATGATTATGAGCTATTATCGACAAGAGACATCTACGATATGCCTCACAACTCAGCTACTGGTAATGGAAGGACTATGCTCGCAAATCGTTTGTCCTGGTTCTTTGATCTTCAAGGCCCGAGTATCATGATGGATACTGCGTGTTCCTCCAGTTTGACAGCGGTCCATTTAGCAGCCCAATCCCTGCAGTCTGGAGAATGCGGAATGGTGAGTACTGCAAGCTAGATATCTGTTTAGGACACGGACTAAACATACTTGTGGCAGGCTTTGGTAACTGGAGCCAGTCTCATCTTGCACCCTAATTTTACACAGAGACTCTCCTACATGCACATGATGAGCGCAGATGGAATAAGTCATTCATTTGATGAGTCTGCAAATGGATATGGTCGAGGAGAGGGTATCGGTGCTGTGCTCTTGAAGCCCCTCAGCGCCGCATTGGCCGATGGAGATAATATTCGAGCCGTCATCCGCGGCACAGGAATCAATCAGGACGGTCGTACTCCCGGAATTACTCTGCCCAGTCCTACATCTCAAGCCAACCTGATTCGTTCGGTCTATGAACGCCACGGCATCTCAATGAGAGATACTTCCTACTTTGAAGCCCATGGCACTGGAACTCCGGTCGGGGTAAGCGAACAATTCTATTCATTGTTACTCGAGAACTCCTTTTATTAACTTGATAATGAATAGGATCCCACAGAACTGTCTGCTGTCGGAGCCACTCTGGGCCAGGCACGAACACCGACTGATGAGCCAATATACGTAGGCTCAGTGAAGACAAATTTTGGTCACACCGAAGGAGCCGCAGGAGTGGCTAGTTTGATCAAAGTCGTCCTATGTTTAGAAAAGGGCATGCTGGTGCCAAACGCCGGCTTCAAGAACATCAACCCCAAGATCCGACTCGACGATTGGCGTTTACGCCTAAGCGACAAAACGATGCCCTGGCCGGACCATCTTCCACAGCGGGCTAGTATTAACTCATTTGGATTCGGTGGATCAAATGCGCACCTAATTCTCGAAAGCACCAAAGAAGCCCTCGGGGGTAATGCTGAAGACAAGGAACCGGCCCCTCACGTGGTTGTGTTTTCTACGTTCGATCAATCTGGCATTGAACGGGCCAGTCAAAATTGGAGCACATTCCTTCAACGTCAGCAGAAGGCCGAACAGGAGATTCCACTAAAAGACCTAGCCCATACGATGCTGACACGCCGATCGCAGTTGGGCTTCCGCAGCTTCGCGGTTGCGAACTCACAAGACCAGCTGCAGACCATCTTAGATAAAGGACTCCCCAAGTTCCCTCGAGCTAGTCGCAAAGCTCAAACGAGACTTGCCTTTGTGTTCACAGGTCAGGGTGGCCAGTGGGCTGGAATGGGTCGGGAGCTTTTGAGGATCTCCACTTTCAGAGAAAGCATAGCACGATCACAAGACATTCTCACGTCCCTGGGATGTCCCTTTGATATGGTGGAGGAGATCAAGGCTGAGGCAAAGGACAGCCAAATAAACCGACCC